TTGTAATTGGACAATTGAATAGGACAGTTGACATGTCACGCCTGTGTAAGTGGATGTGTGTCATATGCATACACTGTTGTCACACATTTCAGGGACCGAACCGAACTGTTGTTTTTTCATGAAAACGGAAAACCCATGTCTAGTTTCTTCCTTAAACTCGTGATTGACAAATTGCACTCCTGCTTTGTGGTCTTCCGATTTTGTCAATCACTTGTATGATTACAGACTGATTTGGACTCCACTCAGTCCTAGTATTACTATAATTAATTTAAAGCACAAACAATTACACTTCTGAAGTGATGAGTCTACAATTCTTTGAACTCTCCTTGCTGATTCTAGCCATTTTCTTTCAAATTCTCTTGTGACACGTGACGTCACAATTTTTTGTAAATTAACAAAATAATAAAACTTAAAGATATTCGCAAAAGGTTTGCTTACGAAAAGGAGCATTCACTTGAAAATGTAAACTTCTTTCCCGTGGAAGCCTGTGACCAAAATCCGATCATCTAGCATTGTGGTAACACTCCAGGGCCGTTCACATTGAATATTAGCACTAACTGTCTTTCCAGTGAAAGTTCCTTCCAATGTAAACTGTTGAACTCGATTATTTCCTTCATCACATATGAAAACGTTATTATGTTTGTCAACACATAAGCCATACGGCTGATTCAACTGTCCATTACCGTTTCCTTTTTCTCCAAACTTGTACAAAAACTGTCCTCTCTCATCAAACACTTTCACACAGTTATTATCGCGGTCAGTTACAATGAACTTTTCCTCGTAACAAACGCAGCTGAGTGGATGATCCAGCCTTTCTGGGCCACTGTTTCCAAACTTAAACACAGGTTCACCATCCATTGTAAACACCTGAATTCTGCTGTTATTAAAATCCACTACAACGATAAAACGTCCATCACTTGTAATACAAACACTTGCAGGATTCTTAAACTCTCCATCTCCACTTCCCTTTTTTCCAAAGCTTTTCACAAAGTTCCCTGTCTGTACATTCAACTGCTGTATTCGGTGATTACATTCATCTGCCACCAGAATCTCGTCATCGTTTACGAACGTGACGTCGACTGGATTCTTTAATTGTCCCTCCTCGTCTCCATAAGAACCAATTTTTCGCACAAACTTTCCTGTCTTATTAAATACCAGGATACAATGACCATCCAAATCAGCCATGGCAATAACACCTTTACTGTTCACTGCAATGCCGGCAGGAGCTTGGAGCATTTCTACCTGAAAGTCCAACTTGCCTACAACATTTAACTCTCGTGCTTTGACCAGAATAGAAAATGGACTCTTGGCAAGTTTCTGTCCATTTATCTTTAATTCTATTTTATAAGGACCTGGTACTTTCGCTACAAATTTTGCTTGGAAATTTCCATCTTCTTTTTCACTCGTCACCAAGCTCCTCACCTGATCAGCAGGGTTTATGTGTATTTCAACACGATCTGTGTGCTGAGTGTTACTGATTTCTCCTTCGCTTGTTTTGGGACAAATTAGTAGCTCTGCCTCTACACCAGCTTGGAAATTCTGATCCAGTCCTTCTACGGCCGATCCTTGCACATCTGTTTCGCTGAATTTCGTAAATCCCAGACTCAAACTCTCTGGTTTACATGTCGTCACAAATTCTACACACGAGCTAGCCGGAAGTGCTGGCATTGTGGTCTTGATGAGGTCTTCGATTCGTTCTTCTACATTTTTCTTGTTTTGCATTATGTCTGAACTTGAGCTTCTCTCAACCAGGTTGTTACTGAACTCAAATGCTTGGTCAAGTTGCTTTTCAAAAGACACAACCGATGTTTTTCCAGAATGTAATTTCTCAATCCTTGACACGCGAGTCTTCTCGAGGGCAGAAATGGCTTCGCACTCCAGTTGGCGAAGCTTTCCTATCATCTGTTCGGTTGCTTGAGAGACTTGGCGTTTAGCTGTGGTAATGCTCGTTTCTAACTCAAGTTCCGTCCTCTCAAATTCACGAATAACACCTCGGCAAGCCTCTTTCTTCCCTTTGACCAGCTGCGCTCTGGCAATGATGTTTACTTTTTCATCGTCAGCTGCCTTTTCAAGCGGAACAACATCGTGGCTTTTGTGATCTGTGGCGATGCAAACTTGACATACACACCTTTGACAATCAACGCAAAAAAAACGAATCACATCTTTTTTGTGGTAATTCTCTGAGCAAAATGACTGCCTTTTCAACAAGGCCTCGTAGTCTCCGGCTTGAAACTGTTGCACTGGTGTGACTTTGTGTCCCTCAAACATAGTTTCTCGAAACACTTCGTGTGCTTTCACACAGTCGGGGCACATAAACTTCTCGCAATCAAAGCAGTAGTTGATCTCAGCGCTCTTCTTCTGGCATGTACTACAGCTGATCTCCTTTCCTTCGCCGCTGCGTCGAACAGCAAGAAGACTCAACAAACTGTTGTGCAGAAAACTGCTTGGCAGATCATCAAAGCGATTTCCTTCGGGGATGCCAATTTGTGCCTGACACTCGGGGCATGGATAAAACCCTTGTTTTTGGCTCGTTAGTGCATGTCTCTCCAGGCATTCACAACAGAACGTATGAAGACAAGCGATGGTCTTCGGTTTGGTGTAAGTATCGAAACAAATCGAACATGTTACATGCTCTTTGAGGTTTTTTAGAAGCGACTCCATCACGAATCGCAGATAAAAACACAGCTTTGTTTTGTTTGAGATTCCGAGAAACTGAACTTGGATTAGCATACTATTTAAAGCAGCGAATCAGATCTCTGTGGGATCGCGTGATCTTCGCGTAGAGATTGATAGTTTTACATTGCAATTTTATTCACATATCGTCTACTTTCTCTATCAAAGCGTACTAAAATCGATTCCATAGCGTGACCGAATGTGTCGCTCTACCTGCTGTATCATGAAAAACAACATGCTACGAAAGTTTGGAAATAAACCATCTACCTCATTTTATCATCGCTACATTTACAGCTGTTTATTGAGTTTGGGATTCCGAGAAACTTGTTTGACACTACACGAGAAATAATCAGTATTCTATTAAAAGCAGCGAATCGGATCTCTTCAGAAGAGATCGTGTGTTCTCTAGAGCGGCATTTGATAGCATCAGTTCTGGATTTCAATGATTCTGAAGAAGCGTGAGAGAAATAATTAACGGATGTCTGGTTTTCAAGAGCTGTCGCGAGAGCGGACTCACGAAAAGGTAAAATCTGGGTGAAAAAAGAGGGACTAGAGATGAAGGAGTCGCCCACTTAACTAAGCTCCAATACCAAACTTAGGAAGGCTAATTGAACTGGTAAACGCTACACTTTTACCTCCTTAAACGGGAAGTAATATTCAAGCAGCGCATTCAGGGAGATTAACTTACTCGTTAGGTCTGATCTGTAGAGTTATTTTCTGTTGGTTATCCAGGCACTCTTGTAGTTTATTCTCAGTCCTCGTCAGCCTTTGTTCCAAAATTAAAACGGTCTGCGACAAAAAGTGGCTCAATGAATATGAAAATCTCTCCCCAACAGCAAAAAATGTCGTAAAAAAGTCAAATATCATAAAGTTTAAGCGTAAGCTAATACCTCTCCATGTTGCACGAAATCTTTGCCTCGTCTCTGTACAACAAAAAACTCATATGAGACCGCTCATTACCTTTTTCCCGTCGCAAAAATTCATGAAAACTCCTGAATGTATAAAATACCTAAATAGATACTCAAACTTGATGCATCCAAAACACTCCTCAGCCTTTAGACAGTTTCTAACAATATTTTAAATGTCATTCCTCCAAAAGCAATAAAGTACTATGAAATTGTTGAATTGTTTACAATGTAATCATGCAAGCTGCTGTCAATATGATAATTAAAAAATTAGATACAGAGGCGTGCTCCATCTGATGAGAGAATTACTACTATTTAACTTAGCTAAAACTCTGCCAAAATATGCTCACGGAAAAGTCTACTTTAACATGCTGAAAGATGTAAAGCTGATAGGTAAACATTAGCAACAACAATTTACATTAATAAATGCCACCGTACATTTATTTTGCAGAAATGCATTTTTTGCCTTTACAACACTCCTACATCTTTAAGTGGTTACAAAGCTTAATCACGTGTGAATCGATTTTATGGTCAATCAAAACTATAAAAAAATTCTTGCATGTGATTGGTTATCACTAGACCAATTGGACAGTGCTTGTAACTGGACAATTGAATAGAACATTTGACATGTCATGCCTGTGTAAGTGGACAATGTGTGTTATATGCATGCGCTGTTGTCCCACATTTCGGCAACTGAACCATTGTGTTTTCATGAAAACGTATAACCGATGTCTAGTTTCTTTCTTAAACTCGTGATTGACAAATGGGACTCCAACTTCCCAGTCATTTGATTTTGTCAATCACTCATATGATTACAGACCAAATTGGACTCCACTCAGTCCTATTATTATAATTAATAAAAAGCACAAACAATCACATTACTGAAGTGATGAATCGACAATTCTTTGAACTCTCCTTTAAAAATTAGAGAGCAAATTGCTGATTCCGCCCATTTTCTTTCGATTTCTCTCGCGACACGTCACATGTCACAATTTTCCGTAAATTAATAAAACAATAAAACTTATAGATATTCGCAAAAGGTTTGCTTACAAAGAACTGATAGTTACTTTCAAAATTGGGCATTCATTTCAGAATGTAAACTTCTTTCCCTTTGAAGTCTGTGACCAAAACCCGATCATCTAGCATTGTGGTAACACTCCAGGGCCATCCAAATTGAATATTAGTACTTGTCTTTCCAGTGAAAGTTCCTTCCAATGTAAACTGTTGAATGCGATTATTCCCCTTCTCACACAAGAAAACATTGTTATGTTTGTCAACACATAAGCCATACGGCTCATTCAACTGTCCATCACCGTTTCATTTTTCTCCAAACCTGTACAAAAACTGTCCTCTCTCATCAAACACTTTCACACAGTTATTAACCTTGTCAGTTACAATGAACTTTTCCTCGTAACAAACGCAACTGAGTGGATGATCCAGCCTTTCTGGGCCGCTGTCTCCAAACTTAAACACTGGTTCACCATCCATTGTAAACACCTGAATTCTGCTGTTAGAATACTCCGTTACAACGATAAAACGTCTATCACTTGTGATACAGACACTTCCAGGATTCTTAAACTCTCCATCTCCACTTCCCTTTTTTCCAAAGCTTTTCACAAAGTTTCCTGTATGTACATTCAACTGCTGTATTCGATGATTACATTGATCCGCCACCAGAATCTCGTCATCGTTTAGGAACGTGACGTCGTCTGGTTTATTTAATTGTCCATTCTTGTCTCCATAAGAACCAAGTTTTCGCACAAACTTTCCTGTCTCATCAAATACCAGTATACAGTGACCTTCATAATCAGCCACAGCAAAAACCCCTTTACTGTTCACTGCAATGCCGGCTGGACCTTGCAGCATTTCTCCCTGAACGTCCAACTTGCCTACAACATTTAACTCTCGTACTTTTACCGGAATAGAAAATGGACTCTTGGCAAGTTTCTCTCCATTTATCTTTACTTCCATTTTATAAGTACCTGGTACTTTTGCTACAAATTTTGCTTGGAAATTTCCATCTTCTTTTTCACTCGTCGCCAAACTCCTCACCTGATCCGCAGGGTCCATGTGTATTTCAACACGATCTGTGTGTTGAGTGTTTCTGATTTCTCCTTCGCTTGTTTTGGGACAAATTAGCAGCTCTGCCTCTATACCAGCTTGAAAATTCTGATCCAGACCTTCCACGGCCGATCCTTGCACATCAGTTTCGCTGAATCTCGTAAATCCCAGACTCAAACTCTCTGGTTCACATGTCGTCACAAATTCTACACACGAGCTAACCGGAAGTACTGGCATTGTGGTCTTGATGAGGTCTTCGATTCGTTCTTCTACATTTTTCCTGTTTTGCATTATGTCTGAACTTGAGCTTCTTTGAACCAGGTTGTTACTGAACTCAAATGCTTGGTCAAGTTGCTTTTCGAAAGAGACAACCGATGCTTTTACAGAAGTCAATTTCTCAATCCTTGACACGCGAGTCTTCTAGAGGGCAGAAATGGCTTCGCGCTCCAGTTGGCGAAGCTTTCCCATCATCTGTTCGGTTGCTTGAGAGACTTGGCGTTTAGCTGTGGTAATGTTCGTTTCTAACTCAAGTTCCGTCTTCTCAAATTCACGAATAACACCTCGGCAAGCCTCTTTCTTCCCTTTGACCAGCTGCGCTCTGGCAATGATGTTTACTTTTTCATCGTCAGCTGCCTTTTCAAGCGGAACAACATCGTGGCTTTTGTGATCTGTGGCGATGCAAACTTGACATACACACCTTTGACAGTCAACGCAAAAAAAACGAATCACATCTTTTTTGTGGTAATTCTCTGAGCAAAATGACTGCCTTTTCAACAAGGCCTCGTAGTCTGCGGCTTGAAACTGTTGCACTGGTGTGACTTTGTGTCCCTCAAACATAGTTTCTCGAAACACTTCGTGTGCTTTCACACAGTCTGGGCACATAAACTTCTCGCAATCAAAGCAGTAGTTGATCTCAGCGCTCTTCTTCTGGCATGTACTACAGCTGATCTCCTTTCCTTTGCCACTACGTCGAACAGCAAGAAGACTCAACAAACTGTTGTGCAGAAAACTGCTTGGCAGATCATCAAAGCGATTTCCTTCGGGGATGCCAATTTGTGCCTGACACTCGGGGCATGGATAAAACCCTTGTTTTTGGCTCGTTAGTGCATGTCTCTCCAGGCATTCACAACAGAACGTATGAAGACAAGCGATGGTCTTTGGTTTAGTGTAGGTATCGAAACAAATCGAACATGTTACATGCTCTTTGAGGTTTTTTAGAAGCGACTCCATCACGAATCGCAGATAAAAACACAGCTTTGTTTTGTTTGAGATTCCGAGAAACTGAACTTGGATTAGCATACTATTTAAAGCAGCGAATCAGATCTCTGTGGGATCGCGTGATCTTTGCGCAGAGATTGACAGTTTACATTTCAATTTTATTCATTATTGTCTACTTTCTCTATCAAAGCGTACTAAAATCGATTCCATAGCGTGACCGAATGTGTCGCTCTACCTGCTGTATCATGAAAAACAACATGCTACGACGGATGGAAATAACCATCTACCCCATTTTATCATCGCTACATTTACCGCCGTTTCATGAGTTTGGGATTCCGACAAACTTGTTTGACACCACACGAGAAATAATCAGTATTCTATTAAAGCAGCGAATCGGATCTCTTCAGAAGAGATCTTGTGTTCTCTAGAGCGGCATTTGATAGCATCAGTTCTGGATTTCATTGTTTCTAATGAAGCGTGAGAGAAATAATTAACGGATGTCTGGTTTTCAAGAGCTTTCACGAGAGCGGACTAACGAAAAGGTAAAATCTGCTTACCTACGTTAAGGGAAACTAGCTCTCTAAAGGTTGTAATCTATTTTGATTCGTTTGCGTATCGCATTTGGTGCGGCTCGTGGGCTAGGATCAATGTCAAAGGAATTGCGACCCTACCCCTCCCTTAACCCAAAAACAGTCAACTAATAACAACTTAGGGTTAATGTTGTATTAGGGGAGGGGTAGGTGCATAGTTGTGTCAAGTAAATTTAGTTGAAAGTTAAAGAGGAAAAGAAAACGCTCAGCTGCGATTCTTCTCTGCAGCACTATTTTCAATAGGTGGCGATCTCTGTGAGAGCGGTCCAAGGCATTTTGCATCGGAAAAAAGTTTCGCCTCAAACTTTTCCCATTTTATTATCTTTTGTAGTAAGTAAATAAAACCTTGTTGGTTTCTGGAAATACGTTGAAAAATAATTTAGAGCTCTCAATAAGCAATGCTGCAGAAGGCCCTTCTGCTTTCTGAAATTGGTCAAAAGTACTGTTTCTTTCTTAGGTGATATTTCTCTGTCAGAAATTATTCAGCGTTAATTGATTTCCGGTTGATGTTTTGCGTTAAGTGACAGATGGTATAACAATAGGATCATATTATATATTTAAAATGAGATGGACCAGAGCGTGAGACTAATGACAGTGTGACAGAGAGGGAGATCAAGTTGAGTTTATAAGATAAAACGTGAAGTTTCAGAACATAGCCGACTCTTAAGTCTCATTTCCGACATCTCAAGTCTTGACCAGATCATTAAAGACTCCGGCTTATTTCTTCTAATAAGATGTTCCAAAGCATAGAAATATAAAAGCATATTGCACTTTCCTTCCTAATTTCCTTCTTCGTAATGACTTCAAACTTTTTATGATTTTGCTGGTGTGACAATAGATTATGCAATTTAGTCTTTTGAGCAAACTCCGACCGTTCTATATTGGTAGCTTCATAAATCTTCGATTTGAACCATTTTAAAAGGAAAAGATAGGAAGACAGAGCTATTAGAATACATCGATTGATATTCTAAACAGCTAAAATCTGGTAAATGATTTTGTCTCGTGACGAAAAAGGTTAACGAAACGTAACGAATATCAAGTTGATTTGCGTTCAGTCAACGTGTTATTTGTGTTTAGGGAACTTGAACTAGTTCAAACCTGTATGAACATTTCAAACCAAACTACAGCATTTTATTTAGCGATAAACAACACTAGACTACGGGCAGTTCCTCATTGTCGGTAAAGTTATACTAAAAATATCAGTGAGGGAGGGGAATAAAACATGACCTGCGCGACCTCCACCACTTCTGGGTGAACTAAAAGTTAAAAAAATATTACAAGATTGACAGGTTTATAAGTATCCAGTTGGAAGTTTCATAAAATCTTGGTCTCGTTTGTTGCAGTTCGGTACTTGATTGTTGGAATAAGTACTACAAAATGGGTTTGCTAGTCTAAATGACAAGTTTAAGAAGTGTAATAAGTGGGGGCCTTTTTCTTGAAAGGCCTGGTAACTTAAAAGGCCTGTAAAGCAGTTCTGTTTACAATCAAGATAGGCTTTAAACAATTTTGAAAATAACACAATTAAACTATCAGCAAAATATTAAAAATGAACCAGTTAGGGTATCCGAACCAGCTTCTCTATTCTTCAAATATTAACTATAAAATAGGGTTTGGGGTCCGTTGAGTTACCGGTACTATCAAGAAACAAGATGGCCCTACAACTTTCTCTCTCTCTCTCTCTCTCTCTCTCTCTCTCTCTCTCTCTCTCTCTCTCTCTCTCTCTCTCTCTCTCATGTACCCATACTTCAGTACTTCACTTGGTGATTCAGGCTCCCATCGCTTGCTCCTTCCCTAAGGGAACCCACCTCATTCAGAATCCTTCTGCGTTTCAGAACCCAGTCTGTTTCTACAGTGTATGCACCAAATAGGAGACATTGTCCCCTAATGCTGTCGTTGTTCGACATTTTGACAGTTTGAAGTAAAACCTAATGCGTAGCAATTCTAGATAAGCCCTCTCTACACAGAAGGCAGGTTTGTTACATTAAGCCGGAAACAAGCATGGAAGCATGAAAATGATGGAAATAAAACTTTTTAGTGCTGCCTTCTTTGTATCATAGTCCAGTTACTCAAAACCTTTTTGACAACCCTGAGAGGGCATTACTTGGCCGTGGGTTAATACCAATTTATCCTCAAGTGCCGACAATATCTGTCACTCGTATGAGATATTATAAACTTGTGTTCAACAACGGACAAATAATGTTCTGTTTAGTCCAGATCTATGGTTACTGAATACGTATTTAAACCAAAAGCAATTTTAAAACGCACAAAAACATCAAATGCAGAAAACACTGGCACATTGGTCAGCTCACAGAAACGCTATTTCAACTTCTAACTAAATGTAAAACAAGTTCTCATTCAAAACATACAGTAAAGGTCGGTATAAATAGTTTATCAATCTAATTGTAGTTCTGATGTTGCCTTAGTAACTTATGATTTGTACATAGCGATATAAACCTCTGTATTCTTCAAAAGTACATTTCAGCTGAGTGTCCTACAACCAAATCCAAAGTGATCACTACTGCCAATCATCAAGCTTTTTTAAATTGAGTATCCAAAAACCAAAACCTAAGTAGTAACAACTACCAATCAGAACAAAAGGTTTAGATTTACATTTGATTGGTTGAGATTGTGACGTGAGTTTTCTGGACCAATCACACAACAAAGTAAAGCAAAACCAAAGCAATCCAGCATCACTTTAGATACTTAGTTGAAAACTGCTCTAACAGAAGAAATATGACAAAATGCCCGAGATAACTCAAAGAAAAAAAACTGAAAAGAGCCTAGAGCGCTGGAAATATACGAATGGCCCAACTCCAACACTCGATCATGATAAGGCTCGTACCTGATTGGTCAAGAGGGAGGCATAGGCTCTCTAAACCGATGACAGACTACAGTCAAGCTAAATCAATGCCTACGACTATATTCATGACTACTTTCGACACTTAATTAAAAATTTCTTTTACAGTTTACAATATTACCATACAAAGACTAGTCTTAAAAGAATTCTGAACATGACTAATGATTAGGTCTCTAGATACTGATGCTGTATTGCACTACTCGTTAGGCCTGATCTGTAGAGTTATTTTCTGTTGGTTATCCAGGCATTCTCGTAGTTTATTCTCAGTCCTTGTAAGCCTATGTTCCAAAATTGAAACCCTCTGCAACAAAAAGTGGCTCAATGAATATGAAAATCTCTCCCCAACACCAAAAATGTCGTAAAAAAGTCAAATATCATTGAGTTTAAGCGTAAGCTAATACATCTCCATGTTGCACGAAATCTTTGACTCGTCTCTGTACAACAAAAAACTCATATAAGACTGTTCATAACCTTTTTCCCGACGGGAGCCATGGACTTGACAGCTAATTGCTGTTTCAGAAATGAACCCCACCTTGCGATCAGGTATTCCTTTTTCTAAGGGGAGGGGGAAGAGAGAAAGAACAACTGTAGTGTTTCCTCCACCATCTTCCCCCCCCCCAACGCGCCTCATTCAGGCTAAATGAATCTATGCCTCTTAAATACTGATAAAAAGGAACTAACTAAAATTGAGTGCACGAAAGCCGTGCTCCCCGTTTCTGTCTTGTGTCTTGTTTAAGGAAGGGTGTTTTAAAATGGATATTGATTGATGGCTGATAGGTGTAAACTTTTCATCAGGCCACACCTTTTCGCTCTTTTCTCCCTGACATGGGTACCCCTTCAACTCCTGGTATTTTCCCAATGAATAACAGCGTGATGAGGTCATTAACAGTAGTGTATCCCCCGTTCCCACCCCCAAGGTTCTTGGTTTCTAAAATAATTCCCTGTTCAGAAATGTTTCCACAACAAAAGACTGTGTAAGCACATCCAGTTGGCCCACGATTTACTCCAGTGTCATGCTCAGTTGTAGAGGAGTATCTCTTCTTTCTAGGGGTGTGGTGAGGGGAAGCTGTGAAGCTGGAATGCCTCCCAAACCATCAGCCTCCCCATTCCTCCCTGTAACTTCATCTAATTTTCTCTGTCTCTGAACAATCAAAATGTGCAAGACAACATCTTGGTTAACTTGGCTCTTAAACTGAACCAAGTAAGGCAGAAGGGGTTCTTGGGAACTTTACATCTCAGCTTTCTGATGCAATCTTCCAAAGTCAAAAATAATCCTAAATACCCTACTTCATCCAAAGAAGAGTTTTTAGTACAGTAAAAAGATGATTAATCTATTACTCGTGCAGCCATTCTTGTTGCACAGTAACACACGTTTGAAAATCAAACGAGTACATTTATTCACAATGCTTTCAATAAGATATTTGTTTTATCAATAGTCAATGCTATAGAAACTTAAAGGATAAGCGCTGTCGAACAGTTCATGAATACAGTGGAAAATATCCTGTAATATCTGTAATTCATTCAATCAATCGACACTTTCATAATACTTAAAGGAGCTTATTAATGAAAACTCCTGCATGCATAAAATACCTAAATAGAAATGCAAACTTGATGCATTCAAAACACTCCTCAGTCTTTAGACGGTTTCTAATAACATTTTAAATGTTGTTCCTCCAAAAGTAACGAAGCACTACGAAATTGTTGAATTGTTTACAGCTTAATCATGCAAGCTGCTGTCAATGTGTTAATTTAAAACTTTGATACAAAGGTATGCTTCATTTGATGAGAGAATTACTATTATTTAACTTAACCAAAACTCTACCAAAATATGCTCACGGAAAAGTCTACTACTTGCTGGAAAAATGTAAAGTTGATAAGTAAAATTTATCATCAGCAATTTAAATTAATCAATGCCACTGTACATTTATTTCGCAGAAATGTTTTTTTTTTGCCTTAATAATACTCCTAAATCTTTAAGCGGTTACAAAGCTTAATCTCGTTTGAAATCGATTTTGTGGTCTGTCAAAACTATAACAAAATTCCTGCATGTGATTGGTTATCACCAGCTCGATTTGAGCACCAATTGGACAGTGCAGATGTCATGCTTGTAACTGGACAATTGAATAGAACAGATGATATGTCATGCCTGTGTTAATGGACAATGCGCGTCATATGCAAGCGCTGTTGTCGCGCATTTCGGCGACTGAACCGTTGTCTTTTCATGAAAACGTATAACCGATGTCTAGTTTCTTTCGTAAACTAGTGATTGACAAATGGGACTCCCCGTTCGTAGTCGTCCGATTTTGTCAATCACTCGTATGATTATAGACCGAATTGGACTCCACTCAGTCCTATTACTATAACTTAATAAAAGCTCACACAATCACATTTCTGAAGTGATGAATCATCAATTCTTTGAACTGTCCTAGAAAAATTAGAAGGCAAGTTGCTGATTCTAGCCATTTTCTTTCAAGTTCTCTTGTGACACGTGGCTTACGAAGAATTGATTGTTACTTTCAAAAAAGGGTATTCATTTCAGAATGTAAACTTCTTTCTCTCCGAAGTCTGTGACCAAAATCCGATCATCTAGCATTGGGGTGACATTCCACGGCCATCCAAATTGAATATTAGTACTTGCCTTTCCAGTGAAAGTTCCTTCCAATGTAAACTGTTGAATTCGATTATTCCCCCTCTCACATAAGAAAACATTGTTATGTTTGTCAACACCTAAGTCATACGGCAGATTTAATCGTCCATCACCGTTTCCTTTTTCTCCAAACTTGTACAAAAACTGTCCTCTCTCATCAAACACTTTCACACAGTTATTATTCATGTCAGCTACAAAGAACTTTTCCTCGTAACAAAAGCAGCCGACGGGATGATCCAGCCTTTCTGGACCGCTGTCTCCAAACTTAAACACAGGTTCACCATCCATTGTAAACACCTGAATTCTGCTATTATAAAAATCCGTTGCAACGATAAAACGTCCATCACTTGTAATACAAACACTTGTAGGCATCTTAAACTCTCCATCTCCAATTCCCTGTTTTCCAAAGCTTTTCACAAAGTTCCCTGTCTGTACATTCAACTGCTGTATTCGGTGATTTAATTGATCGGCCACCAGAATCTCGTCATCGTTTACGAACGTGACGTCGACTGGATTCTCTAATTGTCCATTCTCATTTCCATAAGAACCAATTTTTCGCACAAACTTTCCTGTCTTATCAAATACCAGGATACAATGACCTTCACGATCAGCCACAGCAATAACACCTTTACTGTTCACTGCAATGCCGGCTGGACCTCGGAGCATTTCTCCATGTAAGTCCAACTTGCCTACAACATTTAACTCTCGTGCTTTGACCAGAATACAAAATGGACTCTTGGCAAGTTTCTGTTCATTTATCTTTAATTCTATTTGATAAGTACCTGCTACTTTCGCTACAAATTTTGCTTGGAAATTTCCATCTTCTCTTTCACTCGTCGCCAAACTCCTCACCTGATCCGCAGGGTCTATGTGTATTTCAACACGATCTGTGTGCTGAGTGTTTCTGATTTCTCCTTCGCTTGATTTGGGACAAATCAGTAGCTCTGCCTCTACACCAGCTTGAAAATTCTGATCCAGTCCTTCCACGGTCGATCCTTGCACATCTGTTTTGCTGAATTTCGTAAATCCCAGACTCAAACTCTCTGTTTCACATGTCGACACAAACTCCACCCACGAGCTAACCGGAAGTACTGGCATTGTGGTCTCGATGAGGTCGTTGATTCGTTCTTCTACATTTTTCTTGTTTTGCATTATGTCTGAACTTGAGCTACTTTCAACCAGGTTGTTACTGAACTCAAATGCTTGGTCAAGTTGCTTTTCCAAAGAGACAACCGATGCCTTTCCAGACTGTAATTTCTCAATCCTTGACACGCGACTCTTCTCTAGGGCAGTAATGGCTTCATGTTCTAGTTGGCGAAGCTTTCCCATCATCTGTTCGGTTGCCTGGGAAACTTGGCGTTTAGCTGTGGTAATGTTCGTTTCCAACTCATGTTCCGTGTTCTCAAATTCACGAATAACGCCTCGGCAGACCTCCTTCATCTCTTTGACCAGCTTTGCTCTGGCAATGATGTTTGCTTTTTCATCGTCCGCTGCCTTTTCAAGCGGAACAACATCGTGGCTCTTGTGATCAGTGGCGATGCAAACCTGACACACGCAGCTTTGACAGCCCACACAGAAAAACTTTGTCACTTCTTTCTCGTGATACTTAACGGAGCAAAACGACTGCCGTTTCAACAACGCCTCGTAGTCTGTAGCTTGAAACTGTCGCACTGGTGTGACTTTGTGTCCTTGAAACAAAGTTTCTCGAAACACTTCGTGTGCTTTCACACAGTCTGGGCACATAAACTTCTCACAATCAAAGCAGTAGTTGATCTCAGCGCTCTTCTTCTGGCATGTACTACAGCTGATTTCATTTCCCTCGCCGCTGCGTCGAACGGCGAGAAGACTCAACAAACTGTTGTGCAGAAAACTGCTCGGTAGATTATCAAAACGCTTTCCTTCAGGGATGCGAATTTGTGCCTGACACTCGGGGCATCGATAAAACCCTTGTTTTTGTCTCGTTAGTGCATGTCTCTCCAGGCATTCACAGCAGAACGTATGAAGACAAGCAATGGTCTTGGGTTTGGTGTAAGTATCCAAACAAATCGAACATGTTACATGCTTTTTGAGGTTTTTAAGAAGCGACTCCATCACGAATTGCTGAGTAAAACACAGCCCTGTTTTGTCTGAGATTCCGAGAAACTGAACTTGGATTAGCATTCTATTTAAAGCAGCGAATCAGATAAGTCTCTGTAGGATCGCGTGATTGACAGTTTTGAATTACAATTTTATTCACCTGTTGTTTACTTTCTCTAGACCGAATGTGTCGCTGTAGCCACTGTATCACGAAATACTCTACGCTGGGAACGTTTGTTAATATACCATTTAGCTCATTTTATCATCGCTACATTAACCGCCGTTTAGTGAGTTTGGGATCCCGAGAAACTTGTTTGATTCCACACGAAAATTATTAGAGAGGTTTTTTGGAAGTGACTCTATCACGAATTTCAGAGAGAAACAGACCCTGTTTTGTTTGGGATTTCGAGAAACTGAATTCTATTTAAAGCAGCGAATTACATCTCTTAAGAATCATGTGAGCTTCCTGCAGAGATTGACAGTTTCGCATTTCAATTTTTCTTCACCTATTGTCTACTTTCTCTATTACTGCGTGACCGATGCTCAGAAAGCCAACCACTTGTTGCAGAAATAGGGTTAACTAAATGTAGGTGAAAGTTAAAAAAAAAAGCTCGACTGCAATTCTTCTCTGCGATACTATTCAGTTTATCCTTGTGACCAAACAACTTTCAAACATCAGTCTTCCGGTTCAACAAATGCGAACAGAACGGGGGGAGGAGGGGGATGATGGGTGAAAACTGAAAAAGAGACTCAATTGAAAGGAGATGGAGGAGTCACCTTACCTAAGCTCTTCTCTTTACAAGCGCTCGGCCCAACAGAGGGTGAACCTGGTGTGGTCTCGCCTTTGGTCCATGGCTGTTTAAATAAAGTGTATGCATCTAATAAGAGATTTTGCCTCCTAATGCTGTTGTTGTTTGGCATTTGAAAGTTTGAAAAAGATAATGCGTAAAATTCTAGATAAGTCCGTTCTACATAGAAGGTAGGTTCGTTACATTAAGCCCGTAACAGACATGGAAGCATGACAATGGTGGAAATAAAACTTTTTAGTGTGGCCTTCTTTTCTTGGTATCACAGTCCAATTACTCTGAATGTAAATGGTAGGTTCCTTTAGCACTAGGCCCAGTCTCTGCCGAGGTTTTGCCATTCGCACCACGTTAAACCACGCCACACATGTGTTCTCATCGCTTGATATTCTCGCCTTTATTTTTTCGGATGAGGATCGTTTAACTAGACTTACATCGAAGAAAAAGAACCTTTCGGAACCATTACGGATATTGTACCACTGTTCAAGGTTACGGAAAAGGACACTTGCTTGTTTGAAAGGATTTATCATACAGTATTGTATTCGCACAATGTGCTGAGCGTAGTTGATCGGATCGAATAAAACGTGGTATTGACACTGAATTGACGACTGTTACACAAAATCTTTTTGACAACCCTGAGAAGGCATTTCTTGGCCATGGGTTGATACAAATTTATCTTCGATGTCGACAATATCTCTCTTTTGTGAGAGATATTATAAACTCGTATCCACCAGCGGACAAATGATGTTCTGTTTAGTCTAGATCTATAGTTACTGAATACGTATTTAAACGAAAAACAATTTTAAAACACATAAAAACATTGAGTACAGAGAACACCAGTAAATAATATCAGCTAATAGAAAAGCCACTTCAACCTCCGACTAAATGTAAATCAAGTTCTCATTCCAAACATACAGCAAAGGTAGGTATAAATAGTTTATTTACCTGCTTGCAGTTCTGACATTGCCTTAGTAACTTTATATGATATTTACACACAGATATAAAACACTGTATTGTCAAAAAGCACATTTCAACTGAGTGTCCTACAACCCAATCCAAAGTGATCATAACTGCCAATCATCGAGCACTTTTCAATTCAGTATCGAAAAACCAAAATCAAGGTAATCACAACTTCCAATCAGAAAAAAGGTTACCATGATTATTAGCCAATGAGAACTCAGAGTAGAAACAGCCAACTTCTTTAAAGCGCGGGAAAACGCGAGTTATCAGGTCGTGTTTGGTTTTAGTTTTACATTTGATTGGTTAAGATTGTGGCGCGAGTTTTCTGGACCAATCACACAACGAAGTAAAGCAAAACCAAAGCAATACAACATCACTTTCGATACTCAGTTGGAAACTGCTCTAACAAAGGGAATATAACAAAAGGCCAGAGATGACTAAAAAAAAAAAAAAAAACTAGCAAAGAGCCTGAAGCGCTGGAAATATACAAATGGCCCAACTCCAACACTTGATCTTGTTTAGGCTCGTACCTGATTGGTCAAGAGGACGGCATAGGCTTTCTAAACCAACAACAGACTAAAGTCAAGTTAAACCAATGTCCATGACTATATCCATGCCTACTTTCGACACTCAATTGAAAATTTCTTTCATAGTTTACAATATTATCATATAAAGACTAGTCATAAAATAATTCTGAACATGTCTAATGATTAGGTCTCTAGATTCTGTTGCTGTATTGCGCTACTCGTTAGGTCTGATCTGTAAAGTGATTTTCTGTTGGTTATCCAGGCATTCTCGTAGTTTATTCTCAGTCATCGTTAGCCTTTGTTCCAAAATTGAAACCGTCTGCAAGAAAAAGTGGCTCAATGAATATGACAATCTCTCCCCTACACTGAAAAATGTTTTTAAAAAATCAAGTATCATTGCGTACAAGCGAAAGCTAATACATCTCCACGTTGCACAAAAGTTTGCCTCGTAACTGTACAAGAAAAAAAATTATAAGAGACTATTCGTGACCTTTTCCCCGAAGGCGGTTATGGACTTGACAGCCAATCGCTGTTGTAGAAATGAGCTCAATCTTGCAATCAGGTAGTCCTTTTTCAAGGGAAAGGGTAGAGTAGATCTTGCAATCAGGGAGTCCATTTTAAGGGGGAGGATTAAGAGATAGAGAGAGAACGATTGTAGTGCTTTCCCACAAAAAATTCCTGATTCAGAATAAAAGAGACCATGCTTCTGAAAGGCTAGTAGAAGGAAATAGCAAAAATTGACTACAATATGAAAGCCACGCCCCCCGTTTCAAAGTCTCTCGTCTTGTTTAAGGAAGGATGTTTTAAAATGGACATTGATTCGAAATTGATATGTGTCAGCTTTTCATCAGGCCACACCCTTTTGCTCCTTTTCCCCTGACATGGTCCCCCTTCAACCCTTGGTATACTCCCCAATGCGTGATGGGGTCATTAACAGATGTGCATCCCCACCCCACACCCAAGGCTCTTGGTTTCTACAAATAATTCCCTGTTCAGATATGTTTCCACGACCAACCTGTGTTAGCACATCCAGCTGTCCCACAATGTGCTCCAGTGTCATACTCAGTTGTGGAGGAATATCTCTTCTTTCTAGGGGTGTGGTGAGGGGAGGCTGTGTAGCTGGAATGCCTCCCAAACCATCAGCCTCCCCAGTCCTCCCTGTTACTTCATCTAATTTGCTCTGTCTCTGAACAATGAAAATTTGCAAGAAAACATCTTGATTAACTTTGCTCTTAAACTGAACCACGTCAGGCGGAAGGGGATCTCGTGAACATCACATCTTAGCTTTCAACTAATGCAATCTGGCAAAGTCAAAATAAAATCCTAATGGCCTACTTCATCCAAAAAGAGATTTTAGTACAAAAAAACAAGAAAATTTATCTACTGTTCGCTTTTTCCTTGCAGCTTGCGCCGTTTCCGTGTGACACAAACCACTCATGCGCAATTTCTTCCCCTTACTATATCCTCCTCTCACAAACTTAGGAAGGCTAATTGAAAGGTAGACGCTATATTTTTACCTTCTTAAACGGAAAGTAATGGAAGCAGCGCATTCAGGGAGATTCAGTTTGGGAAAGGGAAAATCATTGAAAAATCTAACTAAGGGAGTGATCGTTATTTATCGATGTGGGCTCCAGAGGAAAAAGTGTTAAAAGGGTACCTGAGGAATTGAAAACATGGCGGGCCCCACTTCAACCACTTCTGGGTCACCAACAGCGAGATTCCTGGGCTCTGCTCCAGCTCTGACCTGTAAAATGAAACAAATCAATTCAGGTATTTCCCACCTTCGCGGGTGTCTTTCGGGAAAAAAGTCCTACGCGCGCTAGTTTCACTAAAATCTTAGCAAACTATACATCAGAAGAAAGCTTTTATGACTGCAGTATACGATAAAAATATAATTTAAGTGACTTTTCTTTTAAAGAAGTGCCAGAAGCCGGTAACACGTGAAACGACCGAAGGTTCTTCTATGGAATTCATCTGGTACTGGATGCCGCAGCACAAGCAAAATAGCTGCACAGTCTCATTCACAAGGCATTAATCAACATAAGGGTGTCAGACTTTTTCGATATTCTGATTGGTTGTCTAGATATCGGTATCTAAAGTTGAAGTAGCTAAAACTATGCCAGGCGTGTTGCGTAAATGGACGCCATGGAACAAATATTTCAAATACTAAAATTTCCCGACACATTTTCGTTTGTCATTATTCCTAGAATGGTTTGGCGAAATTTGACGAAAATCGGTCAAATCTATAGACCCTATAAATTCGCTCAAAGTGGTTGCATTCCTCCCAAATTCAAATGCGAGATTTTAGTTCATAAAGGTTTGCAAACAACTCGCGTCACGCTAGATTACCTCGCCTCCTAAAACCGATGTAAACAAAATATGGAAATATCATCGAGCCTCAACATGAGCGGTTGCCGCGAAAATTTCCCCCAAGGGATTCGCCCAGGTTCGAGATTACGACACCTTCCTGATTTATTAACTTTTGTTTGAAAATACGTTTTTCTAAATAACTCGGTTGCTTTTAAGGATTTCTGAAAATTTTTGAATGGAAACGTTAGTTTGAATGTTTGAATTCAGTTTAGTCAAATAAAACAAAAATCAATTTTTTCGGCCTCTGAGGTTGGGAAGTAACCTTTTTAACATAATCAGCATTTTCAAACAATTATCAATTAAGTGTCAAAGGTAATCCAAGATTGCTTTGGTTTAATTCACTGTGCTCTGTGATCGGTCAAGAAAACTCGTGTCACTTACTGAACCAATCAGACTCAAAACTCCAACCACCTTGTTTGTTTTCACTGTCAGTTCTCATTAGCTGCACGTGTTATTTTCTTTTCATCTGGTTGGTCTTTGAGATTTCTTAGGTTTTGATTTTACACCCCTCCCCCCCTCCTCAGCATTTCGTCAGGTTTCCTTGACAGTAACACCCATTTATAATCCTGGGTGGAGAGGGGTGCTGTGAAAGTAAAGTGTCTCACCCAAGAACACAACACAGTGTCTTGTCCAGGTATTGAACCCAGGGCTCTTAAGACCTTTACTCCTCACTCCTTAACATTAGTATACATATTCTCCCTACTGCTCTCTAAACATTTCCTTAGGTGCTGAAAAGGAGAATTTGACTAACAATCAAGAAGGTTTTTTATTTTGTGATCATTTCCTACTTTCTCATGACCTTAATGTTTGATTCAGGGGTGATATTGAAAGGAGAAATTAGATGCTAATCACTCTTAAGAGAACAGGTTAAGCCACAATCTCATACTTAACCTTCTTATTTGTTCTTAAAATTTCCTTTATGATGAATTCACAGCTTGTCCAGACTTACCTCTGGTGCAGCTTCCTTGGATGGAATCCTTGGAGGGGGATCATGAGTATGTGGTGTGGGTACAGATGGAGATGCTGCTCTTTTTCTGTGGGAACGTAGCACTGAAAGCAACAGAAAAAGCTATTGAACACCCTACCAGTCACATGTAGGAGGCTAAAGCAGCTAAAAAATTAAAAACAAACAAACAAAAACAAACAAACAAAAACAAACAAACAAAAACAAACTTGAAGACAAAAACGTCTGATTAGCTCCTGAGAATTGACATGAAATGTTAACCCTTTAACTCCCAGAAGTGATCAACATGTGACTTCTCCCTTAAAATATCCATGTATAATCCAGCAAACATGTAATGAGAGTAATCAAACTTATCAGGTGTTGCTATCTTGATCTAACAAAGAATTCTCATCACTAATTTACAGGGAAATGTGTAGAAGTTAGAGGGGAGAATTAACTAGCAGATCTTGGGAGTGAAAGGGTTAAATGCCATTGTCAGAAAACTTCCTAGGAATCCCAATCACTTGTCTGGGGACCCTTGTTAGTTGCCATGGAAACTTCATCTCAAAACCTCCTCAGGACGTTTCTGATTTCATCTTGGTGGAGCACTCATATACTGCAGTTTGAAAAGAGCCATCTCATACATGTAGCTCATATAAAAACATCTTTCATAATTATAAATTGAAACAAGTTACCTTCATCATAATCAACTTTATCAAAGTTTGTCTTCCACACCATTACCTGAAAAACATGAACACTTAGTACCTAAGAACTCAATTTTTATTACAAGATCAACTGTTAAAATAAGAACAGGTACACTTTCTTTCAGCTGAGAAAAACTACAATAATTTGCATTTTACCTGCTCATCTGAACTTCCTGATGCAAAATATTCACCATTTTGTGAGAAAATTACACATGTTGCTGGTCCCTTAAATATGGGGAAAAAAGCAAGATATGTTAAAACATTTCTAAATGCTTTTTATATAAACTTAATTATTTATGTAAACCTAAATAAACTTAACTTGATTTATGATATTAATTTATAAAGCAACTGCAACACTAGACATGCTCTCATTGCTCCATTGGTAATTAGATGAGAATAATGTTTTAGATTTGTACACCAGTTTTAAGAGATTATTTTCCTTGTGTTTACATAGTCTCATATGAAGAAGGCAGAATTCTCAAAAGTTTTGCAAACTCTCTAGATAACTGTCTTCCATTCATTCAACCTCCCTCATGATTAGATGAGGCTGTATAAACACTGAAAAAATCATTTACTGTGTAAGTATGGGATTCATAGGTCGGAGAAATCCTATTTGAGAAGAATTAACTTTATCCCATTTAAGACTACAATTTTAATATATTTAGCCATGATGATAATGTATTGAAAATTTGACATAAATATTGTAACTTAATATCATTTTTTTAAAATAAAAATGAAATGAAAAATAATAACAAACTAACTTCTGCTACACCTTGTACAAACCTGATGTCCATGGAGTGTGTAAAACAGTCTTCCTTCCATCAAATCTAATATCTGGAGAAAATATAGTATTTTTGGTTACACACTTTTTCAAATTTCAAAAGTGCACTTTTAATGCACAAGTCAAAGGGAAAGGGGAGAGGGATCAGTAAAATGGGTGTGCTGTAGCCCAAAAGTAATGGATGCAGGCTCAGCCTCATTAAATTTCACACTGTATCAAACATAAAATTTATATCGCAAACTGTGATTATATAGAGCAAATAAGCAAGTGACAGGAAGATGAGAAGGTGGTTTCTAATAGATACAAAAGTGTAAACAAAGAACGAGGAAGAGAGTGCTCACCTCCCTCCACCTTTGCCCCAGGTTTAATTCCTAGAGTGGGTGTCACATGTGGGTTGAGTTTGTTATTGGTTCTTACCCTTTCTCAGAGGGTTCTTCTCCCTGTACTAAATCCAACATTCCACAATCTAATTCAATCTGGAAACAGTGTACACTTAAAGAGCCACTGCAGGAATGTCTGTCGCAAAATTTCCATCATTTATCATAATTATTTAATATTATTATTTGCTCCTGAGTCTCCAAAGACGACACTGACCTTAAGTGTTGTATCACTTGAAGCTGATACAAGATAATTTCCAGATGGATGAAATGAAACAGCATTCACAGCATTTGTATGTGCTACAAATTGAAAACAATAGTTCTATTAAAGAACATCGAAGATGATTGTAAAACTCTAACCATAAAAGCTGGTTCAAACAATCTTTGCATCTGCAAATCAATTTGTATACAGACATAGTTTGAAGCTACACTGGTTTGCAGATTTAATGAATGTAACCGAAGAAGTTACAATTCATAGACCCAACGTTTCGACACTCCTGTCTAGTGCCTTCATCAGGGGTGATCTAAACGCTGCAACAAGAGGTCCTTTTATATGATCACTAATTAGCGGCCTTTTTTCTGACGAGGTGTAAATAAGCGTCAGGAAGCAGACCGCCATCGTCACGATTTAAAGGAACGTGGGCGGAGTTAATGTGCCAAGCCTCCAAACAAAGGCGCTGGTGGTAACGCCGATTAGTGGTGATAATTCTAGAATTATCCCACCCAATTGTATGGTTGGTTAGGCAAGTATGCTCCGATAAAGCTGAATTTTCCTTTTTGCAAAGAAAAACCGCTTTTTGGTGCTCTTTTAACCGTGTACCAAACTGGCGTTTGGTCTGTCCGATGTATTCGTTATCAGTCATTGCAAGGAATAGAATAAATGGCGTCGGTTCGTTGTTCTTTCGTGACAGGATCCTTAGGTTTGGCGAAAATATGCCCCAAAGTCTGAAAAGGTTTTTGAGCAACTTTAACGTTGTGGCTATTCAAAATTCTCTTGATGGGTTCAGTAACATGGTTCGTACGCTTTTGACTTTCTGACATTCCATGACTTTCCATGACTTTTTCCATGACCTTTTCCGATTTTCCATGACCCATTTCAAATTATTTTTCTCAATATATACTTACAGTACCATCAATTCGTTTTTTCCTTGCATGTTAACCAAATTGTAGAAAAGAAGAAGATGCTAAGACCAGTTAAATTCATACGTATAACACGGAATCTTTATTTCCGTGCAACAAAATGACACAAGTGCAACAACACGACGTAAACAGATACTTTTTTACTAAACTTTACAGTCCAGAACTATATCTTTTAAATTTCCTAAGATAAACTTTACAGTCCAGAACTATATCTTTTAAAATTTCCTTATAAAACTGTACAGTCCAGAACTATATCTATTAAAATTTCCTAACAAAATCTATACAATGCAGACTTAATTTCCTAACAAAATCTGTACAATCCAGAACTATATCTTTTAAAATTTCGTAACAAAAACTGTATAATCCAGACTTAATTTCCTAACAAAACCTGTACAGCCCAGAACTATAAAATCTTAATTTCCTTACAATACAGTCATTGTTTCAGTGTTCACAATTGCAGTATGAGGTTTCAGTTTTCATCTACAATATAGAAAAATATATGAGTGCATCCTTGTATGAACAAATCTATTTGTTCAATGGTTAAATGCTTGCAATTCTGGTAAATAACTTCAAGAAAGCAGTACTTTTGGACAGGTTGTCACTCGGACTTATTTATCACACTCTTCCAATTCCTTGTTTAAGTTTTCTAGTTCTATCTTCTTCTCCTTTGCTGCATTTCTGAGTGCATTTGATTCGGTTAACAAGACGAGCTGCCTCTTCACCTCAGCCTCTTTAGCTAATTTGTCAGCATCAAACTGTAAGGTGGTGATCTCTGTTTCAAGTCTCTTCTTTTTCTTCTGGAAATCAGCTTTTGCTTCATCCACAGATTTTCGTTTGTGGCTTTTGGCAACATTTTTCGCAAGCTGTCGCTGCTCTTCAAGATGGGCGTGATACCGCTGTCTTCCTGCTTTAGCAGAGGTAAGAAGCTCGTTCGAAATGACCAATTTATGAAATCCATCAATACTCAATATGTGGTCATGAATGGTGCGTTGGGCAACGAAAGTGGTCTCCTTCATATTCTCAATCATTAGCTGTCGGTTAACGGAAAATCCCCTTTCTACACTTGCTTGCCCATGTGAGAGACACAAGAGGAATTTCACAACGTCCCACAGTTTGGAAAGTGAACCGACAAGACCAATGTGTTTTTGGAGAAATGCATCCAATCTCTGATCTGTAAAGTCAAAGTCTTCAAACTCAGACTTGTGCACCTGTGTAGCCCGTTCCGTAAATTCACTGTACTGTGACAACAAAATGTCACAATCATGAATATCAACCCTCTTGCATTCTACCAATTTCTTGAGGACAATCTTGAACCTCGCACAGCTTGCTTCTTTCTCTGTCACAATATGAATCGGATCCAAACAGCACAGGTTCCTGGCAAGGAATAGGCAATTGGGGTCTTCTCAATAAGTTTTCCAACTGTAGCTGTAAGGAACGACTGGAATTCCTTCCTAAATTCATATGTCTGACGATCACTGATTTTCTTGGCTGCTTGCAATTCTTTCAGCTTCGTGGCAGCAACAAAACCAACATCCAACTTCTCCACGTCAAGGCAATTCTCCCTCTTCTTGAAGTCAATCTTCAGAAGCTTTACTGCAGAGCTGGCACCCTGGAGTACATCAGCTTTGACGAACCTTTTCATGAGACCACGAATCACCTTCTCTAGACTGCTGGCCACAAATGGTAGAAGAGGGCTGTCGCTTTGGAACTGTACCAGAAATGGTTGCAGCTGTTTAGCCACTGACTCAAAAGCAGCAAATTTGAGAGGCATTAGTGGATCTTGGGTTGAATCTCTTATCGTCTTGTAGGACTTTGAAGTTGGCACACTATATTTGCTGCTACGTTGCACCGTTGTCACATAGAAAGTGACTTCTTTCCATATTTCCTGGGCCCGTACTACAACTGGCAGGTTCTCCAGCCATCTGTGCTTGCAGTACTTAATTGGAAATACAACACTGCTGGTTATTTCTGTGTAATCCTCTCTTCGTGCTGGTGAATCCACAAATAACCAATGAAGAGAAGACAGAACTTCCTGAATGCTCCAAGTAGATGCCTTTGATCCAGCTTTGAAAGCATTGTGTACAATGTGAAGTCCACAAGAGCCTACGTTAACTAAGATGGGTGCGTTTTCGTCAACCTCAGAGATCAGTTCCTGGAATAGCTCATGCAGTTTCCAATTCACGTTAGGCCCGTCCATTGACAACTGCAATATGTTGGACTTCTGAATCTTGATACTATCAAGGTAGCTAACGATCTTTTCCAAAAGGTCGTCGGCTGTAGCATGTCCCAGAAATACAGAGGTTAGGTACCTTGTCTGCACTCTGGAGTTCTTTTTTGCATCCCAAAACCTAACATGCAGATCCATCTGCTTGGTTTGGGTAACTTTATTGTGCGATTCATCAAAAAGTAAAACAAACAATTCAAGTTTTGTGACTTCATCCGTAAGCTTACGTTGGAAATAGGGTGCTATGCCAAAACAAGCTAAGTAAGCACATTTTTCTCGCCACAGGAAAACTTGCTGGCTATCTGGCTGTCCGAAACATACGTTTAAATAGTTCTGGAATGTCCTCACAGCTCTTGTAACTATAGTGAGACAAGATTACTTTCAGTGCCCACAAAACTTCTGCAGCAAGTGTCTCATTTGAAGCCACATAATTTCTTATATCACCGGCACCGGAAGAACATGGCTGTTCAGAGCGTCCTACTTCATGTGAACCACGCTGGCTTCCAACAGCAGGTAAAAAGTTTCTGAGGCTGGCATTGCTACTCTCGTCTAAAATCAAATTAAAAAATGTTTGTTTATGAATATCGTCAAAAATGAGCCCTAATTAAATGAATTTACTGTCACAGAAATCCTGGAATCTCAAAATTTCACAATAGCCTCATCGAAATTGCAATCCACTTATAAAAATAAACCATATTTTACAGGCGCCACAACAGAACTGAAGGAGGGGGGGCTGAAGCCATAATTAATCCCAATGCTGAGCCACAAATGTCAAGGAAAAATAAAAACTCACTTTTAGTGTATTAGTGTTGTATCGCATAGTATTAACTATTGTATAAATTTTGTATTAATAAATAAAGATGCGCTAAATAAAAAAATATGAAATGGCCGTTTTGCTAGTCCCTCATAATACATTAACTTTATATCTGAAATTTAATATACCTCCGAGTTTAGTCCCACCGGCCCCCAACCCCCCCCCCCCCCTGCAGCCTCTCAAAAACTCAAAAGAACACTCTTGCCTAAACATCGGTACAATCCATGCATTATCTTTGTCATCCCGAAATTAAAAAGACATTTATTTATATTCTGTCGCTTTAGATGACAAATTCTTTTGTTCTGTTTGATTATTTTGCCGATTCTTATTACACCACAGCACTTAAATCTATGTTATACCCAATACAGGCTGCATCCTAAATGAATCACGAGTTGGTACAAATATCGAGACAAATATCTAACGCAAACATGCATTTTCTTGTCTTGATGCAAACTTTAAATTCTAGTAAATTCAAATTTGAACACACAAACGTACCTTTAACAGCATCGACGTGCTTCTTCGATTTCATGTGGCTTTTCACTGCTGCTTCTCCCATATTTTGAACAGCGAATGTCTTTTTGCATGCTTTACATTTTGCCTCTGACGAAGAACTCCCGCGTTCTATCCACTTATTATACTGCGGGTTACTCAGCCAAGCATCTTGGAATTTGCATTTTCCAGGCATTATATATTAAATCTGCTTGAATGATCGCTCAAGCTCATCTTTACCTCGTGGCAGGCCTGGTCGCATGGCGATGCTGGGACTCGGCCCCAGGTCTCAGCAAAAACGTATCACACGGTATCGGGGGAAAAATGCGCGTTTGTCGTTGCAAACACGTAAACAAGGAATAGTTTATTAAACAAAAACTTGTGAAAGCAAGGAATTTTCTTTATTTTCATCTCGGTTTTTGCAAAATGTCAAATTATAACAATTTTCCATGACTTTCCATGACTCTGATCGAAATTCCATGACTTTCCAGGCCTGGAATTTTTTTTTCGAAATTCCATGACTTTCCAGGTTTTCCATGACCCGTACGAACCCTGAGTAACACCCTGTATGTAAGGAATAACAGCAAAACCAGTCGCTGGTTCCCTTTCATCAAGAGCGTTACTATTTGTAACTGGTTTTTGGCAGTTACGGAGAAAAGTTTTTGTATAGCCATTTGCCTTAAGGACACCGGAAACATATTTCCTCTCCTCAGCCTTCGAATCGAGTGATGATGGTAGACAATCAGCCCTCCTAAGTAAAGTTTTGGCTACGGACTTTTTATGGCAAATAGGATGGTGAGAATCGAAAGCGAGGTATTTGTCGGTGTGAGTGGGTTTACGGTAGACACTTGTCTCTAAATTACCCTGAACCCCTCTAAACACATTTAAATCAAGAAAGGGCAAATGTCTATCCTTTTCACGTTCAAGGGTGAATTGGATCGACGGCTCTACTGAATTCAAATGCGACAAGAGGCGCTCCGCTTCATTTCCGGATACCGCAGAAATAACATCATCGACGTATCGTTTCCAGAAAAAGGGTTTAACCGGTGAGGTGGCTAAGGCCCTTTGTTCCACGTCTTCCATTACCATGTTAGCAATGACAGCAGAAACAGGCGAACCCATAGCTGTACCAAAAATTTGTTGATAGTATGTGCCGTTATATGTAAATTGCGTGGTTTTGAGGCAAAAAGACAGCAAATGAATAATATCCTCCACAGGCAAAGGAGTTCTTTGTCCTAGGGAAGCATCTTCTCTGAGTCTTGCCTCCGCAACCTTAACGGCAAGATCAACTGGGATTTTAGTGAAGAGCGAAACAACGTCGAAGGATACTAATTCTTCACAAGCGTCAAGAGTTTTATCTCTTATGAAATCCGTAAATTCGCAGGAATTTTTGACAGTGTAATCAGTATTCCCAACAACAGGCGACAAAATTCTCGCAAGATAACCAGAAATTGCATAAGTCGGAGAATTAACAAAAGAGACAATGGGTCTCAAAGGAATTCCCGGTTTATGAATTTTAGGTAAGCCATAAAAACGTGGACATAAGCCGTCACTACTGTATAACATTTTGTACGTAGAGTCACTAATTCTGCCAGCTTTTTTCAAATCAAGCAACATTTTGTTTAACTTTCTTTGAGTTTTACTGGTAGGGTCAGAGTTTAAGACAGCATACGTACTCTTGTCATTGAGCAGAGACAAAGCTTTGTCGTGATATTGCTGTTTGTCCATAACCACAACACAATTACCCTTGTCAGCAGATAATACGAGCCTGTCCGGATCCTTTTTGAGAGTTATAAGCGCATTGAAAACATCCTTTTGAATGTTTTTGTATACCTTGATAATGCTGAAGTAACTTGTTCATCCTTATGTCCCACACCTTAACAGTACTGTCTGTTCCACCTGCTGCTATGCAAGTGCCATTTGGGTGAAATTCTACTGAGTTTACATATCTAAAAGAAAAGATAGGTTAGGTAAGAAAGAGGAAATAACTTGTGAAAGCTAATTTGTTAAAACTAAATATAACTCCTAAATTCTTTGACTTAATGCTGTTGCACAATTTCCAACAATCTCAAATTCCATTCATCTAAGGTTCAGGTGATATTCTGCAAAAAGCCATGACTTTTTTTGAGGTTGTTCAAAATATGAAAATTAACCAATCATGTTACTGGAAACAACTAGAAGGTCCCAACTGATTTCATTTCGAAAAATCAGGGCTCACGTACAAGGTAAACAAAGATGACATTTGTAATTCAAATGTAATTCATTGCTAGTGGGACTGTGCATCTTTGTGCAAGTGTCCCCTGTGATAGCAATCGGACAGTACTCATAAAGTTTAACAAATATAATTTGACAGCCCTTTTCCCTTGTCCCTCCCTTTTATTTTACTTCTCTAGAATTGAGATCATCTCCTTGATGGAAATGTCCCCTTACCTAACCTTCCATTGCTCTAAAAAATACACAATTTCAGTAAATTTTATGCAAAGTATTACATGAAAAAATTATGCACTTCTAAGTAGCTCAAAATGAATGTATTCTCATGTAACACAAATGCAAAGTTGAAACACAGGTGCAAATTACAAATAGTGTGCACATTCTTTCAAATGTTGATTGTCTTGACTTTCTGTTTTTTTTTCATGTACATTTAACAAGTAATAACATGATATCTCTTGCAATTTGGTATTATAAACACTTGTAAATTTTTCAAAGACATACAAATTGCATCTGCCCTACAAGCTCGTGCAATTTTTTGTCTTTAAATTATTTACCTGTGCTTACTAACACCAAATTTCACTTGAAATCATGTCATTACCGATACAAATTGAATTTATCTGGAAGAAGTTACTCACCCTCCTGGATCATAAAATGTATGAACAGATTCTTTGCTTGTTCTGTCCCATATCTTAATCGTCTTGTCATCACTTGCTGATACAATCATTCGCCCATCAGGAGAAAACCTACAAAAATACTGAACTGTAAACATTCACAGTCAAGAGGAACAACTATTAAAAAAATTTGGGCATCTAAAATTGCCCACTAAACATACTTTTATTCTACACTAAAGTAGACATCCCCAAAATTCCTTCAGTTGTTTTGTTCTACTCTTCAGTTGAGCAGAGGTGCTTTAATTATAGATTACAGATCCTTCTGCAGCAGTTAATACTCCTAATCATTAATTTCGTAATCCTTGCCAAAGCATCTAGTTAATGCACTGGGACTTTAAAAATGCATTATTTGTCACAAACAAGCAGCTGACAATATGTAATCAAGACCTTTCATATCAGACACTGAACATATATATTAAGGTACAAAATATTTCCTTATCTGATGATCGTTCATACTAATAATCATGTATTATTTATGACTTATTTCAACTGTGAATGATGTATACCTTGCACATCTAACCCAGTTCATGTGAGCATTGAGAGAAAATTGAAACTTTTGACGATGGACAGTCCACACCTAAAGCAGTAATCATGGTAAAATAATTATCCTCAATAGTATAATAATCATGTCAATAACAAATATCAGTATGATAACTTGAAATGTGAAAAGGCGATGCAAGATATCAAATAAAACTTAATAAGTGATCATGAATATATATTTTAAGAGGTGACGCCTAAAGAGCAGAATGGAAGGCTTTCGGCAAAAACTAAAATAATACAGATTAGTGCACTTTGGCATGCCAGGCTCTTATTTGACCCCTTTGATGCCCAAGAGTGATTAGTATCTAATTTCTCCTTACAATATCACCCCTGAATCACACATTATGGTCATGAGAATAAAGGAAATGATTGCCAACCATAGAAGCTCTTGATTGTTAAAAGAATTCTCCTTGTCAGCATTGTAGGAAATGTATAGAGAACAGTATGGAGAATGTGCACACTGATCTTAGGTGTAAAGAGTTCATGGACAGCTGATTCCTAAGACTGAAAACACTTTTTAGTTGCCATGATTTAGTGACAACTGTTTATTTCTTTCACTAACAATTATTTTTAATTATATTCCTAGTAAGTTATACAAGTTTTTATTTGCTTTTTTTTTCATTTAAAAGAGCTTGAAACCAATTTGTAGTACATAATTAATTGCATTTTAGTACCTTGACTGTTTTATCATCTGATGCCGTCAGAAGAGATTGTCCATCACCAGAAAAATCCACACTCCTTACCGTCGCTGTATGAGCTTTAAACACTGTGCTTTCTCCTTTTCTTAAAGAGACAGAACAGAAAAATATAAGAAACATTATCCAACTCTTGGGTTCCAATATTCACAGATCAGTAGATTTTAGTGTGAAGTTAAACATGTTCCTGATTTCACTGGCTCCAACTCCAAGCCATAAATAACTCATCCACACAATACACTTATAGGTTCCCTCAAGGAGGAACTTAAAATTGCTCTGAATTACAAGAATATAAATGACGCATAGCAAATACAACAACACTTACACACTAGGAACCCAAAGTCTCACAGTTTTGTCCCTGGATGCTGATGCAATCAGATGCCCTGATGGAGAAAACTTTACCGAAAGTACCGCATCCTGAGAGAGAGTCAACAGGAAACATTTTATTAAAGTCAAAGCCTCTTGCAATATCAGAATAACAGAGCCATGTAGAATCAACAAATTCTTGCACCTCTTCTGCATGATTTTCTGTCATTTCAAGGTGCTGATTTTCTAGAAAAGCAGGTTATCTTCTGACTTTTCTTAATTACCACAAAAATCTTATAATGTAGTTCATCTACATTTCATATAGACCATTGGAAATGACAGTACCACTATCAGATTGAAGGCTACCCAAATTTGTTTCATCCCAAAAAAATATCAAAATATGCCAAATAAAACTTTGTAGGTGATCATACATATATCAAAATATGACAAACTGTTTTAACTTGTGACCAGGGGTTTGCAGTTTTGGTAGCCAAAAGGAAAGTGTCTCTTGATATGATAGCAATATTACAACCCCCTCCTACCTTAATATATATGAGGTAGATTTTGCTTGAAATACAGCATAGCGATTATGGGAAATATATTGTGGTATGCAACTGTGCATGGCAGACAATAAGGACAAATACTGATGAGTTCCTAGGAGTGAGAGGGTTAAAATAGGGGAAGAGACAAAGAAATGATGAAAAAATAAATAATCAAACCTTATGTCCGACAAATCTGTATGCTCGCATATGAGGTTTGAAATGCCAGATCATTAGACTTGAATCCATTGAACCAGTAACTGCCCGTGATAATAAAGTACTTATGTGAAAAATCATAGAATAAATTATAATTATCTTAATCAACTCTTGATTCATGTCAAAAGAATCATGTTTGAACAGACATTGGGGGAAAATTTGACTTTTTTATCTATTCCTCAGGAAACTCTCAAAACTCAGAGCAACTCAACAATAATCGGGTATTTCTGAGCACCGTCAAGTGACTATTTTAATGCCCCTGTTAGCCATGTTGCCATGTTCCTGTGTTCCTGTAGTGAACAAGTAACATGGAGCCATATTTTTATGATCATTAAATTCCGAGATCTTGCACCTGATCTAAGAGAGTAGTACAAGATTGACGAGCACCTGAAGTAATCATCGACTGCTTTTACGATCTTAATTAAGATTCCAAGATCTTGCCCAATATTAACATGTAACAACCCTTAGCTAGCTTACCCAGCTGTTTCATGTTTGGATTAAAATCCACGCTTGTCACCGTGTCTCTGTGGCCTTTAAAGTGCCTTTCGAGCGTTGGATCTTCCTGCGAAGTAATCGTTAGACAAGTTAGAAAAATCGGATGATCTTAATCTTGCAACCTAACGAAAGTCTCGAAAATATGGCAACAACTACCACTTTTGCATCTTTCCGAACTCTCCATTATTTCTCACCCTAGTCCTGCATGCAACTTACCAAACTTGATGCCATCACTACTGCATCAATTTCTAAAACACCTATCTAGTGCTATTTGATAAAAAAAATGCTCCAAACTTCAAATTAATGCAGTTATCTTCTTTTACTAAATTCAAATATGGCGGCCGTTGTTATTATCCTTATAAGATAAACCGCAGTTAAGAGCGGGAGAAATGCGGGCTCATAAACTCCATCATGGCGGCCAAGTTTGAATAATCTTGGGCAATTTAAATACCAAGATCAAGCCAACGAAAGCCTTTGAAAATGGATCGAAGAGACCAGTACAAAACTTTAGGTGTTAGCGTGGAGTCTCAGAGAAGTAAACGACGTGACCAGGAGGCAGAAATCCGGAAAGAGAAACGCGAGAAGTTGTTGAGTGCAAAACGAGTTCGTTTCTCTGAAGTTGAAAGTGATTGCGAAGTTGAAGACTTTACGACAGAACAAGTTCAAGAATTAGCCAGGGTGATACAAAAATCAAACGAGAGCAATCTGAAAAACCTAAAAAGTCTAAGGAAAGCGTTTGCACAAGGAAGTGAATTAATAAGCGTTTTTCTTGGAGTCGAAAACAGTGTGAGGGCTTTAGTCGGACACTTGACCGGGAACAACTCACAGTTACAGCATGAAGCTGCTTGGTGCATCACGAACTTGGCAACAGGCGCTCATGAAGATACTATGAAAGTACTAAAAGCATCCGCTGCTTATCTTATCACATATCTTAGCGGACAAAATGTTCAACTGCAAGATCAGTGTGCCTGGGCTTTGGGAAATTTTTCTGGCGATTCTCAGGAATGTAGGGACATTCTGCGAGCGCAGGGGATCATTGTACCAATGGTTAATCTCTTAAAGGTATTGAAGCTGCATTTCTTCTATTAATCAGTCTAACTTCGTAACCCGAAAGCATGGTAAGACCAATTGTTATCAGAGCAAAAGATTCCAAACCCAGAATGCAGGGATTCCTGATATGGGAGCTAAAGAATGGAGGGTGACAGTCAGTGACAGCTGTCAGGAATAAGAATGAATGTATCTAGTTAGTATTGAACGGAAAGGGCAAGATAGAATTCCACTTTGCTCCAGGTAGGGGCTAGACAAGGTTAGATGTAAAAAAATGCCCTGTACTTTTATTTATAACTTACAGCTTTCTCTTTCCCTGTCCCAATTTACCTTGGTACACATATGATGTCTTGTGCTTAAGAGGCAAGGTTGAAGAGAAATGCTATCTAGCTACTTTTAGCAAATAAATTTTACACTCAGACAGGAAAGAAGGTACCAGTATTTCAGCATTATTGATGTAGGAAAACCGTAAGTGTCCAAAGTTTTTATGATTTTCTGTACTTTGTGAATGACTTTTTTCTCTTTTGCTGCAGTCACCAATATCCACTGTAGTGCAGTCAGCAGCATTTGCTCTATCCAACCTAGCCAGGGGAGACCAGGGTGTCGCTGAAGAACTGTTACAAGCAGGGATAGCACCTCTGATCATTAGCCTCCTTACTCCAGGAAACAGCTCCACTGATGTTGCTTCAGAAGTAGCTTGGGTATTGTCATACTTGACATCCAAACCTATCTGTGTGCCTCTATTAGTATCAGGAGGAGTTACCAATATTCTTGTAGAATCCTTGAGTTTGCTGGCACAGCAAACTGAACTTGATAGCCAAGCTGTGACACCAATGTTACGAAGCTTAGGTTAGCTTCTTGTTTTTTAAATTGTTGACAACTAAGGAATTATACAGTGTCGGGTCAAAGATGATGTATGGGAGATGAAACGTTAAGGGTGAAGGTCATTTCATGTTAGGAACTTGTTGCTAAGGTCCAGTTTGTGAAGATTATATTTAGCCCTTTACACCCTGAAGTCTTTGTCAGACGACATAGTCGAAGATTTACATTTCACTATTTATAGTACCTTGGTTTGTTGTTGTTGATGTGTTTTGCCTTACTGTCATTGGTGCATTTCAATCCTTAGAAACAAACTTGTAATAACAGGAAAAGCCAGCTTGCTGTAATTAGGGCCAACTTTTTTCGAAAAAAAAACTTGGAAACTGACATAACTTCCATAAACTTGAGTTTACATCAAACCAGATTTTGATTGGAGATTTTTGGCATGCAGATTTTGTCTTAAGTAATGAATACAGCTTATTGATTTTCTAATTTTCTGTGGATTTGCATTATGTCTAGGTAACATTGTTAGTGGACCTGATGAGTATGGAATCCAAGCAATGCAGAGTGCAAAACTGGTTGGTGCAATAAAATTGTTTCTCCAGTCAGTACACAGGCATATAAAAAAGGAGAGTCTGTGGCTACTGTCCAATTTGACTGCGGGACCAACAGAACACATTGATGTGTTAGTTCAAGCTGGAATATTACCACTTGTTATGGATCTGATGTCATCAACTTATGATATTAAGAAAGAGGTTTGTCAAAAAGTCTCCTTATGTAAGAGCTCTGGGCTCACCTTTTGTCAAAGTGATCATGAAGCAATCTAAATTCATGAAATGGTTCCTAGAGATTGAAACTATTAAGAAGGAGGACATTTTTGTTACATCTCTCAGTTTGCATGTGCTCAAAGATTGGTCAATTTAGCAGGCCATATTTCACTGTGTGGCCTGCCAAAGTCAAAGGTTTCTTTGAGTGAAATCTTTTCCCTCCATCTAAACCAAGAAATAGAATAACTATCTTACTTACCTCATTTTCTCAGTCTGTGCTGTAAGTTTACGAACCTTGTTTTTTCTGCTCAGATCTTTGGCTTTCATTTTGTGCTTAACCATAAATCTGAGCAGAAAAAATTTAGTTCGTAACTTTAGTACAGACCTCAAACCTTGTTTGTAAAAGGCACATCTTTTGTAGCAATCGTTTATCTCACTTTGTTTATAGGCCCCTAGACCTAAGTAACAAAAGTTAAATTTGTTACATGACTGCTTAAAAACAGGTCACCAAATAAGCATTTTTTGTCTCAAATTTTAAGAGCCAAATTCTTTTTACTTGCCATAACTAAAATGGTCATCGCTTTGAAGGTTGTATACCTTGAACTTTGGCCATGTCCTCAAGTATAGAAATGGTTTGATGCATCACTGTATCCTTATGCATGTTTGCTGTTCAGTAGAGAAGAGTGTAGGATGGTCAGCTGTTAAACAGTGTAGAAATACAGCTAGAATTGTGTTGCTCATGAAGAAAACAGCAATTATTTGTGGTACTTTAGGTTGCTAGAACTCTGAAAGATCTCTTAATTCAGTAAACAACATGCAAAGTAAAGTGTTATTTTTCTAACTTACAGTGTATTGGCATAGTGACTACTTGGTCTCTAAAATGTTTGAAAAACCAGTTTGTCTTTTAATTTTTTTTATTTTTCAGGCTGCTATTTGCTTGTGCAATGTTGCACATCATGGTCCTGAATACTTGAAGAGTGTTTTAGATGTTGGAGCCATGGAATCATTCATTAACATTATGAAATCTCCAGACCAAGACACTGTTATCACTGGTCTTCAGTTTGTTGAGATGTCTCTGAGAAATTTTCCTGCATCTAAAGACTTGTTTGAAGCTGGCGAGGGCATTGCTTGTTTAGAAGCTTTGGAATACAACTGTAATGAAACAATTTGTCAGTACGCAAATGAGCTTCTTGATACTTATTTCATGGAGGGAGGGCCTGAGGAGGGAGACTTTGGTGGGGAAGCAGAGAATAGCGAAAATGATGTGTTGTCATGGAGATGCCAAGACAGTGAGATGACATCATAGTGTGATCTACACTTTTCGGATTAGTTTTTAATGCACATTTCTTGGAGAAGGTTTTCACCAAAGAGATATTCAGACATGAAGCCCAAAAAGAAAAATTGGGCTCTCTAATTATCAAAGGTAGCAGAGGTTGAGTACAATAATTATTGCAGTTCAGTTTTTGTTAACTCTTTCACAAGTTACCAAGACTAAATTTCTTCTAACAATATAAAAACAAAATCAAGCAGACAAGTGATGAGAATGAAGAATACTACAATCAAAGAGGATTCTTAGCTGATCCAACATCAATTTATCCAAACTAATTCCACAAGAATTGCATGAGAATAAACAAAAATGCCTGTAAACAGGCTTTAGCATTTGCGTTTTGCTCACAGCTCCTATTCTGAACACAGCCACCAATTACATCATCAGCAGCCACTTATGGAGAACATTATGGAAACCCCTTTTTTGTTTAACATATATATATTTATAATGGAGATACTGTTTCATCTTGAGAGAAATTACACCACTGTTTTCCTTTTCACATTGAAGAATATACAGTATTAGTATATACCACACAGGTGAATAGAATTTTTTTTGGCACACATGATTGGCTACTTTAGAAGTAAATAGCAGGTACTTTTCACCTCCAAGCAGTGGATGAGATGAAATCGTGCATCAGGAGTTTACTTTCTGACCATTTTGCGGTATATTGAAAGCAAGATAAATTTTGGTATTTGTATGGTATATACTAAAACAGTTTTTTACCTTGCTGTCAGTGAAAGTGGTTGATATTTAATAACCTCACCACTTCATGGCTCAATAAATATCCAACATGATATGTTGGATATTTGCCCTTTTGACTTTTTTCTTGACAACTGCCCACGTTCAAAATGTTGGATGATACGTTGGATGATATCCATGATAGTAAAGATTAATAGATCAGAGAGGTGGAAATGAAGTGTGTTCTTAAGTTAGTAGTCTTTTCTTATCTTTTCTAATTTTAATTTTGACATAATTTACCTTTTTTCAACAACTAAGAAAAACTGTGCTCAATTTTTTAACATAGAATGTTGCTAACAAAATATTCTGGCTATGGTTACTCCTTTCAGAACCTGGTGAATTATTAATTAAAATTTCGAAAGTTATTTTGAATTAATTAACAATCTTTGTTTGGCTCACTCTTTGTAAGTGTCTTTTGTTGTTCTTTCCTCATTCTGGATCCATCTTGTGTATTTTGATAGTCATCATTCTCAAGCTTTTATTTTCATTGACAGATGTGTATGGGTAAAGCCAAATCAATTTTCAGCAACAGATGTTCCCTGACAACTTTACGTTTAGTGTGCAGACGGAACAATAAAATATTTAATCAGTTGTTTGCTGACAAGACCTTTTGTTCAAAATTTGAAATGCCAGTTTTTGAACGTGGGCAGTTGTCAAGAAAAAAGTCAAAAGGGCAAAATTTGCTAAGCGTGGACGACTCCACGAGAAGACTTGATAGAGAAATTATTAAGGGTTTGGATTTAGGAAAATAAATTGTCACCATCTTTTTCTCGAGAGATATCGTCAATAATTTTTCAGTACTTATATATTCACAAGCGAAAAGTTACGTGACCAGCTGCATTTGTTAAAAAAAAAGCCTAGAAGGAAATTTCACACTTGTATTTAATTTCTGTCTCACTCTCGGAGACCAAAGAGGCAAATAATTGGGCGAGATGAAGATAAAAATGCGTTCTAGGCATCACGCGAAAGAACGGGTCCTCGAGGATGTTTCCCTCCCACAACGAGGCAAGCAATGGCCGAGGACTGGACTCTGCGAGAGAGTCTAGATTTCTTTCGTTTCAATATTTAAGGTTTAATTTTTAAGCCGATTACAGGATCGCTACACAAGAAATGTGTCAATCTGCTATTTGACCAATGCAGTACTCAGGAAATAAATATTCATGCCGTTGCATGGGAAAATTGTTGGCTCATTGTACGAAACCCAGTGACAGGCGGCTGTAAAACTGTCAAACAATCGCGATGATAAGAACTGATGCGCCCTCTGAGTCTAAATTGCAAATTTGACGAAAGAACGAGATGTTACCTTGAAAAAAAATCGTGGTGTTTAGATAATTTCTTTTTTATGTTAAACTATCTCTGTGAAAATCGACAGTTCTAGCTGTTACATCGACTACCTCATTTATTTTTCCCGCTTTTTACGAGTCGCTCTTTTCCCTCCCACCCCTCCCTAATTCTAAGCACAATCACTATATCTTTATTTCGCCATTTTTTTTAAATTTTTCCTTTAAGTTGGCTGTTTGCTTGAAATTTTCTGCCCTCATGATTACTCGTTTCTTTTTTTTCTTCAACAAACTGTTTTCCACGCCCTCCTTTCTGTTGTGCCAACGAAGGTGACAATTTTACTAGCTACCTCCCCCACGGTGCAGTTTTGCTGCAGAATTTCTATTGCGCATGGTTCCATAAAACAGCTGTACTCAACACAGTTCTCACCTCGAGCTTTGCGAAATACTACAAGACATCATGTTGGAGCGATCGGTAATTTTCAAGACACATTTGGGGATTCTAGAACGTTTCGATTGTAACATCTAATTCTTCTATGGCTTCTAAAGAGCTGGTGTTTGAGCAAAACTCGAGTAGCGACAAAATCAAGGTTTGTTTAGATGGATCTATATCCGTTCTTTATTTTCTGTGCTCCGAACTTTATTAGATATTCAAAGATTCTTGCGTCTGCGGTAGGGATTAAAACTTTTATGAAATATTTTTGTGAACTTTCAAGCTTTATCTTGGACACACTTGAGCGCGTTGTCGCCGTATCGATCGTATTTAAGCGCCAAAATTCGGCTTCCTTGAATCAGCAAAAAGTTGGTTTGGTTACCACAGCAATAGCAAAATGTCGAAGTTTGTTTTGAATTTTTTATCGCAAATCTTTGATGGAGAGTGATATTTCAGCATGAGTATTAGTTTTTTGTTATCAAAAGAGGCTGGTCCGACCGAATGCGAAATTATTTCGAGCGAAAGGTCATTGCAAATGATCTGTAACGATGACAACTGTTGTTCGTGCGACTTGAAAACTGTCAGCTCGTGTGGCTTCTGCAGGCTTTCGATAAGTGAAAAGATTGCTCATGCATCGAGCAGAAAGCGCTTTAAATGATCATAGAAGTTTCTACCACGAACAAAACTCTGGTTCAAACCAGTTTAATCGTTTTTGTTGAGAAAATACAGAAAAAATTCAGCGAGGCGATCGCGCGCAGTCTTCGTAAACTAGCTTGCTGTTAATTTCTCACTTTCCTATTGTTTTTCCTTCTTGTCACTTTATTACCATGGCAAACATTTGCAAGCAAGAAGGATTATCCACCCGCCCGTAAAATCCCTTCATTCGATTTATGATTCTAAAGAAGATTTTTTTTCGTGAATGTTATTCTTTAAGAGGTGACCTTCGAACAACAGAAGCTGTTCAGTTGAAATTAAAGTAGAGAATAGGTGATTCTCTTACATGCTGCCATCGATTATTCGGCGATTTTTTTTCTCTCTAAATGTTTACTCAAAACATTTTGTCAGTTAACAGGCGCATTCAATTTGAATATTTTCATCGACTCTTAGTGGATCGTGTTTAAAATTTTTTCTAAGAGGATCTCGTACATAAGGATCTTAATGAGCTATCGCTCCTTCGGAAGTTGTAATTATCTTTTGCTTAATTCTTAATTGGATTTTTTTCCTTCATTGAATTTTTTTTTCTTGCATGTCTGCTTATAGGATAAATTGTTTTTTCTTCCGCTTTTTTTTTTTAAAAATTCAGGTAAAGTTATCGACATGCATCACAGCATGTTGCCAATACAAGTTAAAATCATAGCTAAACATATCGTGGCATGTAAGTTCTCGGAGATATGATGAACTCCTACACAGATCATGCAATGTTGCGATTATGACGCACGGAGTGGGAATAAAGGTTACGTTTGGAGACCGAGAGACCTAAACATCAAACTTGTAAACAACAAGGATGATTTGTACTAATTGATTGATTGACTGATCGGTACAACTTCTGATATTGGTTATATGTGATATCGTTTTGAGGGGTAACAGACGATTGAAGGTTGAAGGCACCCATCAATAACGTGGTAATGATAACTATGATATCAAGTATGTAAAGTCATGCTGATATAAAATTATTTCCTTGTGAAGCCTCAAAAAAATATTTTTCAGACACCAGATTATAGAACCTGAAGTCAGTACTACTTAAACTGTATCTGAAATAACCAAATTAAGAACATAAACATTTTTGATCCTCATCAAATATCAGTTACTTTTTGTTATGGTTTCAAAACTATTGATTACGTCAATACCACTTATAAAATTGCCTTCAATGAGATTTTTAATTAACCCTTTTCACTGTAACAGCAATATGCAAATTCTGAGTAATGATCGCTAGACATTTCCTAATGTGTTGACATGGAAAATTTATTTTTAACAATCAAGAGCTTCTTTAGTTGGTGGTTTCCTTTAATGTGTGATTCAGGGGAAATACTCAAAGAAAAAATGAGATAGTTGTCACTCTCAAGGGTCAGACGGTTAAATGTTCCATGATATTTGAATCAAACCAAGCTGCTATTAAATCCAACCCATTTTCACTTCAGTTTATCATCAATCAAATAAATGTCAAAATTAGGTGTAGTTACTTTTTAGGTGTGAAATCATTTCTCACAATTTGCCACCTCGTAAAAGACCATATCCTGATTATGCTTCACCCGGTAACAAATGAAATGGAGTGTTCCTTCAGCTTGGTTGGCAACTAAGCAAAAAGCCAAAAAAAACCCTTCTGAGATTTTTACAGTAATATAAAAAATCAATTTTTGTCACAGTTATTGTTAAGTTACGCAAAGTCCTATTATTGATCATGCTGGACATCTTAAATATGGTAATTTTCCATTTTTTATCAAAGTCCAAAATTTAATTCTCTTACTGTTGAAATTACTGTCTTGTTTATTACCTTGGCTTATGAGATGAACAGGGCACCATCAAGAATGAAATCTATCTTTTGGTTAGAGCAGGACTTAAACCTGAGACCTGCCATTTATGAGTCCATTGCTCACAATCTTCTGTTGCTAATGACTCTTCCACTGGCTGCTGGCTTTTCTCTAGTCTCCTTTATGATGTCACTTTTCATTTATAATTTTTTTTTCTAAAACAACTTTACTGACATTAATGTTACATTTGCCTTTTACCACAGGAAAGTCTTCAAGAAAATCAAGATGCTACAGAGTTGATTTTCAAAAACTGCCAAGCACTTTCTTTAGACAATGTTGAATCTTTCTTGGAAGATATAAACTCTGATTTAGATGCACTCACTATTCACAACTGTCAATTATTTGATGATGAATGTGCAGCCAAGATCTCAGAACATTGCACAAAGCTCTCAAGAATTTCTTTTAGTGGATGCTGTAAGGTGCTCACATCTGTTGGCATTTCTTCATTTATCAAAAACTGTCCAAACCTGAAATGTGTGACTATTATGTCCACAGAAAGTGATGATGATGATAATGACAGTAATAATAATGATGATGAGAGGAGCTGGACTCTTGGTGATGACCTTTTTGCATCATTTCTCCAAAGAACAGATTTGATTCTGGAACAATTTGCCCTTAGTGGGTTTGAGAATGTTACAACAAATGCTCTGAAGCACTTCTTGGAGCATGTTGGGTCAAATATAAAAGTTTTAGATCTGAGTGAACTTCAAGCAATTACAGATGAAGTTATTGAGAAAGTAGTTGACACCTGCCCAAGTTTAGAGGATGTGTGTTTGAGCCATTGCAAGTTGACTGATCAAGGAATCAATAGATTTTGTGCCAAATGCAGGGCACTTCAATCAGTGAACTTTAGTGGCTGTCAAGACATCACAGATGATTCAGTTATTGCTCTTTCTACAAACTGTTCCTCACTGAGAAAAGTACACTTAAGTTGGTGTGTGAAATTAACTGAAAAATCATTAGATGCATTGGTAACAAACTGCCAAGACTTGACATTTGTCGACATGTCACAGTGCACAATTAGACATTTACCATTTGAAATTTTAGAGCATTTTTCACTTCAGGAAATCAAAGTTGAAGGATGCAAAGGTCTCAGATGTCCACCTTTAGATATTGCAAACAAAGGACTTGAATCTTGTCGGCAATTTCTGAAGAAGTGTAATTTACAATCCTTGTGTCGAATGACATTCCTTGGAAATCAAGGAAGTGGTAAAACAAGTTTAATGTTGAGTCTTCCCACAATGTCACAGTCAGTTGCTGATACTTCAACAGAAGGGGTTCATGTTGGAACTTGGAGGCCATTTAAGAGTGGCAAAGGTTGGAGATATTTTCCTGTTATAATTTGATTAAGCATACTAATTTTCTTGAAAAGGCCACCATTTTCTATTATTAATAACCCTTTAACTCCCAAGATATGAGTATAAATTCTCCCTTCTAACTGCTACACATTTCCTCGTAAGTTAGTCATGAGAACTTAGATCAAGGTAACAACTTCTAACTGATAAGTTTGAGTACTTTTGTTACCTTTTTGCTGGCCATGGGTAATATACAGTTTTTACAAGGAGAAGTTAAATTTTAGTCACTTCTGTGATCCAGGTTTGATCCTTTATCTCGTCATTGCACATACACAAACAGTGCCAGGCTCAGAGTAAGATTCCAGAGAGACTTTCTTCTTGCTTGTCCAACTCCAAAATTCTTGAAACATCAGGATCAGGTGTAGTCAGGTTTGATCCCCTATCTCGTCATTGCACATACACAAACAGTGCCAGGCTCAGAGTAAGATTCCAGAGAGACTTTCTTCTTGCTTGTCCAACTCCAAAATTCTTGAAATGTCAGGATCAGGTGTAGATGGATGCTGAAAACCTTAACTCTTTACACCCTAACATAAATATTCCTATATTCTCATTACTTTAATTTCTCTTTACAAAAAATATGGCGTTACCGAGAAGTCAATTTGTTTGACATTTGGGAGCTTTGTAAATTGGTGATCATTTCCCATAATCTCATGACCTTTACATTTGATCCAAGGGTGATATTGTAAGGAGAAATTAGAAGCCAGTCAACCTCAGGGGTTTAAGGGTTAACCCTTTACACCCTCTCATCAGTATGCATATTCTCCAAACTGTTCTCCATACATTTCCAAAGAGGCAGACAAGGAGAATTTGTTTAACAATCAAGAGCTGCTTTAGTTGGTGATCATCTCCTCTATTCTCATGACTTTTATGTTTGATTCAGGGGTGATATTGTAAGGAGAATATAGATGCTAGTCTTTCTTAGGGGCTAAAGGGTTAAGGGAGACCTAGCCAGTTGTTGGGAGTAATGATACGATGGACTGGCATTCCATTCTGGGGGAGTGGTAAAATTCTCCATTGTTTATCTATGATATATTAGAAACACAAGATAGGAAAATATTTGACAAGGTATAACATCAAGAGAAACATCCTCTGAGAAACCTTATGCCAAAACTGAAGGTCACTGAGTACAATCTAAGACACAGATCTAGTTACCAGCCAAAATTATAGCCAGATTAAGTGAAGAACTCCTATTTTAATAGCCTAATTTTTAAATATGACCTAACTTTGTTACTGGTATTTGGTAAATATTTCAAAATAGTTAGCTCTGTTATTAGTATGTACTGTACAATGTAACTTAGTTCTAAATTGAAAGTTGTGTAACATAAGATGTGTAGTTTTTATCCTTATGAATTAACCCTTTCACCCTCAAGAGTGATTATCATCTAATTTCTCATTACAATATCACCCCTTAATCAAACATTCAGGTAATGAGAATAAAGGAAAATGTCACCAATTAGAGAAGCTCTGGATCGTGAAACAAATTCTCCTCATCAGCACCTCAGGGAATGTATAGGGAAAAGTATGGAGAATATACATACTGATGTTAGGGTGAAAATGGTTAATAAAGACTAGTGTTATTATTAGTATTGTTTCATGTAGCAGACACTGGGATGAGCTCAGCTGGATGGGCTACTGGGCTCAAGTAAAGATGTAAAGCATCTTTGTATCTTAAACATTATTTAAGAATTTTTAACATTACAATTATTGTTAGATATGATGATGTCCAAAGGTAGTATAAATTACATTTGTCTAATCTTCAGAGTCCATCGATCTTGGGACAGATATTCAGAAAAAGATGTTGTCACTCACTGTTGATATGTGGGACTGTGGAGGACGAACAGTAAGTTGACATATTATAACACTACTAACATTACAGTAAAGTTAAAAGTGTGAAACAGTTGCTATATTCAAAGGGGGCTTTATTATAAACTATCATGGTTGTATTGAAGAGAATGTCTGAAGTGGTGTGGGGTAGAAAAAAGGCCCCCATTTATTTCCGACATATTGCCAGATTCTATCCTCCGTTAGAGTTGTACCACGGAGACAAAATTGCTTAGTTTTTGAAGTAGACAGTCGATGAAAGATTTCTATTACTTCCTAAATGATACAAAATTAACATTTTAACTCTTTAACTCCCAGACTTAATTTGTAATTCTCCTTACTGTCAGCTGTACAATTCTTATAATGTTAGTTCAGAGAATTTAATATTGGATCAACTAATTATCCGCAGATTGATAGTTTTCTTTATTCTAATCACTTGGCTGGTTAATTTTGTATTGATATTGTAAGGAGAAATTCTCTCTTAGTCACTCATGGTAGTTAAAGGGTTAAACAATCTTTTGTGTGTTCCTTTTTTTCTGCAGTGTCTTCAAGGTGTCCATCCACTCTTTCTTTGTGAGCAGGCATTGTATGCCATTGTGTTTGATATTCACAATCCATTTAAACTGGAATCTGTTGTATCATGGATGTTACTCATGCGATCAAAGGTGGGGACTTTGATAACTGTCTGTACTACTTCTTGTGTGACAAATTTTTAAAATAACATCATTATACAAAAACTTCAACTTATATGAACTCTTTTTTAGGCACCCACTTCACCATTTATTGTGGTTGGAACACATGCTGACGATGCTGATGATTGGCAAGAGCTTAGCAAGCAAGTAATCCAGGCTGTCAAGAAGGCAGACTCCCAATGCCGACAAGAATACCAAGCTGAAATAAACACGTTAAGGTAAGTGGTGGTTGCGTTAAAAATTTTTTTATCTGCAGATTATTTGGAAACAATAGCAAACATAAAATGTGCTCAAAAACATCAAAATTTCCTGCTCATGGTTAATAGGAATTTAAAACAAAAACTGAATTTTGCTAACCACAGGTAACAAGAAGTGGAGCTTATTTCAGACAAAATGCAAGCATCAGTGAGAGCATTTTCTATAATGTCAACATAGACAAGACCTATTTTTCTCATAAAATAACTGCAAAGCACAAATAAAGCCATTTTGAAAGATGTAATATTACATTTAATTATTAACTCAAATAGCAATCTAAATTATTTTCATTCTTATGTCAGGGATCTAGGACAGGAGAAATGTGTGGAGTCAAGAATAAACAGACTGCAAAACCTGGTTGAAAATTGGTCCAAACTACCAGAACATGTGTACTTTGTTAGTACATTGAAGGGAAAAGTAAGCAAATGTTGTTTTCCTGTAGAAGAAAAGTTTACTTTGTGTACATTGTTTTGCCAGCACATAAGTAAAACAAACTGCACATGATCAGAAATTTTGAGTAAGCTAATTTTTTTTTTGTGTGATAAAAAATTTCCTCAAATCAATCAATTGTTTACAGATTGTAGTTTTTTTCTGCCCTATGTTGAGCTAAATCTCAAATTTTTTATCCAGTTCAGTGAGTTTACTATTTGTCTTTCTTAGGGCATGCTAGAACTTCAGCATGCAATTACTGAAACACTGCTGGATGGCCAGCTGTTTCCACACCTGGCAGAAGAGATAAGCAACAGTATTGTATACCTGTACAGTTCAATTCTTCAGTTGCGAGATAACAATTCAGTGCTGCTGTCTTGGGATCACTACCTTCAGGTAGCATCAGATGCAGGGATCACAGATGCTGACATTGAACAAACCACAGCTGTGTTAGAGTATAAGGTAGTGTTGAAATATAAAAAAATTTATTACTTTAAATTGAAATTCTTCGGCTAAATGTTGAACTCAATTCATTTTCAAGTCAGTTACAGTGAGTAGCAGTAAACTTTAAATTTTGCTGAAGCCTTTTGTTGCAGGCAGTATGTGGTTAAAAGCACCCTCTTTCCCTGTTGTCACTAATAACATGGTTGGCGTTATGGCAGTATGTGGTTAAAAGCTCCCTCTTTCCCTGTTGTCACTAATAACATGGTTGGCGTTATGGCAGTATGTGGTTAAAAGCTCCCTCTTTCCCTGTTGTCATCAATAACATGGTTGGCGTTATGGCAGTATGTGGTTAAAAGCTCCCTCTTTCCCTGTTGTCACCAATAACATGGTTGGCGTTATGGTAGTATAACCTAATGACATGCATCCTCTTCTCCCCTCCCCCCCCCCATTTTTCTTGCACACTCAAACCAGGAGTTAGTCTTCTGAGACACAGTTAATCAATCTGTGGAAATTAAATGAAAGCAGGAAGGGCCTTAAGGGAGTGCAACGGAAAGGAAATTAAATGCTTGCTAGCACAACTCAAAAATTAGTTGAGGCACTTTGGAGGCATTTATCACTTATCAAACTTAGCAGTCAGGGACCAAAATGAAGGTGGAGGGGGGGGGGGGTTGGTTCCCACCCTTTCACTCACAAATTCAAATTTCCGTCACAAATTTCCGATGGCAAAATTGTCATTGGTCTAATTTTCTGTTTGTTTTCAATGAGTTATTAATAATTACTGCACTTTGTTTTTGTTTTGTTTTTTTTTAATGTATTCGACAGGGTTGCATTCTCGTTCTCAACATCCCATCGTCTCAGCACACCCAGGGTCCTTCCAAGATTGTCTGTGTGAACCCAAGTGCTCTTTTAAACTGCATGGCAGGGGTCCTCTGTGAAACAGACCCACGTGAGTATGTACCTCAGTTTGTCAAGGCTGGAAAAGTTGAGAAGTTCTGGCCAACCGGCGCCCGGCCTAATGAATGGACACTGAGAGCAGCCATTGATGATATTGTAACTAAAGGACTCGTGCGGGAGTCTGTGGTACCCCTATGTTTCCAGGTGAGATGAGAGAGCAGCAGCAGTTAGCAGTTAGAGAGAGAAGAAGGGCGCAATAGAGGAAGGGGTTTTGAGGGAGAGACCCTGCGCAAGCTCAGCTGTTGAGTGCTTTTTGACTTACTTGGGTCGGATCAGGCGTAATTTGGGCGGGCAAGCGCTCAGTATTTTCTTGCTGAAAATCATAGCTGCCATCTTGATTTTTATAGTAGCAAAAGGCTTGGGAGGGAACGAAAATTGTACCCATGGTCACAACGAATGATAGAGGAGGGACTGGGGCCTTTTCCCACCCCTACCCCCCACCATTCATTCTACCTCTAAATCAAATATGCGGGGGCGAACAAACGATCGCGAACTTGTAACGTTAACTCGCCTTGCACTGCAGGCTTCTTCAGGTCTTAAGTCCAACTAAACGTGACTTTTTTCAATTCCTTTAACGAGTCGTATCATCTTTTTTTTGCGGCTTAAATGTCAGATACCATCATTACTGGACGAGGAAGAGCTACAGAATATTATCTCCTTATTAAGAAGCCTTGGTTTCCTCGTGGAAGGTGCTCCTAAAGGGAATTATGATGTGGAACTTGTTATGTCACAGTACAAATCGTGTTCAGTTTTCAAGAGATATTACATTCCACTTATGACCAAGCTTCCAGAAGAATTAAAGGTGTGTAGATGAAATTCTCTTCGCCTTTTACCTTTAACACCCAAACATCAATATGCATATTCTCCGTAGTGTTTTCCATGAGTTTCCTGAGGCGCTGATAGGAGAATTTGTGTTTAACAATTAAAAGCTTCCTTAGTTGGTAATCATTTCCTTAAATCTTGTGACGTTAATATTTGATTCATGGGTGATATTGTAAGGCGAAGTTAGGTGTTGTCACTCTTAACCCTTCATCTCCCAAGATCTCATCAGTAATTCTCCTTACTGTCTGCCATATAAATCTTGTGATGTTACTTTGGAGAATTTGGTATTGGATCAACTAATAATCCCCTAATTGATATTTTTCTTTGTTCTCATCACTTGTTTGCTTGATATTATATTGATATTATAAGGAGAAATTCTGCCTTGATCACTCATAGGAGTTAAAGGGTCAAAGGGTTTAGAAAGAGGTGAAGAATAGAAAGAATGAATAAACAAACCGATACTGTGATGTTATTTTGGCACCTAAAAGTAAATTAAATGTCTTATTTCCTCAACATTTAGGATACCACTGTCTGGCCCAGTTCTCCCCCTGACGGCACTATCCAAGTTGGCTGGCGTTACAAATTTCGCGATCTCGTGACTGTTGATTGTACCAAGATGCTAATTGGCGCATGCGCAAACTTGAAGCCCTCTTGTGAAGTCTGCGCCTATTGGAATTCTGGGGTAATTTTAAAAGTTGGTCCCGTGACCGTGCGAATGTCACGGGACAACTCAACTCTGGACGTGATTGGCCGATGTAAAGTGACCAATGGGAGCAAGCAGGCGCTTAACATGATGTGGTTTGTTTTGGCAAAGTTTTTCTACGGCATAGAAACCTTGTTGATGAACTTCAAGGGAGTTTGCCCAATGGTAAGGGAAATGAAACGACTCTTTAGCGAGTCTCAGAAATCGTAGTTATCCTGAACTGAAACGGGTAACCAACGGCTTCCCGAGTGATAAAAAATGCCAACCGACGAGATATTTAAAGAACTGAAGAAATTTATGGCAGGTCACCAAAGAATTTTAGATGTGTTTTTGTTGCCAACTGTAGAATTTCTCATGAAACTCAGAGATAATAATTTTGTCCCACTCTCATTACTAGACAAAAAACATCTTTTTTCAATTTGCTATTAATATTTTTTTAGGCATTTTTTTAGGGATTCCTTGTGAAAAATTGGAGATTTGGAGATTTCGTTTGGATTTTAGAGCATTTACTAGCCCCAGGCCTACGCGGAAAAGTGGCGCCAAGCGCGAAAAAATCTAGGCGCGCGAAAAAGCCAGATGCGCGACCAGGCGTGCGAAATGGTACCACGAACGACATGCACGGGAAAACGTATGTTTATTCAGAAGTAAAAACAAAGCCAAACAAGATACAGCTTACTTATCGTTTTGTTTTGACAATAACAGGTACTTGTGCCCATTATTGGCTGTAACAGACCAAAGCACAAACCACTGTATGAGCTTGTGAGTGATTACAATTCACAGCTGAGTCATCATACCAACTACCGCTGGTTCATTCCTCCTGCAGGTCAGTTACTTGACTCCTATGCTGCTTCCTTTCAAAGGACTGAGCTGTTAGGCTTTAAGTGAGATTCGGCGACTTTTTTTCACAAAGTTACCCTTTAAACACTGTTTCAATTGCATAAATGAAGATGACAAGGCGCTGTTGAAAATTACGAGAAAAGGAATATATTTTATGTGGTGCCGGGTTACAAGAAAGTTGTGCTTGTATCGGTATTGCGCAATTTGATCGATTATTGACAGACAAACGCAAAGTCAAAACTCCAGCCAATCAGAACCAAGATCAACCTTACAGGGAACCAATGAGAGCTCAAAGTACAAAACAACCAAATAACCTGTAGCGCGGGAAAACGCGAAGGACCATGTTGTGATGACATCTGATTGGTTAAAACTATGATGCGTGTTTTTTAAGACCAGTCACCGTAAGAAGCGGTGAACAACCAAAATGTCACTCCTGCGTCATCTTGGACACCAGTTGAAAATGCTATACTTTTTCTGGTTTTCTTCAGCTCTGGATGCGGAGGAACACGCAGAAATCCCGTCAGATACTGTTAGCTGGCTGGCAAACATTGCATGTAAGTGTCTCTCTGCTTCTATGCTGCAGTTTTATCACGAAAATCCTTACAAATGACGATATGATATATAATATAATATAATATATAATGACGGCAAAAACTTGTTTTTCAGCGTTTACCAAGCGCATTGTAAGTGATCAGTTTGGAAGCAATTTTTTATTCAGAATATTTCACGATGAACTTCGTTTGATGAGCTTCATGTAATGAACGAGCTCCATTTGTCTCCCATTTCAGGTAAATCCTTGTTGTACATCAGTTATCATGCGGACCAACAACATGAAGTCAAACTTCTAAAGCAGTCTTTAGACTTAGCAGGATTCGATTGCGTGGGGGACTGGATATTAGTGGGAAAGACAGGCCAGGAGCTGAATGAGAAGCGACGGAACCTGATCGCTGGCTCATCATTATTCCTTGCATTTATCACTCCTCAGTAAGTATCCTTGGCAGCCGAGAGAAGATAGCCAATACCATGCGCATTCGTGAAACCCTAAAATAGGGTGGAGGTCCTCGCGCCCAGGCTTCGCGCCTGCAAGACGCAAATTTACATGAGCACCGCGCCAATACTCAAGGAGAAGAGGGAGAGTGTAAGAGAATTTTAGGTGGAGTCTGCCCTCCGGGACAAACACTTTTCTGACTTGTTTGCGACAACATCCGTTCTTATCGTTAGCTTGTTCTAGACAAAAAGTTTTGAAGACTATATGTTATTTTTTTTAACTCGAGTGAAGATTGGACGAAAATTTTCGGATACCGCAAATTTGGCAAGGCTTTCTCTTTGAAAAACTGAAACTTTTTAACTGCTAAGAGAATTTTTAATGAATGGTGGGATCGAATTGGTTACCAAGGTTACGCTGTTGTGCTGTGAACTTGTTCTGCGCCCCTGTAGTTGCAATGGATAATCGCCTTTTGTCGTTCGGTTTCTTAGCAATTAAGCTCAGTATGTTCGTCTTTGAGTATTGGCGCTATGGAGATTGCACGAAATGTGTTTGATCACTCTTTAATAGAACTCATAATCGTGTTGCATCTGTATTTGCTTCGATCGATTTATGAAGTAGAAGAAATGAATACTTCTTAAAAGTCGATTGGTTAAATTTACGACACGTGCATGGAAATTGTATTCACCTTTGATGAAAACGAATTTGAAGTAATGTACTCGTTTGAATTCAAGAAAGTGAATGACCTTTCAACTTCATCCAGAATTCCATGTTATGCGCAAGACTACCAAACTACGATAACCTTCTTTTTTTTGTTTTTCTTCTCTCCTGAATTCTGTGAAGCAACTGAAAATTAAACAACTTTCTCTCTGCTGATTAACGTTTGAAATTGTAATGACGAAGCTAACTCTGTCTTTTCTCGTGTAAACAAAATGACCATTTTCTCTTCGTGCTGGAGAACAATACAACTTTTAGACGCAATATCGATGTTTAAGACATGTTTTCTTGGGTAAATGCAAATTCCTTTTGAATCATGATAATTTGTTTTGTATTTATGAGTAGAACATTATTACGAATGTGACCGAGCTCCACAGGCAATGTTTTATTCTCTCCATGTTTTCGTCCGCAGGTGTACAAACACTTATAAATAGCGGAATTTATAATTTTTCGTGAAACGCGGTCGGTTTAACAAAAGCCTCCATCAGACTAAAAGAGAAAGTTCCTTCGGGATCACATTTAGCTCTCATTAAGCTATTCTAGGATTTTGAGCCTCTTATTTTCAATAGTGGTCTTTCTAAGTGTTGTCTGTATGTAAATATATTTCGATTGAGGTGTCAGCACATACATATTGATGAATTTTCCATTTAAAGATCTCCGCACGCGCTGGTTAGAAATGCTGCAATGCCCGCGAAACTCGTGAATAACTACTTTCTGAAATTGGCGATCTAAGCTTCAAGCTGGTGAATTTCCTTTTGTGGAGAAGAAAGCAGGAGAAATTCAACTTGATAAGGGTTTTTAAAGCGAGTACAGTTTAATGATAGGATCACACGAAGGTACTGCTCATTTTTATTCTCCCTCATTGAAAATTTTTTTTATTTCCGTTAATTTTTCCTGCCCATAGTCTAAGTAAACAACAGGAAAATTGTTTAATAATACCTTGGCCTTGGTTTTTTTTTTGTCCAGCAAGAGGTGGAATCTCATTCAATTTTGCTTTTCGTTTAACGATTTTAAAAATTTTTGTATTCCAAGCGTAAATTTCGATCATTATTTATTTCCATCTCTAAAAATTAGGCTTTTTATTAGCCATTTATACATCCCTTCGACTATTTTTCGATCAAATGTTTCTGCAATAGCTTTTGATACTGGTTTTTTTTTACTTTACATTAAGACGTTGTGGTTTTTTCTACCGCGACATGCTTTGAGAATACCTTCGATTTTTACGTTGTTATGACGACAAGTCAGGAGCGATGTGTTTTGGTTTCTTTTGTTTTCTTTAATCTACGTACTAATGTGGGAAGCTGTGTATTACTTTATTAGGAGTTTTGATCACTCAGTAGAAATAGTAAAATAGAATAAGATAAACTTCGATAATATGCTGGTAAACTAACCAGTTCAATTTCGCCTCTGTTTGCTAAGTAAATATTCATACATTTCAATTTGTTTTCTTATCATAGAAAATTTTAATAAATTTGCGCGCCCTCTTTATCTTGCGAAGCCAAGTTTTTGGTGGAGAAGTTGAGTCTCTCGCTTCATTGTTTGTAAAAGTAGAAGTGTGAGCATGAATTAAGCACGTTATGATCCCATTTTTACCAAAAATATTTTCTCTTTTCAATAATTAACTTTTGCATCGACCTGAAAGTGTCACAATTAAGCCTATTAAATTCGCAGTGTTGAAAAGTGAACTGGATTTTTCTGGAAGTTGAAACTCCAGGTTTTGATCCGTGCAATAATATTTCGTTTGAGTTTTTTACTGCAACGAGTGAAGAAAATTTTTTTGGTATTTTTAATTTTGTTGAGGGTACATTGCCGTCGGAAAGTTTTAGTATAAACAACAGTCGAGTGTTTTCCATCCGACAAAAAGAATTGTTTATTGGGATGGCAGGCGACTATTGCGGTTGTCATCCGAGTGACGTCACGGAAACCAATCATCTGCTTTTCCAGATGTCTCAAATCTTTAAGACGTTGGTAGAGAAGCGTATCCAAGAAACATTGATCAATTTATTGTGCTTAACATCAGTTAGCTCGCGTACTTACAAATCATTTCATTCGCGAGTTTGAGCGGTGTTTTGCATGCGAAGTGAAATCGTCTCCGATTGAAGAAGCGAAATCCTGTAACAACCAAGGTTAGCGATAAAGAGTAATCTTTCATCACGTACGGTAACTATTATTTAACAATCCTCATGTTCATCTGCTTCATTGTAGGAAAAACTCGAAAACATCGGAGCTCTTTTTGGTCTTCTATCGTATTTGCTCAACGTGGCGTTAAAACTACAAGCTGCACGCTCTAATTGTTCCAATTTGTCAAACGAACGATTGAAAGTTCGAACAGACGTTTTATCGTGTCGTCGTTTCGTCCGCGAAATCTTCTCGAGCGTCATATTTTGTATGATAATCTGCGCAGTTCGTGATCGCTAGATTTCGTGGTTTCCTGAGTTATTTTATTAAGGACTGCTTTCTAGTCAAACCAGACAATTCTTTAACCGAAGGTGTTCTGCAACAATGCTTTTTCCGTCGGGCGATGTGAATTGTTAACAGAAGGTGACTGCCATGTGAAATCCTCGAGACAAAATATTACAAATTTTGATATTTTAACCTACGGCGATTTTTTTCGATTTTTCTACGGAACTGAAGTAACAGCGAGTAAAAATTTCGTTTCCCTTTTCCCAGATTTCAGGGTTTTTTTCGTCTTGAGGATATTTTTAGCAATGTTTACAGCGGCAGAATAACAGTTGCCGCTTGTTGCCGATGAGAGTTCTTTGAAAAAATAACTTTTTGTGTTTACATAGGATTCAATTTCATCTCATCACTCGTTCACTTTAAACTCGATGGTGAAATGATTTTTTTTTTCGGAAAATTTGATCGCTTTACTTCGCGCCGCAATCAGGAATAATTAGAGTGATAAATATATTCGTCTGACTCGCAAAAGCTTCAAAGGCAGTAATCCATTTTATACGAGGGTTCTTTAATTACTTCTTATCAATTATTTTCACGACCGTTTATGGTTAAGACGGGGTGCCATTTCCGTGTAATTAAAGTCATTTGCAATAGATGAGAAAGAAGAATGAATCGTTCGTTTCCACACCGTAGATTAATGTTAGAATTAAGATAGATCTCATTTGGTTGCTGCCCTATCGTCAAATAAGCAAGAAGAGGTAGATCTGTGTAGCTCCGTTCGTATGGAATAAACGTAACTTTAGTCTTTCTGTAATAGAAAAATAAATTCTCGCAGAGATATCTCTTCTTTCGTGATGGAAACACGATATGATTAAATGACGGAGATTCCTTGCATCATCTTAAACAATACTGATCAATGTCCACAGACATGGTTATTTGAGGATCAAAAGCGTTTTTTTTTTTTTTATCGTAGAATATTGAAACAAGCTGCGATTTTCTTTTAGATTTTTCTATGTTTTCATCTAAAATGCAGCTTTTGAAACTTAAATATGAATCCCCGCGGTTCGTCTTTGTATGGAAGACATATTTCTCTAATGAAGTTGCAAAGAACTTTGACCTTTGCTGCAGAGTTGGGCAAACAAACTTTCAATATATTGTTTTTCGTTGTTAATTGCTAACAACGTTGTGTTCTTCTTGCCAGTTTGAACGATAGTTAATCATCTTTTTTTGATAGATGTCGGCTAGTGAAAGCAGTTTCAATCTTCGAATTGTGGCGAAATGTCTTCGTCTTAAGCTTATCTTTTTGATTCATTGATGACCACCGCTGAGCAAAACCACAGGTGGCTCAAGTTTGCCCAGAGAGCCTCCGCAAACATGTTATTGATGCCAGGTCGTTCATAGTTCTTCTGCTATGGAAGGCAAGGCAGAAAAGCCTTACGTGAGCCGAACGGCCGTAAATCAGCCTGGAAAATTTACAAGGTTCAAAGGTACAACCACCGAAGCGAGATGGATACTTTTTAATCGATGCGAGTTCAAATTCCAAAGTCAAAAATAGAACCGTTTGTTCCCACAAAAATCGGTTTAATTCGCTCGTTGCTTAATGTTTGTAACTTATTTTTAGTGGCCTGAGAGAAAGCCCTCATTATAAGCGCTGCAGGACGCGCGTTTCTCCGCCCGCGAGAATTGGAGACAAGTCGGGCACTAACAATGAAAACTGTAGCAACTAGAATTTTGCATTTGTTTATTATCAAGAACTGCAAAATTATCTTATATTGTTTTTTTCTTTCTATTCATGAAGTTTGCGTTTTTGCGTGAGGTTACGTAAGGTTTAGGTGACGCCGGTGACCAGGATAAGCGCTGTTTTTGCTACATCATTTTCATTTACTAGTTGACCTCAACAAGGGAGGTCGTTTCGTTCGCTTTTGCTTACGACGTGGTGCTTTTGTCTGAGAGTCTTTTCTACCGGACCTGGTTACGCCACAAATCGCAAGTTCATTTCTGTTTCATGAAGCGTTGTCGTTATTCTCGGCGTTATTATATTTGTACTTAGATATCCGAATTAATTATTTATTTCAGTCGAATTACGCTTACACGTTTACACATTTACACATCATCCATCTTTATATTTGTCTATCTGGGAGTTATTAAACGTGCATTCAAGTTTGGCGTGAACCTGTAATATTTAGCTGCAAGACCCTTGCCGGCCTCATACTTTCCTACAGGCGAAGAGAAACGCTTGTGCTGAAGCGTTTAATAGAGGGTCTCAAAGGGGTGAGGGCTTTTACGTCTAACGAGTAAAATTTTGGCCAATTTACGGCTAACGGTTAACGCCTTTCCATTGTTTCCACCAGACATTTTTTTCACGGTTAACTTTTTTTAACGACTAACGGTTAAAATTTGTCAACCTACCAGCTTAATTTTTCGGTCGTTTGGCGGCTAACGGGTAACCCCATTGAGAACCTCTTGATAATCAGGGCCTGCCCTTTGGCTAAATTCTAAAACTCTTTGCGGTGGCCAATTTGCATTTTCAAGTTAAATGATAGAACCAAATCATCTTGCAACACCCTCCACTGACGCAGCACCTCAGTTTCCATAGAAACTTACCCCCTTTTATACTTGTATGGATGAGAATGAATAATTGAAGTTTAAGGGTGGAGCCAACATCGCATGGCCATGAGTGGGCTCGTCGGCGTATAGATCGTTCTAAGAAAAATTGTTAATCCCTAAATTTTCTTTCTATAACTTCAGATATCTTGGCTGGTGTCGTGCATCACAGGAAGTGAACAAGGCCTTGTCTCATACCAAGCCTCTCGTCTCTGTCCTTTTTGATAAATCCACTTGGGACTCTGAGGGGGATGAATTAGGAGCTCTGTTGAAGAACCGCGGAGTGTGCTTGGATTTGAGTGCCGGCTCAGGAAGTGCCCTCTCGCACCAGTACAATCAAGGACAAGTTAACGAGCTTATTAGCCATTGTTACGGGGTGCTTTACGGTACCGGTGACATTCACCCTCCAGAGCCTCCCCGGACCCCGGAACACGAGACACAGGTAAGGTCACGTGCTCGATCACGTGTCATTGAGAAGTTACATATCGGATGGTACGGGAGAGTTCGAGTGACATACATTGCATTCAGACTAAGGTATTAATAGGAAATATTCATAGAGTATCTTTGAAATGTATAGACAATAACAAGAACAGACTACATCATCGGGAGTTACGTTCCATTATCTTTCGCAAAGGACGCACATCCTCCTCAGTTATTCTAAGACCCTGAGTGTTGGTCCGGTCTGGGGCTTGTTTGAAATATGCCAAGCTTTCCCGTCGGAAGATGAACAGCACCGTGTTGCATTTCTAATGACTCTTGATCTTTATCCAGGTTTTAAATAACGCTAATCTGGAATCGTCGACGACTGTCGACATACGAACAGACACGGCAGCCACAAAAGCGAAGAAAAGCGTCGAATTCTCCGACCTCCAAACGACGAAAACGGAAAAAGCCACCAAAGACTCTGAACTTGACGACCAAATCAGGCGCATGGCCGCCAGTGCGGTTGCCGCAGCGATAGCGGGCGCCACGGCGAAGCAAATCGCCAACTCGAAGCATTCTACGCCCGCAATTAAAGCGGCGTCTGCTGCGGCGGAAGTGGCGCAAGCCGTTGTAGACGGTAAAAGTGACGCGGCAGCTCAGGCGGTGACGAAAGTGGCGAAGATAGTCGAAGATGAGACGTCTAGAGTGAACACTACGTCGACGCAAAATGGCTCGGCGACCAGGCCTGCTCCCAAGAGTACGACCTGCGTGTTACTGTAGCGACCAATGAACTGTCCCTGTGCTCCAGATTTTATCTGGTAATTGTGATTGTGAGGATCTAGGTCCGACAGATAGTCGCCATTGCATGAGCTATTTAAAGAATAACTGCCACAAATATAATGGCGATTTGGAAAATATTAATTAATCGTCGATGGATGAGTTGATGAAAAAGTTTTGCTGTAGATGCGCTGGTAAAGTTTCGTGAAACAGTGAATCTGCGGAGTGCGAAATGTTTTCCGCGTGTAATTTTTGAAATTTTGACTTTGTACTAACAGAACGGATACGGCGCAGAGCTCTTTTGAGAATATGTTACTTTGACCAGAAACTAAATTTTGGAATAATTTCTTCATAAACAAGATCACTTTAAAATTGCTTCGCTTGTCCGTTTGAAATGTGTGGCAAATTGTAGACTGTCACGAAGACGAATGCTACGTGACATATAAAGGTCTGTAACACAACCAATAGAGCTCGCAATGTCTACCTGTGCGTGACGCTCAACGAGAAGAGCGATATTTACCGAAAGTAGCATATCTGGCTTCACTGTAAGCGACACAGAGAGTTTATGCAGTTCTCACCAACAATCTGTGGCGAACTTGTTAACCTCGGTCCTCAACAACGATTTTGATATTTTTTAATTTTTCATGTAGAAAGACAATACCGTTAAAAGACTTTAATATCAGGAGAATATAAAGCTTTGTTCTCCTGAAGCGTTATCTAATTTAGGAGCTCGACGTGAGTAACAGGGTTGTAAATTTGTAAATTCACAAATTTAAGATCAAGTTTGTTATTGTGTTTAGTGATTACCGTTCTTCAAAACATATTTAATTTTTTTAGCAATCCTCGTTTTGATTTAGCTGTAATTTAACCCTGCAATTTTTAATACAAATTGCAGCCCATTTTCAGTCCCTCTGCTCTTTCCAACGGGTATTTCGTTTCCCGCTCTTTTAAAGCAAGTTTTCCGCCTTGCTATTAAGGCACTCTGAAAAATTTTTGTAGAGTCAGTAATAAATCAAATAGGAAAAACGATGGACAAGATTGACAAAGATTGCAACTAACGAGCTTGGAGAATCAAGACTGCTTTTTTTTTAAGGCGCACAACGAGTGACGTAACTCCTTAGGTAACCTTAGAGGGGTGGGGTGTTAATTTCTTTGACAATTTCCCTAAAAAGCGAAATTTTTATATAGAGGAGTTGTTATCAATGTTCGCTATGTCCACATAATCATTTACTGTAGAATTTGTAAACATATGTTACACATTCAGTTATTGCAAAGTGGTATTATAAATCAGACGACAGAAAAAAATTTAATATATTGACGACAACATTATACCGCAATTAATTTATTTTATGCATTTTAATAGGTAATAATTTTTGTATAAAGTGAGATGGTAGTTACAACCCTTAAATTCTTTCAGCTGGGGATCTTCAGAAGGACAAAATTAAATCGGGTGGTAGTTATACATAATTGTAATTATTCACGATCAGGAGTTAGGGATTATTTTGGTTGGTATCTAAAGGAAAGTTTGGTTTCCAAAACAATGAATGACTTGATAGGAAGTAATGTCGTTTGTCTCACAGGAAGTGGTTACTTCTGGCCTGGATTGCGACGTTTAAACTGCATGCGGTAAGTATTATTCTGGCGATGACGAAGACTGGTTACGTGTCACCTTACGAAGCTCACCCCTTTGTAATTGGCTGATTATTTCAGCGTGGTGTACTGCCGCATGAGGTGATGTAGTTATCTCCTAGGGAAGGTTGGCAATTAGCAGTCGCGTTCACGTCATGAGTGACTACACTGAGAGGCAAACTACAGTACTTCACTGCTATTGTGGTCCTGTTCGTTGTTTTAATTTGTTAATATATTTCCAGTTGAAATTTACATTTGGGCGGAAACCAATCGGGTTCTGGGCGGTTACACCTTATCCTATCGATGGTATATTTAACGCATTTCTGTATTAGCATACGTTCCACATGTAAATCCGAATAAAAATCGTTTATAAACCTGATTATTGCAGTCGTGTTTCTTTCATGTCAGGCAGTGATTAATCTGGGTAAAGCAATTCACCATTTTTAACTCGAAGGCCTATTTCCTAATTCCTTCTTTTTTGTAGGACGCGACTATACACAGAGTTAAGCTTTATGAGCTAATTTTTCGAGTGCTAGTCCTTCGTCGGCGCGAATGAGCGAAGCGCTCGAAACGTCAGCTTACAAACTCTTACGGTTGCCTATTTCCATTATCAACTCGATAAAATAACGTTATCTTGTTACACTGCCCCACCGACGCAGCACCAGGGCTTCTTTAGAAACTACCCCCATTTGTACACAAAGTAGACTTGTGATAAGGCCAAAATAATAATTTGATGCGTGAATTTTATAGAAATGCGAGCGTGATTCGTGAATTTATGAGCCGGCGTGAAGCGTGACTTACTTCCTGAAATATACGTAACCCGTGAATCATATCAAACTTAGTTCCCATAAGGGCGAGCATTTTCTCTGATTGGGCTGGGATATTACTTAAACGCAGACGACACTCAGTTTTATTTTGCTTTCAAACCCATACCCGGTGAACAACAAGCCTCCATAGCATGCACTGAGGCATGTCTTAGCGAGATTGGTTCATGGATGGTACAAAATAAGCTTAAAACTTTCACGTCCCGTCTGGTTTAACGAGGTCAATTGCTTTGTCAGTAAGTGATAACGGACTGAAAAAAGCGTCCGGTTTCCGAAAGTGAGGGATTCCGGTTTACTGAGGTTAAAATTAGAGAAAGTGTATGACAGAGATTTTGGGGCCGAAAAAAAGGTTCGGTAAAGAGAGGATTCCGATTTCATGAGGGTCCGGTTTAGAGGGGTTCCACTGTATAGCGAAAATAAGAAACTGTTTTTAGAAATCAGACACTGAAATTTTGATCCATGCTTCAGTATCTCCAGCAAGCTTGACAGCTGTAACTCTACAATATGGAATTCCACAATTCCTACTGGATCGCCTACAAGAGGTACAGAACTTTGCAGCACAATTGATAACAAAAAGCAAGAAGTCGGATCACATAAAACCAGTTCTCAAGGAATTGCACTGGTTCCCTATCAGACAAAGGATAAAGTTTAAACTGCTGTTATTATGGTCTGGCGCCACACAACGCAAAAGACATGTTGCAGCTTTACGAACCAGCAAGAAAACTACGATCAAGTAAATGAAATCTTTTAAAAGTCCCGCCACCTGAAAAACTAAAGCGTTATGGTGGGCGGTCTTTATACGCGCCGCCTCAAAATTATGGAACTCACTTCCAGATAGAGCAAGACAATGCAACAGTATAAATAATTTGAATAATTTTAAAATCGTCATTAAGACCTTTCTTTTTAACAAAGCACTTAATTAGAGACATATATGTGTGTGTGTATATTTATGTGATAGAATAGTATCTTTATCATTATTCTTTATACTTTATCTATCCATTAGAATATTTTGATTTCACAAAATTTAATTAGAATTCACGTATAGTAGATCTATATACATCATTTTATAAGTTTTAAAATATTTTAAATTTATTTTTTATAATTATATGATTATTTTTAGCAATAGATATGGGCCTCGCATGAGATTCATATGTTTTTAATAGTGCCTAATATGATATTCTTAAATCATGTATTTATATATTTGTTTATCATAAGTAGGTTAGATTTACTTTTCTATTTCTTTTTTCATTGCTATTATTATTATTATTATTATTTATGGAACTACTTACTTACTAATACTGCATGTAAACGAAGGTAACGAATTGCCGAAATGTTCTGTTTTTGGACCCTCTGATCCTTCTCCCAAAGCTTTTACGGATCCGCCGAAGACCAGGAGCAAAACCAGTGAGAGTACTCCAACTTGAGCGGCCATTTGTCCCATCTAAATCGGTCGCAAACTAGACGAATTACATACCAAAATAAAGGGAATTTCTTGCTCCATTCGTATGTGGCGGTATAATTGAGGGAGTTAAATTCTGGAATTCTGGGAGTTAAAGGGTTAAAATGGGCTTTTATTAACGGTAAGTTTAACATGTTTTCTTTAATGTCTTCACAACCTCGAGATTTTCCTGAAACCTTGCACACAAGAAGAGGGATTTGGAGTTTTCGTGACGCGTGAATCGCTGTTTGAAGTGAACAAGACGCGATAATTTTTGTCCCAAAGAGGACGTAACAGTGGATCAGGAACCCCTCATCCACCCCTCCCCACCCTCTTTCCTAAATAAAAAATTAAGAAAAAAAAATGAAAAACTCGTCTGGCATGCTCCATTGTTAGTGGTAGTTTAGGTTTGCGTGCGCTTAACCCTGTAACTCCCAGATCAAATTTGTAATTCTCCTTACAGTCAACCATACAATTCTTGTAATGCTAGTTCAAAGAATTTAGTATTGGATCAACTAATTATTCCCAAATTGATATTTTTCTTTATTCTCATCACTTATCTAGTTAATATTGCATTGATATTGTAAGGAGAAATTCTGTCTTGGTCACTCATGGGAGTTAAAGGGTTCAGATTTGTTTCAGATTTGTTTCAGATCTGTTTCATTGTTCAAGCAGTTATGATTCGACCTCATTCCTTTTCAAGGAGAGACCTAAAGGTCATTTCCGGCTAAGTGATAATCTTAAATATGTGGAAGCGTTGTTTTCTAAACTAAAAACCACTGCAAAGATGATGTGTCCGAAAGGAACTTTGATGCTGATTTTAAATGTATTTGTCTTTGTCTTTGTTATATCAAGCCAATCGACAGCAGGTAAGAGACACTTAATGTGTTATCCTTTGCACAAATTTTACATGTTGACAAGGCATCCTCTTAATTGCATCAAAAATATGCTAGGAAGGAAGACAAACTGAAGAATCCAATGTAGTCAACGTCGTTTGGCTTTTGAGTTTTAAGTTTAAGGCCGCGTTTGAATAAAAGCCGGACCTAATTTACAAGTCCTTCCGGAACCCCGTACTTTCAAGTGCGCTTTTCTGGCGAAATTGTCCGCTTACATTTGTATTGAAGCTCTGATGCATGGCGCCTTTCGTTCCATCATTCTGCGTCGTATACAGCAATGGAAAATAGGATAACAAGCTGGTGATGACCACGGCCAAATTTTGCATTAACTTACTATAACCTATTTTTAAATTGTTGGCTTTTCTAGATCTAGTCAAATACTACCTTAGCTTTGCCTTTTTGATGCGCTCGATTCCAAACAGGAACATAATTTCTTTAATTGTTGCACTAATGAGGCCTTCGAAGGGGGTTTTTGATGTCGCCTAATTGTTTAGCAACATCCCTGTGGCCTATTTGGTTAGGGACAAATGTCGCTGTCGCTTTTTGTTAGAATAAAAATATCGCTGTCGCACTGAATTTGACAACAGAGTAATTTTGACGTCACTTGCACATAAGTTAGAAACTTGTGGAATTCTTGTTGACTAAATAATCCAGAATCTAACAGGCAGCCGTTTTGCAATGTGTCGCAATTATATTTTTCAGTGTCTTTGGGATACTAAATATCCTAGTTTGAAATCTGTTTAAACCCTAACAACAACATGTAGCAAATCAACTTGGCTAGTTTACACATTGATACTTTTTATTATTTGCTACAACAGTCTTACACAAGCTGAATTTCTATCTAATATTTTCATACCAATATTAGGCACAAATATCCGGTTGCGCCATTTTACATTTTTATTAGACAATCAACGCATTGACTGGTCAAAAAATATTCTCTCTTCCTAATCGAATTACTTGTAGTCGTCAATAGGAATAGAGTTGTAAAGGTAACCGTGCATTGCCTTTTTCAACAGCAAGGTTTCAAAAAGCAAAATCCACCGTATGGAACATTCATTCATTTGAAAGAGCGTTTGCTAAATTCGAGTGTTATTGACCTAATACGAGGACACAGTACACTTTCGAAAAAGTCGCTTGAAAGAGAGCTTTGTTTAGTTAGAAGGACAGGTCTGTAATAAAATTTCTACTTGGAGTGATTGATTACGGTCCGACATTGACTTTCAAGTAAGTGGTGTTGCGTCAGCTACTCTCTATGAACACATTCCTAAACAAAAAAATTTAGATTTAAAAAGAAAGTGTTCTGGCATGCGCCAGTATTACTTGTATGTTTAAGTTTGCTTGAGCCTAAGATTCTTTTGTGCTGCTTAAGTCGCTAGGAGTCAACCCCATTCCTTTTTAAGGAAAGACCTAGAGGTCATTTCTGGCTAATTGATGTGCCTCAACTTGTGAAATTGTTGTTTACTGAACTAAAAACCACTGCAAGGATGATGATTTCGAAAGGAGTTTTGATGCGATTTTTAACTTTAATCGTCTTCGTCTTCGTCTTCGTCTTCTTCTTCTTCGTTATACCAAGTAAATCGACTGCAGGTAAGAGAGACTTTGGATCTCATCCTTTGCGCAGAGTCAATTAAGAATCCGCGATCATCCGAGACGGCGAGACAACGGGTGGTTATAATGTTATCTTAAAGTAATAGAGTTTCGTTAAAGCTATCAATAAGCTGTTTTTACATTTCGACACTTGCATAGATAACACGACTCCTTAGACCTTAGCAGCACAGACATTTTGAGAGACAAATTTACATGATGATAAGGCACCTTCTTAATTGCATCAAAATATGCTAGGAAGGAAGAAAAACTAAAGAATTCAATGCAGTCAGCTTTTGGCTTTTGAGTTTTAAGTTCAACGCCGGGCTTAAATAAAAGCCGGACCTAATTTACAAGTCCCTATAAAACTTTATGCTTTCAAGTGCGTCTTCCTGGCGAAATTTTCCGCTTACATTTGTACGTATCCGAGCGCTGATGGCGCCTTTCGTTCCATCATTCGTGCGTCATACAGCCATGGAAAATAGCTACTACCCTAGCATTGCCTCTTTGATGCCCTCAATTCTAAACAGGGACATAAATTCATTAATTGCTGCACTAATGAGGCCTTCGAAGGAGGTTTTTGATGTCGCCTAATTGTTTACAAACACTCCTGTGGCCTATTTGGTTAAAGACAAATGTCGCTGTCGCTTTTTGTTAGAATAAAAATGTCACTGTCGTACTAAATTTTACAATAGAGTAATTTCTGACATTCATTAATTGACAAGCCGATCGCAAGACAACGCACAATTGTAAAGGTAACCATGCATTGCATGAAATGAGGAAGTGATGGACGCGATAGAGATCTAAGAGTTTCGGCGAAGAAATTTTTTCAGCAGCAAAGTTTCAAAAAAGCAAAATCCACCGTATGGAACATTTATTCATCTGAAAGAGCATTTGCTAAATTCGAGTGTTATTGACCTAATACGGGGACACAGTACACTTTCGAAAATCAGTTAAAATAGAGCTTTGTTTAGTAAGAACTGACGACAGTTCTGAAATAAGATTTCTTCTTTGAGCGATTCTTTGAGGTCCGCCATTGACTTTCACGTAGGTGTCTACCGTCTGCGTCGGTGGGGGAGTATAACAAGATAATTTCAGTTTTATCAACTGAGTTGATAATGGAAATTGGCAACCGTAAAGAGATTAGGAGAGATAGAGAGATTCAAAGCTGACGTTCATCAGAGCGAGTGGCGAAAGGCTAATGCCCGAAACGTCAGGTTTGAAACTCCTTACGGTGGCCAATTTCCATTATCAACTCAGTTAATAAAACCAAAATTCATCTGTAAAAGGCCTTCATGTTATTTCATATAAAACAATAGTCAATTGAGTATCAAAAGTAATCCGGGATCGCTTTGGTTTTACTGCACTTTAATCTGCGATTGGTCCAGAAATCTAACACCATCTTGTCGACCAATCAGATGCAAAACTAAAAACAATCGCGACTTGGTCATTCGCGTTTTCCAGTTAGCAAATGATGATGTAGACCCTTTTTTCTGATTGGTTGCAGCGATTACTTTGGTTTTGGGTTTTTTGACACTCAATTGAAAACTTCCTTATAAGGTGTGAATCGCCACCCAGCCTATATATGTATGGTCAAATTTTAAAAGCGGTTGTACCCAGTCCCTTACTCGTTTAGACCATGATCACAAATGAACCATTTCGTAGTAATACTTTTCTTTGATTTCAGAAGCTTCGCTGATCTCTAACTACGACATCATGAGATGTTACGAAGTTGACATTACATTTCACTATCAGATTGACGGAGGACTCACAAATAGCACCATAACAAATACCAAAGTGCAGTTTTCTTCTCTTTTTCAAAAATTGCCCGGCCTTCTCTCGATTATCCCAGAGTGCAATGATGTCATGATCACCAGGAAAGATATATTCAGCTCTCCACCGGGAGTGAAAAGTATATTTTTTACAATACCGATGATATTCACTGCATCAACAAATGTAGTAGATGGTCAAATTTCAACAAAGATTGCAGCTTGTATAAATACACTGACGACAAGTTATAAGGGATTAATCGACAGCTACACTCCGAGTATATTCCAAAATGGCACTCATAATACGCACAATGCATCCACTATATCAAAAAAGCGATCCTGCTGTGGTGGGAATATACCGCCGCCCTGTTGTACCGTGGGCTCATTTAACGTGTCAAGTAGTAAATGTGGTAAGTTAAAACAACGTATGGATTATATTTGCAGTTGACCCAGGATCAGGGACGAGCAGAACCATTTGTTATGCTTTTGAGTGAAATTGCATCAGGGGAGAGAGGGGGGCGGCTTTGAGATAGAAAACATGGCTTCCAAGGGGGCATCAGTTTATAAAGGGGGGGACTATAGAGTTTTGACTGCCGGTTAACGGCTAATGAGGGAGGGGGACCATAAGAACGTTACAGAGCCTACAGGTAAATTTTATCAGGAGACCACAAAAATCCTGGGGTCACCCTGCCCCCCTTCCCCCCTCCGACCTATAAATGTTGATAAATGTTGATCAGTCTTTAAGCTTAGTTCTTTCTCCTTCATTTAGGTTGTTTGCCAGGGTTCCATTTTGTTCCTGGCAGTTTATGTCAGCGTTGTCCTTCAGACACCTATCAGGACGAACAAGGTCAAAGTTCATGCAAGAAGTGTCCTGGAAGAAAACAAACATTTGGAAAAACAGGAATGACTAGCAATTCCAGCTGCCTAGGTGAGCTTAAATATCAGGGAACGTGTCGGTAAAATAAGGTTTTTAGGAAAAAGGAGAGCCACTTGAGCTCGGATATACCTTCAGTAGCCGTTCCGTTTTCTTCATTTCTCTGGATTAGCATCAATATCATTTTCACGATGTCTTTCTTTTTTATCCAGTATATTTAGTGCTCTTTGTCTCCGTCAGTGCCTTGTCACTGAAACTGTTGTGGTAGATGCTTCTTTTCCATACTTGCGCAATCGGTCTCAGACCAGTTTTCAATTTACTTTCGAAAGACTAAAAGTAGAGTAATCCCAGCAACCAGTCAAAACAAAGGTTTACATTATTAGTAGCCAATAGGAACTCAAAGTGAAAATATCCAGACTTCTTCAGTGTGCGTCTCGTATCTGATTGGTTGAGAGGATGGTGTGACTTTCCGAACCAATTGCAGAGTAAAGTTAAGTGAAACGAAAGCAATCTTAGATTTTTTCGAAAGTCAATTGAAAATTGCTCCATTGACCATGAATAATCAGGAACTGACTTTTGACGGGCTCTAACTGGTCAATATTTATCACGAGGGTGGCGGTGGGGTGGGGGGGTCGGAAGACTTGACTCTGTCACGATAAAATTTACTAACCCCCACCGGGGGGCCGGTCCCTTCTCACTGTATTTCGTGCTTCCTTATAGACCCTCCATTGATTGGTAACTACGACGTCAAACGATGCTATATACTTGACGTCATATTCAAGTACCGAATTCCAGGAGGCCTTACGGTCAACACCACCAGAGATGTCAGACAGGAGTTTCAAAGTCTTTTTCTGACAGTGTACAATCTATATCTTTCTCTTCAACAATGCAAAGAGGTGATTGTCACAATCGGAAATATAACACCATCTCCACCAGGAGTTAGTCTTGTTTACTTCCGAGTACCACTTACTTTTACAGCATCAAATAACATAGCTGATGATCTTGTGGCTATAAATGTTACAACCTGTGTGAACGTTGCAAATGTCTCCTTAAAAGGATATATAGACCGAAGTGCTCCAAACATAACTCAAAACAAAACCACATACCAAATTAGCCAACCGTCTTCATCGGAGAAGAAGTCATGCTGTGGTGGGGATATACCGCCGCCCTGCTGTGCCGTTGGCTCAATCAAGGTTTCAAATACTAGTTGCGGTAAGGATTTTCATTTCTATTTTGAAAGAAATAAACGTTCCATCAATAAAATGATACATACGGTTTGTGCAGCGGTATTTGCACTAAAGGCAAGCGCGGAAAATTCTCAACAGTGTCCTCGTCCCTTCATCCCTCTCCTTGACACTGGACAGAATCTTGTTTTTTTTTTTCCTCCAACGTTTTACACAAATTGTGTTACTTTTTTTAGGTTGTTTGCCTGGATTTCACTTCGTCACCGGCCGTTCGTGTGTTCCTTGTCCTTCTGACACTTATCAGGATGAACAAGGACAAAAGTCTTGTAAGACTTGTCCAGCCGATACAGTAACATTTGGTAAGACAAGAATGACAAACAAGGCCAACTGCACAGGTATGGTTGACTTTTCATACGCCTTTCCTTTCCTATCAAACATTCGAGATTGCTTCGTTTTCTTTTTAGATACAATGCTCTGCAAGTTAACGACCAAGAAGTTTTCCTGCCTGAAAACATCAACAACGAAAGATAGTCGCGAATGTTACTTTTACTACAGTTCTGACTTCCCTTCCTAACAGTGTCCGCGTCCCTTAATCCCTCTCCTTGAAAAATTCTTTGACACTGGACAGAATCTTTGTGTTTTTTTCTCAAACGTTTCACACAAATTGTATCACTTTTGCAGGTTGTTTGCCTGGATTTCACTTCGTCACCGGCCGTTCGTGTGTCTCTTGTCCTTCTGACACTTATCAGGATGAACCAGGACAAAAATATTGTAAGACTTGTCCAGCTAATACAAGGACATTTGGTAAGACAAGGATGACAAACCAAGCCAACTGCACAGGTATGGCAGCAACAAAACTGCGCTAAGGTTCATTTGACTTTTCATACACCTTTCCTTTCCTATCAAACATTTGAGACTTGCTTCGTTTTCTTTTTAGATACAAATCCTCTGCAAGTTAACGACCAAGTAGTTTTCCTGCCTGAAAACATCAACAACGAAACAATAGTCGTGAATGTTACTGTTAATGCAGTTCCGGCTTCCCTTGTTCGACCATTTAAGTTTTACGTAGATAATGTCACACAGCCACGACTACTGTCACGCGAGGTGTCAAGGCGAAAGCGGCGTCGTGTTGAAGTTGATTCTCGGTGTACACACCCTGAGCTCTGTCCTCAAATGTTAGTCGATCTCTGTTTTAAGGCAGGTGCCATCAAACCAGAAAATTATTTCTGCATTCATCGATTCACTGGACGAATTAGGGTAACGCAAGACTTTGTATTCAAAGAAGGTGAAGTATTTGATTTACAAATACGCGTGACGGACAGCGACCCAAGTGGAATAACCGAAAACACAGCCAGAATCAAACTCATTTCTGGTGACCCGTGTAAGATCGTCCTAGCAATTTATGATGAAGCTGTGAAATATTGCATCAAGAATTCAGAATCTGTCGATGGAGGAAAGAAGTGCTTGAGTACTCAGTGCACGGAGACTGCCCATGATTGGAAAGAGGCACTTAACAGTGCAAGTAATGTACCAGAGAAAGACTGCTCAGCTGATCCCCATAATCTTACAGTGCTCATCCGCGAAAACCCACTTTGTGGTAAGTAGTCACGTGTTGTAGAGTCTACTCTATCTCCTGATCTTATCACGCAACACGTGTTCTTTCTCAGAGAGCGCGTTGCGTGACCAACAAGCAAAGACTTCGAAGGAGACTGGAGTCGAAAAACAGTAACTTTGAAAAGTATCGATAGATACAGTTTGTTACTCTCCCCTCCCCTACCCCCTTCCCTTAGCCGTCCACACTAAATGTCCGAAAACATTGATGAAAGCGACAGAGTGATGTTTTTCACGTCACCATTTTGAGAAGCATCCGTTTTCACCTGTCCACAAAAGAAGTTGGGCGTTTTCAAGACTCCACTTTTGAAATCGTCTTCAACAGTGTTCATTTTATTCCCTTTCATCAGGTGTTTCAGTGTGGACGAAAGAGAATGGGGCTATATTCACCATAAGCCCCAGTCTTACCGCCGTCAGACCAGTTGAAAACTGCTGACCCGTATTGCAGATTGTTAACTCTCCGAGATGTGTTTTTCACCAAAGATGTACATTTCGGATTTAATGCTGCAGTCAGAAATCCTAAATGTGCACTACTTATATCCACAATTCAGAGCTTTGATAAGAGATCTGAATCGTCTGTTGCAAAATTAAATCAAGATAGATTTTCAGATCGGAAATCTAAATTGTTAACTACAGGTACTCACTTTAAATCAACTCAGTCGTTGACTTCTTTGGATTGACTCGAATTCTGCAACGTGCTTTGCAATTGTAAATTAAAGTTGCTGATTGCTAAAATTTTTGCCAGGCAAACTTTAAATGCTACGTTCTCTCAGATTCCCTTATAGCATCTTTTAATCTTGAAAATATGGTATGGCAAAATTTGAACTATTTCCTTCTTATTTCAGCCGTTTATCAGCTTGTGAACGCAGAAGTGTTTCCAGTTGTTACTTCTCTTAACAGGCTAGCCCTTTACAAGTACAATTTGTGCAGTTCAACATTCGTTGTCGGATGCTGGCCTCCTCTAACTACGGTTCTGTTTTGAAAGCAGCTTCAAACTCTTTATAAAAAACATTTAGTGCTTTACTCACCCTTCTAGTCTTTATTCCAATAGGTCACTGAAGTTGTTGCTGTTGGTAAGTATGTCAACATCGAATATGGCGTACGCAACTGAGTTAGAGATTACTGTTTTCTCACAGTCCCACATAGCATCTTTTAACCTTGGTAGCATGGTGATAATGGCAAATGGCAAACTTTGAACTATTTTCCGTCTCCTTGCAGCCGTTTATCAGCCTGTGAACGTAGAGGTGTTTCCAGTTGTCATTTCTCTTAACAGGCAAGCCCTTTACAAGTACAATTTGTGCAGTTCATCGTCCGTTGTCGGATGCTGACTTCCTTTAACTACGGTTCTGTTTCGAAAGCAGCTTCAAACTCTATACAAACAACATTTAGTACTTTACTCACCCTTTTAGGCTTTATCTTAATAGGTTTCCGGATTTGTTGCTGTTGGTCAACATTGGATGTGGCGAACGCTAGCGAGTGAGAGATTATCCACCCCTAAGACATTGGAGGCTGCTGGGGTCACCGCTTGGGATTTGAGGCAGCGTGCATTTGAGAGGCGATGGCGACGTCAGTGGTTGATAAAACTCCGTTTTCTTCCCAACGAAAAAATAGGGACCTTTAGCAGTTAGGACGGCAACACCAAAGAGGACGATTTAAAAATGAATGTTTTTAGTTGGAATTTCGCGAATGACTGGATGTGTTTACCATCTCTTACGGCGCACATGTAGCCCCGGTTTTTTGAAGCTCGGATAACGCTATTCACTGGATAAATCTCTATCTGGTGGATAACGCTATACGTTTTTCTATCACTTATCCGTTGGAGAGCGATTTATCCATTGCATATCATTATCCGCCCTTTACACAACTGGGCCCTGGATTTAAAACATTTGCATCAGTTATAGTTTAGGAATACAATAAACTTGAACCTTCTTGAGTTTATTTAGAATGCTGACTCACGAGTATCTGTGTTCAAAATGGAGAAACTGAAAAGGAGGTTGCTTCGGATCTCTTCGGAACGCCTTCGAAAATGGAAGCAAGTTTTCGGTATCATATGGTACTATGCGACATATTCTGAAGGTAAAATGTCACGTCCTAGACTTCACGAAAGTTGACGGGTATATTGTTACAAAGGTGATCGCATGAAAGAAGTTATCGCTTATGAAAGGCCCCTAACATAGTAAAAAAATTGCCACCACTGAGAAGTGGTTGCTAGGAAAGGTTCGACTGTGATGCGAAGGTATTTTGTGACAGCGCTACCTCGTGTCACGTCATCTTAACGCCGCTGACCTTCTCTCGACTAAAGCAAACATTGCGTTGAATATAAGGAAGTCAGTGGAAGTTGGCAGGTTCTCATGAATTGAGTTACAAAAAGGGATTTGTGCAAATAATTGCTGTGATTCGAAGGCCATTGCCCACAATTTACTCTCTTCAACAAGCGAATGAAAGAAAAATTGAAACCTGGGCAAAGCAGTTTACCATCCTTATCTTGAAGGCCTATTTCCTGATTCTTTGTTTTGTTTTGTTTTGTTTTCGTTTGTTTTTTTTTCGGTAGGGGGCGACTATATATGCTTTCTAAGCTAAATTTCCAAAGTTCAGTCTTAAGTCGGAGCGAATGGGCGAAACGCTCGAAACGTCAGCTTACAAACTCTTTACAGTGACCAATTTCTATTATCAACTCAGTTGATAAAATAACATTATCTTGTTACACTGCCCCACCGACGCAGCACCAGGGCTTCTTCAGAAACTTATCCCCTTTATACACAGGGTAGACTTGTGATAAGGCCAAAATAATAATTTGATGCGTGAATTTTATAGAAAGGCGAGTGTGACTCGTAAATTTATGAGCCGGCGTGAAGCGTGACTTACCTTCTGAAATATACGTAACCCGTGAATTTTTTCTTTAATGTGGTCACAACCTCAAGATTTTCTTAAAACCTTGCACACAAGAAGAGGGATTTGGAGTTGTAGTGACCCGTGAATCGCTGTTTGAAGTGTACGAGACGCGATGGTTTTTTTTCTAAAATAGTACGTAAAAGTGGATCAGGAACCCCTCTTCCATCTCCCCCTTCCCTGAATAAAAAAGTCTAAAAATTAATGAAGAATTTGTCTGGCATGCTCCAGTGTCAGTGGTTTCGTCCTTGCAGCGGCTGCTTATTGGTTTAGTCTTTTATTATGTTTCTTCACTCGGAGAAAAGAGGAATTTTCTTCGCTCTATCTTCTGTAGTGAGCAAAACTACTGATTTCAAACATGACTCCATTGATACGGTGTCCAAAAAGGCCCTTTATTAACTCAGGCGAGTATGATTTTAGAAAATTGTCCCTAGTTTAAATTTTGATGTTTTAAAGCTCGAGGATAGAAAACTCTTCATACCGGCGGTTGGCGATGGGAAATCGGAGGGGGGGGGGAGGGTGGCAACTACCCATACCCTCCCCTCTATTTCGATTCCAATTCTATATCAAACAAGGCAGCATGGAAAGGAAGGAACAATGATGATAATCAAACGTGACTACCGGAGGACCATCCCTTGTAGCGCTAACACGCTCTCTAAGATAAGATGTCTGCACTGCAGGCTGATGAATCCCAAGAATGAAATTAACACCCAATCGTGCTACTCATCTGCATCAATTGTGTAGGATAAAGGAAGCGTGTACGATAGTTTATCAAAAGGCTTCCTCTACAAAGTCGTTATAAACGGAAAACAGCAGACATCTTCGAACTCATGTAGCCTTGTATAGAGCAATTTTTCTATTGAGTATCGAAATAGTCTGAAATTACATTGTTTTTGCTTTACTTCACACTGTTATTGGTGCAGAAAACTCGCGTCACTTCCACGACCAATCAGATGCAAAAGTAAAACTAATCACGACCTGGTCGCCCGCATTTTCCCGCGCTTTAGACAATTTGGTAGTTTTTACTCTGAGTTCTCATTGGCTCTTAAAATATTATCCATCTTCTGATTGGCTGTTGTAATTACTTCGGTTTTGGTTTCGCGACACTCAATCAAGACGCACTTAATCACGCTTTGGTTAATTAGTTGTCGTGCTCAACATCACAAATCCACCACTCTTACATCCATCAGGAGAAGTGCGGCTGTCTCCTCTCTCAATAACAACTGCACTCGTTTGGATACTTCATGTTCTTTCATTACCTGAAAACAGTAGAAGAATTTCTGTCAGAATTCAGCCAGGAAGATTACCTTTAATCTGTTTGTGTAACATAAGTAAACTCTTTAGAATGGCGCTACTCAAAAGCAAAAACAAAAAAGCTTTATTCTTTGTTAGAGAATTCGTATGCTGACCGGCTAAAAGAGTTTTGCGTTGATACCAGGAATGTGCGGTAAATGTTGATAAAACATCATTTTCTCCCGACATTCTCCATTTGGGAGCTACAGCCATTAGAGCCCGCAGTGTTTACCTGTGCGTGACGAGCTACGAGAAGAGCGATGTTTACCGAAAGTAGCGTATATGGCTTCACTGTTAGCGATACAGAGAGTCTATACAGTTCTCACCAACAATCTGTGGCAAACTTGTTAACCTCAGTCCTCAACAAGGATTTTGAAACTATAACTTTATATTCGTCAAAGCGATTGAACGCCAACGCACGAAACGTCAGCCTTTAAAGTCTTTACGGTGGCAAATTTACGTTTTCAACTTAGTTGTTAACACTAAATTACCTGTTATTCTGGTGATGATGAGGACTGGTCACGTGTCACCTTACGAAACTCGCCCCTTTGTAATTGGCTGACGAGCGCTTAGGCTTAGGCTCAGGCGCGAAACTCAGAGTAACGGAGAATCGATGCGTCCTCTTTGATTCTTTCACTTATATACTCAGCTCTGCTACCACAGTATTGAGCACTTTATGCCAAGGTAGACTCTACCCCCACATTTATATATACATATATGTATGTGATAGAATAGGATCTTGATCATTATTCTTTATACTTTATCTATCCATTAGAATATTTTGATTTCACAAAATTTAATTAGAATTCACATATAGTAGATCTATATACACCATTTTATAACTTTTAAAACATTTTAAATTTATTTTTTATAATTATTATTATTATTATTTTTAGCAATAGATGTGGACCTCGAACGAGTTTCATATGTTTTTAATAGTGCCTAATACGATATTCTTAACTCATGTATTTATATATTTGTTTATCATAAGTAGGTTAGATTTACTTTTCTATTTCTTTTATAGTTGTTATTATTATAATTATTATTATTATTATTATTATTATTATTATTATTATTTATAAGACTATTTATATTACTTGCTAATACAGCATGCAAACGAAGGTAACGAATGGCCGGAATATCCTGTTTTTGGACCCTCTGATCCTTCTCCCAAAGCTTTTACGGATCCGCAGAAGACCGGGAGCAAAACCAGTGAGAGTACTCCAACTTGAGCGGCCATTTGTCCCATCTAAATCGGTCGCAAACTAGACGAATTATACACCAAAATAAAGCGAATTTCTTGCTCCATTCGTATTGGCGGTATAATTGAGATTTGAATATGCGCGAAAGAACTAGGACCCATTCTTACGCGCTAACCGTGATACGACACTTTGAACGCCTTCGAAAATTGCGTTATCGTAATTTTAAAAAATGAATTTTGACCCATTAAATCCTAAAGCTTTGGTACTTCAAAATAACTTCTAAAGTAGCTTTAATATATTTTTTAAAATTTTGTTGGTAAAATTAATCACTATCAAAACTTCTCTTAGTAATCGAGCCAACGGTTCCAAATTTTGTGTGTTCTTGCGTCAAACAGTGGTGGAGATGTGGTCGCCGAGACTTAATATGGGCTTTTTTTAAAGGTGAGTTTAACATGTTTTCTTTAATTTCGTCACAGCCTCAAGATTTTCCCGAAACCTTGCACACAAGAAGAGGGATTTAGAGTTTTCGTGACGCGTGAATCGCTGTTTGAAGTGAACAAGACGCGATAATTTTTGTCCCAAAGAGGGCGTAAAAGTGGATCAGGAACCCCTTATCAACCCCTTCACACCCCCTTTCCTAAATAAAAAATTAAGAAAAAAAAAAAAAACTCGTCTGGCATGCTCCATTGTTAGTGGTATGTTTAAGTTCGCGTGCGCTTAACCCTGTAACTCCCAGATCAAATTTGTAATTCTCCTTACAGTCAACTATACAATTCTTGTAATGTTAGTTCAAAGAATTTAGTATTGGATCAACTAATTATTCCCAAATTGATATTTTTCTTTATTCTCATCACTTATCTAGTTGATATTGCATTGATATTGTAAGGAGAAATTCTGTCTTGGTCACTCATGGGAGTTAAAGGGTTCAGATTTGTTTCAGATTTGTTTCAGATCTGTTTCATTGTTCAAGCCGTTATGAGTCGACCTCATTCCTTTTCAAGGAGAGACCTAAAGGTCATTTCCGGCTAAGTGATATGCCTAAATATGTGGCATTGTTGTTTTCTAAACTAAAAACCACTGCAAAGATGATGTGTCCGAAAGGAACTTTGATGCTGATTTTAAATGTATTCGTCATCGTCTTTGTTATATCAAGCCAATCGACAGCAGGTAAGAGAGATTTTGAATGTTATCCTTTGCAAAAATTTTACATGTTGACAAAGCACCCTCTTAATTGCATCAAAAATATGCTAGGAAGGAAGTCAAACTAAAGAATTCAATGTTGTCAGCGTTTGGCTTTTGAGTTTTAGGTTCAAGTTCGGGTTTGAATAAAAGCCTTACCTAATTCACAAGTCCTTCTAGAACCCCGTACATTCAAGTGCGCCTTACTGGCGAAATTTTCCGCTTACATTTTTATTGAAGCACTGATGCATAGCGCCTTTCGTTCCATCATTCGTGTGCCATACAGCCATGAAAAACAGGGCGACAAGCCGGTGATGTCTCTAGCCAAATTTTGCGTAAACTCGCTATAACCTATTTTTAAATTGTTAACTTTTCTAGATCTAAATTTAGGATTTTGTGTCCCCTAATACGGGAACACGGTACACTTTCGAAAATCAGTGAAAGCGAGCTTTGTTTAGTTAGAAGAACAGGTCTGCAATAAAATTTCCTCTTGACTGAAGTGATTGGTTAAGGTCCGACATTGACTTTCACGTAAGCGGTGCAGTGTCGACTACTCTCTATGAACACATTCCTAGATAAAAAATGAAGAATTAAGACTTGTTTCGCCATGGCATGTTCCAGTATTATTTGTATGTTTAAGTTCGCTTGAGCTTAAGATTCTTTTGTGCTTTGTGTTCATTGTTTAAGAAGTTAGGAATCAACCCCATTCCTTTTTAAGGAAAGACCTACAGATCATTTCTGGCTAATTGATGTGCTTCAACTTATGGAATTGTTGTTTATTGAACCAAACACTGCTGCAAAGATGATGTTTTCGAAAGGAATTTTGATGCTATTTTTAACTTTATTCGTCTTCGTCTTCTTCGTTATACCAAGGAAATTGACTGCAGGAAAGGAGAGACTTTGGATGTCATCCTTTGCACAGAGTCAATTAAGGATCCGCGATCATCCGAGACGGGCGAGACAACGGGGGGTTGTAATGCAATAGAGTTTCGTTGAAGCTATCCGATAAGCTATAGACAACATGACTCCTTAGCATCACAGACATTTTGAGAGACAAATTTACATGTTGAGAAGGCACCCTCTTAACTGCATCAAAAATATGCTAGGAAGGAAGACAAATTAAACAATTCAATGTAGTCAGCGTTTGGCTTTTGAGTTTTAAGTTCAAGGCCGGGTTTAAATACAAGCCGGACCTAATTTACAAGTCCTTCTGGAACCCCGTCCTTTCAAGAGCGCCTTCCTGGCGAAATTTTCCGCTTACATTTTTACGTATCCCAGCGCTGATGGCGCCTTTCGCTCAATCATTCATGCGTCATACAGCTATGGAAAACAGGACAACAAGCCGGTGATGCCTCTTGCCAAATTTTGCGTAAACTCGCTATAATTTATTTTTAAATTGTTAGCTTTTCTAGATCTAGTCGAATACTACTCTAGCATTGCCATTTCGATGCGCTCGATTGTAAAAAGGGGCATAAATTCATCAATTGTCGCCTGATTGTTTTACAACAGTACCGTAGCCTATTTGGTTAGGGAAAAATATCGCTGTCGCTTTTTGTTAGAATAAAAATGTCGCTGTTGTACTAAATTTAGCAATAGAGTCATTTCTGACGTCTTTAATTGACAAGCCGATAGCACAACAACGCACGATTGTAAAGGTAACCATGCATTGCATGAAATGAGGAAGTGATGGACGCGATAGAGATCAAAGAAATTAGGCAAAGAAATTTTTCAACAGAAAGGTTTTAAAAGCAAAATTCACTGTATGGAACATGTATTCATCTGAAAGAACATTTGCTAAATTCGAGTGTTATTGACCTAATACGGAAACAAAGCACACTTTCAAAAATCATTAAAAGAGAGCTTTGTTTGGTTAGAAGGACACGTCTGAAGTAAAATTTCTTCTTTGAGCGATTCTTTGAGGTCCGCATTTGACTTTCAATTAGGTGGTACTGCAAATTGGCCACCGTAAAGAGATTCAAAGCTGACGTTCATCAGAGCGAGTGGCGAAAGGCTAACGCCCGAAACGTCAGCTTTGAAATTCTCTACGGTGGCCAATTTACATTATCAACTCAGTTGATAAAACCAAAATTTATCTGTTAATATATTTTATATAGAACAATAGCCAATTGAGTATCATAAGTAACCCGGGATCGCTTTGGTTTTACTACACTTTACTCTGTGATTGGTCCAGAAATCTAACGTCATCCTCTCGACCAATCAGATGCATAACTAAAAACAATTGCGACTTGGTCATTCGCGTTTTCCCGCGCTTCAAGCATTTAGAAAATGATGATGTAAACCTTTTTTTTCTGATTGGTTGCAGCGATTGCTTTGGTTTTGGGTTTTTTGAAATTCAATTGAAAACTGCCCAATAAGGTAGAAATCGCCACCCAACCTACATGTGTAGGATGGAGTTTTAAAAGCGTTTGTACCCAATCCCTTACTCGTTTAGACCATGAGCATAAATGAACCATTTCGTAGTCCTCTGTATTGGTTCTTGACATGAAATGGCCTGTGTAACATGGATTGGCACTAAATGATACGGGGAGCGAATTCTTTTATTTGCATGTTTTTGTGTTGAAAAGCCGCTCTAATTCCTTAAATCTTTCCGGGCTTATTTAATTCAGGAGTGACTTTACTTCATGCATGTGATGTAAACAAAGAATTGTGTTCATGCAAAATGTTTGACTAAAAAGTTACGCCAGGAATTTCCGTCGTAATTTGCTGATGGGTTAGTTAGTTGTTACAGCGCTCTACTTGAACAAAAATCTTAATTAATACAATTATCTACCAAACATTTGTAGCGTAAGTGAGTATATTGTGAAATTTCAGTCTCTCATGCCTGTGATTATGTTGTTCAACTTCATTCACCTTACGTAACAATACACAACATTCTGTTCAATTTATTTTTACTCCTTAAAATTTGTCGATGGGAATAGCGATAGTATTCGGGAAATCTTACATAACATGCTGGGATTCAGTAACGCCGCTTGTCTGAGTTAATTTTAGAGACAAAAGACAAAGCAATAAATATTCTAGAAGTAAAATTCATCAAATGTATGAAAAGCCGTGTCGACGGAGCACCTCGAAAATGCATATGATTTAACCTCTCTCCTAACAGATTGTACGTATCGTTAGCGTTTGGCAATGTCGTTACTGAGTTCATTGTGGCATTTTTAAAATTTCTGCATGCCAAAATGTTTAATCACGAAAAGTGTGCAATGTAGCTGAAAAATATTTTAGTTTTAGTTAATCTCTGACATTTACGTTTTAAAACATCCAAAATGTCTGATCTAAGTTGTTTAAAATATCTGTGTTGGCTGATCTTCCTTCCTCGCCAATTTCTTCTGTCATACTCCGAGATCAAAGCGTTTAGTGCTGACTAAGATTGAGACGCATAATCCATTGGCTGTTTTGAGAGAAAAATTACTGAAAATGGCTGCATTGTATGATTCCGAAGCAGCTCTTAAGTTTCAACCAGGTGTCTCCCGTTTGCCTGATAGAAAGGACATCTGTATTAGAATGATACATAAACGCAATCATCCGCAAGGATTATACTATCTGTGTAAAGGAAATTTGGTTGAGTGACTAATGGCATCATAGAATATATATAGGAACTCCCCGCTACCTTGCTTTCTGAGTATTGCTTCATTTAAGTTTTACCTCAACAAGTTCTTTTTGCGTCGAAATATAAAAACGAAACCAACTTCGCAGCGCTTTTAACACAGAAAAAGACGGTTGAAACAAAATTGACCCACCCAGACTTTTTAAAAAATAAAAGAACACAGTCTGTCTGCTAAGGCAAATCGATTATTTTACCCATTGCAGTCTTATAAATCTAGAAGCTCGCCTGTTTTAAAGCGAATGAAAAACTTTGTGCCTTTATTTCCGGCAGTCAACTTTTTCCATCTGGGATGTTTTAAAGACTATCCCATCCGTGCCATACCAGAAGTACTTGGCGTCTGGAGGCTTGAAAGCAATGCGACTCAGAGATGCGCGCAGGCCGCAAAGAGGGCTGGGTACTTAGTGTTTGGAGTGCAGGATGGAGGTGAATGCTGGTCAGGACCGCTGGCTCAGGAGACGTACAAAAAGTACGGAGCTTCGACCAGATGTGTGGGCGGAACTGGTTGGGCCTGGGCACAAGACGTGTACAGGATTGTTAGTAAGTGATAGACGTGTCGTCCTGCAGGTCCTTCCATTTGCTTGACATCTCTGAAAAAAGGGTTTTTTTAACGCTAAAGTTCTCTTCGTACCTAACGCTCTAAATATTTCGCGTGAGATACAAGAATTTTCCATGCAAAGTGAATTACAAATCACCAGAACACAAACATTAATGTTCTCTTCAAAGGCTCACAACGTACTACAGATGCGCGCAAATCGTAAATGATGTGATAATGTTATCACACTCACCTGGCGACAACTGATCCCCTCCCGTTCCCCCTGAACATACACAAATATAAAACCCAAAAATACATCCCCACCAGCGATGAATAATTTCTTGTCCCTGAGAACTAAGATAAAAACAAGAAAATATATCTATACAAGAGTCTTTGTTGTATGTTTTAGTTGGTCATTTTAAACAAATTCTGCGTTTTTTTCTGTGATTTCAGATGCTTCACTGATTGCTAACTACGATGTGAAAAGATGTTACGAGGTGGAAATCACATTTTATTATCAAATCCAAGGAGGTCTTACAAGTAGCACCATAAATAACACCAGAAAGACGTTTTCTGATCTTTTAAGCAGAATGTCCAGCATTCTCTCGTCTCTCCCCGAGTGCAGTAATGTCACAGTCACCAGGAAAGATATAATTAACTCTCTCCCAGGAGTGAGAAGTGTTTTTTTCAGAATACAACTGATATTTACAGCATCTACAAGTGTGCCAGATTATGAAGTTTCCAAGAGGCTTACAGTCTGTATTAGTACTCTACCTGCCTACAAACAATTTTTAGACGCAAGTACTCCAAAAATAAAGCAAGGAAATATAAGTTACTCCAACTACAATTTATCCTCAATATCAAACAAGACATCATGTTGTTGTGGGGATATACCGCCGCCTTGCTGTGCTGTGGGCTCAATACGGATTAACAGCACCAAATGTGGTAAGTTACCAACAACCAATAACCAACACAGCGATCAAACATGAGGCATGCGCAAATTAAATAGTTTTGGCCAGCCGTGCGCCGGGTTTCCGCGCAAAATTTTAACGGGAAATGTTAAGACACCACTTCCACTCGAAATTCACGAAAATGAATTGAAACGTATGGATTCCTTTCTGCAGGTTGTTTGCCAGGGTTCCATTTTGTTCCTGGTAATTTATGTGAGCGTTGTCCTTCAGACACCTATCAGGACGAACAAGGTCAAAGTTCATGCAAGAAGTGTTCAGGAAGAAAACAAACATTTGGAAAAACAGGAATGACTAGCAATTCCGGCTGCCTTGGTGAGCCTTAAATATCAGGGAACGTGTCAGTGAAATAAGGTTTTAGAAAAACGAAAGAACGCACTTGAGCTCGGATAAACTTTCCAGTAGCCGTTCCGTTTCTTCATTTCTCTTCATTAGCATCAATATCGTCTTCACGATGTATTTCCTTTTTATCCGGCATATTTAGTGCTGTTTGTCTACTTAAGTGCCTTGTCACTGAAACTGTTGTGGTAGATGCTGATTTTCCATATTTGCACAATCGGCCTCAAACCAGTTTTCAATTTACTTTCGAAAGACTAAAGCCAAAGTAATCCCAGCGACAAAACAGAACAAAGATTTACATTATCATTAGCCAATGGGAATTCAAAGTGAAAATAATCAAACTGCTTGACGGTTCTTCTTGCATCTGTTTGGTTCAGATAGTGTGACTTTCTGAATCAATTACAGAGCAAAGTTAACTGAAACCAAAGCAATCTTAGATTACTTTCGAAACTCAATTGAAAATTGCTCTATTGACCATGGATCTTCAGGAACTGAGTTTTGACGGGCAACGACTGGTCAATATTTATCGCGGGGGGGGCGGGGGGAGGGGGGGGGTTGGAAGATTTGGTTTTGTCACGATAAAGTTTACTAACCACCCTCCCGCTAGGGGCTGGTCCCCTCTCACTGTACTTTGTGTTTCCTTGCAGACCCTCCATTGATTGGTAACTATGACGTCAAACGATGTTATGTACTAGACGTCATATTCAATTATCGAATCCCAGGAGGCCTTACGGTCAACACCACCAGAAATGTCATAGGGGAGTTTCAAAGTCTTTTTCTGGTTGTACAAAATCTATATCTTTCTCTTCAACAATGCAAAGAGGTGATAATCACAATCGGAAATATAGCATCATCTCCACCAGGAGTTAGTCTTGTTTACTTCCGAGTACCACTTACTTTTACAGCATCAAATAACATAGCTGATGATCAAATGGCTATAAATGTTACAACCTGTGTAAACGCTGCAAATGTCTCCCTAAAAGGATATATAGACCGAAGTGCTCCAAACATAACTCAAAACAAAATCACATACCAAATTAACCAACAGTCTTCATTGGAGAAGAAGTCATGCTGTGGTGGGGATATACTGCCGCCCTGCTGTGCCGTTGGCTCAATCAAGATTTCAAATACTAGTTGCGGTAAGGATTTTCATTTCTATTTTGAAAGAAATAAACATTCCACCAATAAAATGATACACACAGTTTGTGCAGTGGTATTAGTACTAAACGCAAGCGCGGTAAAATCCCCAAAAGTGTTCTCGTCCCTAAATCCCTCTCCTTGACACTGGACAGAAACTTGGTTTTTTTTCCCTCCAACGTTTTAGACAAATTTTGTCACTTTTTCAGGTTGTTTGCCCGGATTTCACCACGTTACCGGCCGTTCGTGTGTTCCTTGTCCATCTGACACTTATCAGGATGAACAAGGACAAAAGTCTTGTAAGACTTGTCCAGCTAATACAGTAACATTTGGTAAGACAAGAATGACAAACAAGGCCAACTGCACAGGTATGGGCAGAAACAAAACTGCGCTAAGGTTCGTTTGACTTTACATACACCTCTCCTATCCTATCAAACATTCGAGATTGCTTCGTTTTCTTTTAAGATACAAATGCTCTGCAAATTCACGACCAAGTAGTTTTCCTGCTTGAAAATATCAACAACGAAAAGATAGTCCCGAATGTTACTTTTACTACAGTTCTGACTTCCCTTCCTAACAGTGTCCTCGTCCCTTAATCTCTCTCCTTGAAAAATCCTTTGACACTGGACAGAATCTTTGTGTTTTTTTCTCAAACGTTTCAAACAAATTTTGTCACTTTTTCAGGTTGTTTGCCTGGATTTCACTTCGTCACTGGCCGTTCGTGTGTCTCTTGTCCTTCTGACACTTATCAGAATGAACATGGACAAAAATATTGTAAGACTTGTCCAGTTAATACAGGAACATTTGGTAAGACAAGAATGACAAACCAAGCCAACTGCACAGGTATGGCAGCAACAAAACTGCGCTAAGGTTCATTTGACTTTTCCTACACCTTTCCTTTCCTATCCTATCAAACATTTGAGACTTGCTTCGTTTTCTTTTTAGATACAAATCCTCTGCAAGTTAACGACCAAGTAGTTTTTCTGCCTGAAAACATCAACAACGAAACAATAGTCGTGAATGTTACTGTTACTGCAGTTCTGGCTTCCCTTGTTCGACCATTTAAGTTTTACTTAGATAATGTCACACAGCCACGACTACTGTCACGCGAGGTGTCAAGGCGAAAGCGGCGTCGTGTTGAAGTTGATTCTCAGTGTACACACCCTGAGCTCTGTCCTCAAATGTTAGTCGATCTCTGTTTTACGGCAGGTGCCGTCAAACCAGAAAATTATTTCTGCATTCATCGATTCACTGGACGAATAAGGATAACGCAAGACTTTGTCTTCAAGCAAGGTGAAGTATTTGATTTACAAATACGCGTGACGGACAGCGACCCAAGAGGAATAACCGTAAACAAAGCCAAAGTCAAACTCATTTCTGGTGACCCGTGTAAGAACGTCCAAGCGATTTATGATGAAGCCGTGAAATATTGCATCAAGAATTCGGAATCTGTCGATGGAGGAAAGAAGTGCTTGAGTATTCAGTGCACAGAGACTGCCCATGAGTGGAAAGAAGCACTTAACAGTGCAAGTAAAGTACCAGAGAAAGACTGTTCAGCTGATCCCCATAATCTTACAATGCTCATCCGCGAATACTCACGTTGTGGTAAGTAGTCACGTGTTGTACAGTCCACTCTATCTCCTGATCTTATCACGCAACACGTGTTCTTTCTTAGAGAGCGCGTTGCGTGACCAACAAGCAAAGACTTCGAAGGAGACTGGAGTCGACTCCCAAAAACAGTAACTTTGAAAAGTATCGATGGATACAGTTTGTTACTCTCCCCTCCCCTACCCCCTTCCCTTTGCCGTCCACACTAAATGTCCGAAAACACTGATGAAAGCGACAGAGTGTTGTTTTTCACGTCACCATTTTGAGAAGCATCCGTTTTTACCTGTCCACAAAAGAAATTGGGCATTTTCAAAAGACTCCACTTTTGAAATCGTCTTGGACAGTGTTCATTTTATTCCCTTTCATCAGGTGTTTCGGTGTGGACGAAAGAGAATGGGGCTATATGACCGCCGTCAGACAAGTTGATTACTGTTGACCTGTATTGCAGATTGTTAACTCTCCGAGATGTGTTTTTCACCAAAGATGTACATTTCGGATTTAATGCTGCAGTCAGAAATCCTAAATGTGCATTACTTATATCCACAATTCAGAGCTTTGATAAGAGATCTGAATCGACTGTTGCAAAATTTAAACAAGATAGATTTTCAGATCGAAAATTTATTGTTAACTACAGGTACTCACTTTAAATCAACTCAATCGTTGACTTCTTTGGATTGACTCGAATTCTGCAACGTGCTTGGCAATTGTAAATTAAAGTTGCTTATTGCTAAAAATTTTGCTGGGCAAACTTTAAATGCTACGTTCTCTCAAATTCCCTTATAGCATCTTTTAATCTTGAAAATATGGTATGGCAAAATTTGAACTATTTCCTTCTCATTTCAGCCGTTTATCAGCTTGTGAACGCAGAAGTGTTTCCAGTTGTTACTTCTCTTAACAGGCTAGCCCTTTCCAAGTACAATTTGTGCAGTTCATCGTGCGTTGTCGGATGCTGGCTTCCTCTAACTACGGTTCTGTTTTGAAAGCAGCTTCAAACTCTTAATAAAAAACATTTAGTGCTTTACTCACCCTTCTAGTCTTTATTCCAATAGGTCTCTGGAGTTGTTGCTGTTGGTAAGTATGTCAACATCGAATATGGCGTACGCATGTGAGTTAGAGATTATCCACCTCTTAGATATTTGAGGCTGCTAAGGGTCGCCGCTTGGGATTTGAAGCAGCGTGTATTTTAGAGATCAGAAGCAAACTCTTTGCAAACAACATTTAGTGCTTTACTCACCCTTTTAGTCTTTTTCTTAATAGGTCTCCGGAGTTTTTTTCTGTTGGTAAGTATGTCAAGATTGAATATGGTGTACACAACTGAGTTAGAGATTACTGTTTTCTCACATTCCCACATAGCATCTTTTAACCTTGGTAGCATGGTGATAATGGCAAATGGCAAAATTTGAACTATTATCCGTCTCCTTACAGCCGTTTATCAGCTTGTGAACGCAGAGGTGTTTCCAGTTGTCATTTCTCTTAACAGGCAAGCCCTTTACAAGTACAATTTGTGCAGTTCATCGTCCGTTGTCGGATGCTGGCCTCCTCTAACTACGGTTCTGTTTTGAAAGCAGCCTCAAACTCTTTATAAACAACATTTAGTGCTATACTCACCCTTTTAGTCTTAATCTTAACAGGTTTCCGGATTTGTTAATGTTGGTAAGTATGTCAACATTGGATATGGCGAATGCAAGCGAGTCAGAGATTATCCACTCCTAAGACATTGGAGGCTGCTGGGGTCACCGCTTGGGATTTGAGGCAGCGTGCATTTGAGAGGCGATGGAGACGTCAGTGGTTGATAAAACTCCGTTTTCTTCCCAGCAAATAAAATAGGGACCATTAGCAGTTAGGACGGCAACACCAAAGAGGACGTAGATTTAAAAAAATGAATATTTATTTTTAGTTGGAATCTCGTGAATGACTGGATGTGTTTACCATCTCTTACGGCGCACATCTAGCCCTGGTTTTTCGAAGCTCGGATAACGCTATTCACTGGATAAATCTCTATCTGGTGGATAACGCTATACGTTTTTCTATCACTTATCCGTTGGAGAGCGATTTATCCATTGAATATCATTATCCGCCCTTTACACAACAGTAATAGTTTAGGAATACAATAAACTTGAACCTTCTTGAGTTTATTTAGAATGCTGACTCACCAGTATCTGTGTTCAAAATGGAGAAACTGAAAAGGAGGTTGCTTCGGATCTCTTCGGAACGCCTTCGAAAATGGAAGCAAGTTTTCGGTATCATATGGTACTATGCGACATATTCTGAAGGTAAAATGTCACGTCCTAGACTTCACGAAAGTTGACAGGTATATTGTTACAAAGGTGATCGCATGAAAGAAGTTATCGCTTATGAAAGGCCCCTAACATAGTAAAAAAATTGCCACCACTGAGAATTGGTTGCTAGGAAAGGTTCGACTGTGATGCGAAGGTATTTTGTGACAGCGCTACCTCGTGTCACGTCATCTTAACGCCGCTGACCTTCTCTCGACTAAAGCAAACATTCCGTTGAAGATAAGGAAGTCAGTGGAATTTGGCAGGTTCTCATGAATTGAGTTACAAAAGGGATTTGTGCAAATAATTGCTGTGATTCGAAGGCCATTGCCCACAATTTACTCTCTTCAACAAGCGAATGAAAGAAAAATTGAAACCTGGGCAAAGCAGTTTGCCATCCTTATCTTGAAGGCCTATTTCCTGATTCTTATTTTGTTTTGTTTTGTTTTGTTTTCGTTTGTTTGTTTTTCGGTAGGGGACGACTATACACAGGCTTAAGGCTTTCTAAGCTAAATTTCCGAAGTTCAGTATTAAGTCGGAGCGAATGGGCGAAACGCTCGAAACGTCAGCTTACAAACTCTTTACAGTGGCCAATTTCTATTATCAACTCAGTTGATAAAATAACATTATCTTGTTACACAGCCCCACCGACGCAGCACCAGGGCTCCTTTAGAAACTTATCCCCCTTTGTACACAGGGTAGACTTGTGATAAGGCCAAAAATAATAATTTGATGCGTAAATTTTAAAGAAAGGCGAGAGTGATTCGTAAATTTATGAGCAGGCGTGAAGCGTGACTTACCTCCTGAAATATACGTCACCCTTTAATTTTTTTCTTTAATGTGGTCACAACCTCAAGATTTTCTTAAAACCTTGCACACAAGAAGAGGGATTTGGAGTTGTCGCGACACGTGAATCGCCGTTTGAAGCGTACGAGACGCGATGTTTTTTTTCTAAAATATTGCGTAAAAGTGGATCAGGAACCGCTCTTCCACCTCCCCCTTCCCTATATAAAAAGTAAATAAAAAATAAAAAAATCTAAAAATTTATAAAGAACTTGTCTGGCATGCTCCAGTGTCAGTGGTTTCGTCCTTGCAGCGGCTGCTTTAATCTGTTATTATGTTTCTTCACTCGGAGAAAAGAGGAATGTGAACAATTTTCTTCGCTCTATCTACTGTAGTGAGCAAAACTACTGATTTCAAACATGACTCCATTGATACGGTGTCCAAAAAGGCCCTTTATTAACTCAGGCGAGTATGATTTTAGAAAATTGTCCCTAGTTTAAATTTTGATGTTTTAAAGCTCGAGGATAGAAAACTCTTCATACCGGCGGTTGGCGATAGGAAATCGGAGGGGGGGGGGGAGGGTGGCAATTACCCATCCACTCCCCTCTATTTCGATTCCAATTCTATATCAAACAAGGCAGCATGGAAAGGAAGGAACAATGATGATAATCAAACGTGACTGCCCGGAGGAGCATCCCCTATAGCGCTAACACGCTCTCTACGATGAGATGTCTGCACTGCAGGCTGATGAATCCCAAGAATAAAATTAACACCTAATCTTACTGGTCATCTGCATCAATTGTGTAGGATACAGGAAGCATGTACGATAGTTAATCAAAAGGCTTCCTCTACAGAGTCGTTATAAACAGAAAACAGTAGACATCTTAGAATTCATGTAGCCTTGTATAGAACAATTTTTCTATTGAGTATCGAAGTAGTCTGAAATTACATTGTTTTTGCTTTACTTCACACTGTTATTGGTGCAGAAAACTCGCGTCACTTCCACGACCAATCAGATGCAAAAGTAAAACTAATCACGACCTGGTCGCCCGCATTTTCCCGCGCTGTAGACAATTTGGTATTTTTTACTCTGAGTTCTCATTGGCTCTTAAAATATTATCCTTCTTCTGATTGGCTGTTGTAATCACTTCGGTTTTGGTTTCGCGACACTCAATCAAGACGCACTTTATCACGCTTTAGTTAATTAGTTGTCGTGCTCAACATCACAAATTCACCACTCTTACATCCATCAGGAGAAGTGCGGCTGTCTCCTCTCTCAATAACAACTGCGCTCGTTTGGAGACTTCTTTCGTTTCCTCATGTTCTTTCATTACCTGAAAACAGTAGAAGAATTTCTGTCAGAATTCAGCCAGGAAGATTACCTTTAATCTGTTTGCGTAACATGAGTAAACTCTTGAGAATGGCGCTACTCAAAAGCAAAAACAAAAAAGCTTTATTCTTTGTTAGATAATTCGTATGCTGACCGGCTAAAAGAGTTTTATGTTGATATCAGAAATGTGCGGTAAATGTTGATAAAACATCATTTTCTCCCCACATTCTCCATTTAGGAGCTACAGCTATTAGAGCCCGTGATGTTTACCTGTGCGTGACGAGCTACGAGAGGAGCGATGTTTACCGAAAGTAGCGTATCTGTCTTCACTGTTAGCGATACAGAGAGTCTATACAGTTCTCACCAACAATCTGTGGCAAACTTGTTAACCTCAGTCCTCAACAAGGATTTTGAAACTATAACTTTATATTCGTCAAAGCGATTGAACGCCAACACACGAAACGTCAGCCTTTAAAGTCTTTACGGTGGCAAATTTACGTTTTCAACTTAGTTGTTAACACTAAATTACCTGTTATTCTGGCGATGACGAGGACTGGTCACGTGTCACCTTACGAAACTCACCCCTTTGTAATTGGCTGACGAGCGCTTAGGCTTAGGCTTAGGCGCGAAACTCAGAGTAACAGAGAATCGATGCGTCCTCTTTGATTCTTTCACTTATATCTACTCAGCTCTGCTACCACAGTATTGAGCACTTTATGCCAAGGTAGACTCTACCCCCACATTTATATATACATATATGTATGTGATAGAATAGGATCTTTATCATTATTCTTTATACTTTATCTATCCATTAGAATATTTTGTTTTCACAAAATTTAATTAGAATTCACATATAGTAGATCTATATACATCATTTTATAACTTTTAAAACATTTTAAATTTACTTTTTATAATTATTATTATTATTATTATTATTTTTAGCAATAGATATGGACCTCGAACGAGATTCATATGTTTTTAATAGTCCCTATTATGATATTCTTAACTCATGTATTTATATATTTTTTTATCATAAGTAGGTTAGATTTACTTTTCTATTTCTTTTTTATTGTTATTATTATTATTATTATTATTATTATTATTATTTATGAGACTACTTACTTGCTAATACTGCATGTAAACGAAGGTAACGAATGGCCGAAATGTCCTGTTTTTGGACCCTCTGATTTTACGAATCCGCCGAAGACCAGCAGCAAAACCAGTGAGAGTACTCCAACTTGAGCGGCCATTTGTCCCATCTAAATCGGTCGCAAACTAGACGAATTATATACCAAAATAAAGCGAATTTCTTACTCCATTCGTATGTGGCGGTATAATTGAGACTTGAACATGCGCGAAAGAACTAGGACCCATTCTTACGCGCTAACCGTGATACGACACTTTGAACGCCTTCGAAAATTGCGTTATCGTAATTTTAAAAAATGAATTTTGACCCATTAAATCCTAAAGCTTTGGTACTTCAAAATAACTTCTAAAGTAGCTTTAATATATTTTTTTTCATTTTGTTGGTAAAATTAATCACTATCAAAACTTCTCTTAGTAATCGAGGCAAAGGTTCCGAATTTTGTGTGTTCTTGCGTCAAACAGTGGTGGAGATGTGGTCGCCGAGACTTAATATGGGCTTTTGTTAACGATGAGTTTAACATGTTTTCTTTAATGTCGTCACAGCCTCAAGATTTTCCCGAAACCTTGCACACAAGAAGAGGGATTTAGAGTTTTCGAGACGCGTGAATCGCTGTTTGAAGTAAACAAGACGCGATAATTTTTGTCCCAAAGAGGGCGTAAAAGTGGATCAGGAACCCCTCATCCACCCCTTCACACCCTCTTTCCTAAAAAAAAATTAAGAAAAAAAAAGAAACTCGTCTGACATGCTCCATTGTTAGTGGTATGTTTAAGTTCGCGTGCGCTTAACCCTGTAACTCCCAGATCAAATTTGTAATTCTCCTTACAGTCAACCATACAATTCTTGTAATGCTAGTTCAAAGAATTTAGTATTGGATCATCTAATTATTCCCAAATTGATATTTTTCTTTATTCTCATCACTTATCTAGTTGATATTGCATTGATATTGTAAGGAGAAATTCTGTCTTGGTCACTCATGGGAGTTAAAGGGTTCAGATTTGTTTCAGATTTGTTTCAGATCTGTTTCATTGTTCAAGCCGTTATGAGTCGACCTAAAGGTCATTTCCGGCTAAGTGATATGCCTAAATATGTGGCATTGTTGTTTTCTAAACTAAAAACCACTGCAAAGATGATGTGTACGAAAGGAACTTTGATGCTGATTTTAAATGTATTCGTCATCGTCTTTGTTATATCAAGCCAATCGACAGCAGGTAAGAGAGACTTTGACTGTTATCCTTTGCACAAATTTTACATGTTGACAAGGCATCCTCTTAATTGCATCAAAGATATGCTAAGAAGGAAGTCAAACTAAAGAATCCAATGTAGTCAGCGCCGTTTGGCTTTTGAGTTTTAAGTTCAAGGCCGGGTTTGAATAAAAGCCGGACCTAATTTACAAGTCCTTCTGGAACCCCGTACTTTCAAGTGCGCTTTTCTGGCGAAATTTTCCGCTTACATTTGTATTGAAGCTCTGATGCATGGCGCCTTTCGTTCCATCATTCGTGCGTCGTATACAGCTATGGAAAATAGGACAACAAGCTGGTGATGACCACGGCCAAATTTTGCATAAACTTGCTATAACCTATTTTTAAATTGTTGGCTTTTCTAGATCTAGTCAAATACTACCTTAGCTTTGCCTTTTTGATGCGCTCGATTCCAAACAGGAACATAATTTCATTAATTGTTGTACTAATGAGGCCTTCGAAGGGGGTTTTTGATGTCGCCTAATTGTTTACAAACACCCCTGTGGCCTATTTGGTTAGGGACAAATGTCGCTGTCGCTTTTTGTTAGAATAAAAATATCGCTGTCACACTGAATTTGGCAATATATTTTTCAACAGCAAGGTTTCAAAAAGCAAATTCCACCGTATGGAACATTCATTCATTTGAAAGAGCGTTTGCTAAATTCGAGTGTTATTTACCTAATACGAGGACACAGTACACTTTCGAAAAAGTCGCTTGAAAGAGAGCTTTGTTTAGTTAGAAGGACAGGTCTGTAATAAAATTTCTACTTGGAGTGATTGATTACGGTCCGACATTGACTTTCCAGTAAGTGATGTTGCGTCAGCTACTCTCTATGAACACATTCCTAAACAAAAAAATTTAGATTTAAAAAGAAACTGTTCTGGCATGCTCCAGTATTATTTGTATGTTTAAGTTTGCTTGAGCCCAAGATTCTTTTGTGCTGCTTAAGTCGCTAGGAGTCAACCCCATTCCTTTTTAAGGAAAGACCTAGAGGTCATTTCTGGCTAATTGATGTGCCTCAACTTGTGAAATTGTTGTTTACTGAACTAAAAACCACTGCAAGGATGATGATTTCGAAAGGAGTTTTGATGCGATTTTTAACTTTAATAATCTTCGTCTTCGTCTTCTTCTTCTTCGTTATACCAAGTAAATCGACTGCAGGTAAGAGAGACTTTGGATCTCATCCTTTGCACAGAGTCAATTAAGAATCCGCGATCATCTGAGACAGGCGAGACAACGGGTGGTTATAATGTTATCTTAAGGTAATAGAGTTTCGTTAAAGCTATCAATGAACTGTTTTTACATTTCGACACTTGCATAGATAACACGACTCCTTAGACCTTAGCATCACAGACATTTTGAGAGACAAATTTACATGATGATAAGGCACCTTCTTAATTGCATCAAAATATGCTAAGAAGGAAGACAAACTAAAGAATTCAATGTAGTCAGCTTTTGGCTTTTGAGTTTTGAGTTCAACGCCGGGCTTAAGTAAAAGCCGGACCTAATTTACAAGTCCCTATAAAACTTTATGCTTTCAAGTGCGTCTTCCTGGCGAAATTTTCCGCTTACATTTTTACGTATCCGAGCGCTGATGGCGCCTTTACAACCATCATTCGTGCGTCATACATGTACAGCCATGGAAAATAGGACAACAAGCCGGTGATGCCTACGGCCAAAATTTGCGGAAACTCGCCATAACCTCTTTTCAAATCGTTAGCTTTTCTAGATCTAGTCGAATAGTACCTTAGCATTGCCTCTTTGATGCGCTCAATTCTAAACGGGGACATAAATTCATTAATTGTTGCACTAATGAGGCCTTCGAAGGAGGTTTTTGATGTCGCCTAATTGTTTACAAACACTCCTGTGGCCTAATTGGTTAAAGACAAATGTCGCTGTCGCTTTTGTTAGAAAAAAATGTCGCTGTCGTACTAAATTTTACAATAGAGTAATTTCTGACGTCATTAATTGACAAGCCGATCGCAAGATAATGCACAATTGTAAAGGTAACCATGCATTGCATGAAATGAGGAAGTGATGGACTCTTAGAGATCTAAGAGTTTCGGCGAAGAAATTTTTTCAGCAGCAAAGTTTCAAAAAGCAAAATCCACCTTATGGAACATTTATTCATCTGAAAGAGCATTTGCTAAATTCGAGTGTTATTGACCTAATACGGGGACACAGTACACTTTCGAAAATCAGTTAAAATAGAGCTTTGTTTAGTAAGAACTGACGACAGTTCTGAAATAAGATTTCTTCTTTGAGCGATTCTTTGAGGTCCGCCATTGACTTTCACGTAGGTGGTTCTGCGTCGGTAGGGGAGTATAACAAGATAATTTCAGTTTTACCAACTGAGTTGATAATGGAAATTGGCCACCGTAAAGAGATTAGGAGAGATAGAGAGATTCAAAGCTAACGTTCATCAGAGCGAGTGGCGAAAGGCTAACGCCCGAAACGTCAGGTTTGAAACTCTTCACGGTGGCCAATTTCCATTATCAACTCAGTTGATAAAACCAAAATTCGTCTGTAAAAGGCCTTCATGTTATTTCCTATAAAACAATAGTCAATTGAATATCAAAAGTAATCTGGGATCGCTTTGGTTTTACTGCACTTTAATCTGTGATTGGTCCAGAAATCTAACACCATCTTGTCGACCAATCAGATGCAAAACTAAAAACAATCGCGACTTGATCATTCGCGTTTTCCCGCGCTTCAGGCATTTAGCAAATGATGATGTAGACCTTTTTTTCTGATTGGTTGCAGCGATTACTTTGGTTTTGGGTTCTTTGAAACTCAATTGAAAACTGCCCTATAAGGTGTGAATCGCCACTCAGCCTATATATGTATGGTCAAATTTTAAAAGCGGTTTTACCCAGTCCCTTACTCGTTTAGACCATGATCATAAATGAACCATTTCGTAGTAATACTTTTCTTTGATTTCAGAAGCTTCGCTGATCTCTAACTACGACATCATGAGATGTTACGAAGTTGACATTACATTTCACTATCAGATTGACGGAGGACTCACAAATAGCACCATAACAAATACCAAAGTGCAGTTTTCTTCTCTTTTTCAACAAGTGCCCGGCCTTCTCTCATTTAACCCAAAGTGCAGTGGTGTCGTGGTCACCAGGAAAGATATACTCAGCTCTCCACCGGGAGTGAAAAGTATATTTTTTACAATACCGATGATATTTACTGCATCAACAAATGTAGCAGATGGTCAAATTTCAACAAAGATTGTAGATTGTATAAGTACCCTGACGGCAAGTTATAAGGGATTTATCGACAGAAACACTCCGAGTATATCCCAAAATGGCACTCATACTACGTACAATACATCCACTATATCAGAGAAGCGATCCTGCTGCGGTGGGAATATACCACCGCCCTGTTGCACCGTGGGCTCAGTCAATGTGTCAAGTAGTAAATGTGGTAAGTTTAAACAACGTATGGATTTTATTTGTAGTTGACCCATGGATAGTTGACCAGTTGAAAATATTGGTCCGCCTCTAAGCTGAGTTCTTTCTCCTTTCTTCAGGTTGTTTGCCAGGGTTCCATTTTGTTCCTGGCAGTTTATGTCAGCGTTGTCCTTCAGACACCTATCAGGACGAACAAGGTCAAAGTTCATGCAAGAAGTGTCCAGGAAGAAAACAAACATTTGGAAAAACAGGAATGACTAGCAATTCCAGCTGCCTAGGTGAGCTTTAAATATCAGGGAACGTGTCAGTGAAATAAGGTTTTAGAAAAAAGAAAGAACGCACTTGAGCTCGAATATACTTTCCAGTAGCCGTTCCGTTTTCTTCATTTCTCTGGATTAGCATCAATATCATTTTCACAGTTTATTTTCTTTTATCCGGCATATTTAGTGCTGTTTGTCTCCTTCAATGCCTTTTCACTGAAAATGTTGTGGTAGATGCTTCTTTTCCATATTTTCCACAATCAGTCTCCAACAAGTTTTCAATTCACTTTCGAAAGACCAAAACTAAAGTAATCCCAGCGACAAACCAGAACTAAGGTTTACATTATCACACTGATGAAAGCGAGAGTGATGTTTTTCACGTCACCATTTTGAGAAGCATCCGTTTTCACCTGTCCACAAAAGAAATTGGGCGTTTTCAAGACTCCACTTTTGAAATCGTCTTTGACAGTGTTCATTTTATTCCCTTTCATCAGGTGTTTCGGTGTGGACGAAAGAGAATGGGGCTATATTCACCATAAGCCCCAGTCTTACCGCCGTCTGAACAGTTGAAAACTGCTGACCCGTATTGCAGATTGTTAACTCTCCGAGATGTGTTTTTCACCAAAGATGTACATTTCGGATTTAATGCTGCAGTCAGAAATCCTAAATGTGCATTACTTATATCCACAATTCAGAGCTTTGTTAAGAGATCTGAATCGTCTGTTGCAAAATTTAAACAAGATAGATTTTCAGATCGGAAATCTAAATTGTTAACTACAGGTACTCACTTTAAATCAACTCAATCGTTGACTTCTTTGGATTGACTTGAATTCTGCAACGTGCTTTGCAATTGTAAATTAAAGTTGCTTATTGCTAAAATTTTTGCTGGGCAAACTTTAAATGCTACGTTCTCTCAGATTCCCTTATAGCATCTTTTAATCTTGAAAATATGGTATGGCAATATTTGAACTATTTCCTTCTCATTTCAGCTGTTTATCAGCTTGTGAACGCAGACGTGCCATTCCAGTTGTTACTTCTTTTAACAGGATAGCCCTTTACAAGTACAATTTGTGCAGTTCAACGAGCGTTGTCGGATGCTGGCCTCCTCTAACTACGGTTCTGTTTTGAAAGAAGCTTCAAACTCTTTATAAAAAACATTTAGTGCTTTACTCACCCTTCTAGTCTTTATCTTAATAGGTCTCTGGAGTTGTTGCTGTTGGTAAGTATGTCAACATCGAATATGGCGTACGCATGTGAGTTAGAGATTATCCACCTCTTAGATATTTGAGGCTGCTAAGGGTCGCCGCTTGGGATTTGAAGCAGCGTGCATTTTAGAGATCAGAAGCAAACTCTTTGCAAACAACATTTAGTGCTTTACTCACCCTTTTGGTCTTTTTCTTAATAGGTCTCCGGAGTTTTTTCTGTTGGTAAGTATGTCAAGATTGAATATGGCGTACACAACTGAGTTAGAGATTAATTTTTTTTTCAAATTCCCACATAGCATCTTTTAACCTTGGTAGCATGGTGATAATGGCAAATGGCAAAATCTGAACTATTTTCCGTCTCCTTGCAGCCGTTTATCAGCTTGTGAACGCAGAGGTGTTTCCAGTTGTCATTTCTCTTAACAGGCAAGCCCTTTACAAGTACAAATTGTGCAGTTCATCGTCCGTTGTCGGATACTGGCTTCCTCTAACTACGGTTCTGTTTTGAAAGCAGCTTCAAACTCTTTATAAACACCATTTAGAGCTATACTCACCCTTTTAGTCTTAATCTTAACATGTTTCCGGATTTGTTACTGTTAGTAAATATGTCAACATTGGATATGGCGAACGCAAGCGAGTCAGAGATTATCCACTCCTAAGACATTGGAGGCTGCTGGGGTCACCGCTTGGGATTTGAGGCAGCGTGCATTTGAGAGGCGATGGAGACGTCAGTGGCTGATAAAACCCCGTTTTCTCCCCAACAAATAAAATAGGGACCATTAGCAGTTAGGACGGCAACACCAAAGAAGACATAGATTTAAAAAATGAATATTTATTTTTAGTTGGAATCTCGCGAATGACTGGATGTGTTTACCATCTCTTACGGCGCACATCTAGCCCCGGTTTTTCGAAGCTCGGATAACGCTATTCACTGGATAAATCTCTATATGGTGGATAACGCTATACGTTTTTCTATCACTTATCCGTTGGAGAGCGATTTATCCATTGCATATCATTATCCGCCCTTTACACAACTGGGCCCTGGATTTAAAACATTTGCATCAGTTATAGTTTAGGAATACAATAAACTTGAACCTTCTTGAGTTTATTTAGAATGCTGACTCACCAGTATCTGTGTTCAAAATGGAGAAACTGAAAAGGAGGTTGCTTCGGATCTCTTCGGAACGCCTTCGAAAATGGAAGCAAGTTTTCGGTATCATATGGTACTATGCGACATATTCTGAGGGTAAAATGTCACGTCCTAGACTTCACGAAAGTTGACAGGTATATTGTTACAAAGGTGATCGCATGAAAGAAGTTATCGCTTATGAAAGGCCCCTAACATAGTAAAAAAATTGCCACCACTGAGAAGTGGTTGCTAGGAAAGGTTCGACTGTGATGCGAAGGTATTTTGTGACAGCGCTAACTCGTGTCACGTCATCTTAACGCCGCTGACCTTCTCTCGATTAAAGCAAACATTCCGTTGAAGATAAGGAAGTCAGTGGAATTTGGCAGGTTCTCATGAATTGAGTTAAAAAAAAGGGATTTGTGCAAATAATTGCTGTGATTCGAAGGCCATTGCCCACAATTTAATTTCTTCAACAAGCGAATGAAAGAAAAATCGAAACCTGGGCAAAGCAGTTTACCATCCTTATCTTGAAGACCTATTTCCTGATTCTTATTTTGTTTCGTTTTGTTTTCGTTTGTTTGTTTTTCGGTAGGGGGCGACTATACACAGGCTTAAGGCTTTCTAAGCTAAATTTCTGAAGTTTAGTCTTAAGTCGGAGCGAATGGGCGAAACGCTCGAAACGTCAGCTTACAAACTCTTTACAGTGGCCAATTTCTATTATCAACTCAGTTGATAAAATAACATTATCTTGTTACACAGCCCCACCAACGTAGCACTAGGGCTTCTTCAGAAACTTATCCCCCTGTATACACAGGGTAGACTTGTGATAAGGCCAAAATAATAATTTGATGCGTAAATTTTAAAGAAAGGCGAGCGTGACTCGTAAATTTATGAGCCGGCGTGAAGCGTGACTTACCTCCTGAAATATACGTAACCAGTGAATTTTTTCTTTAATGTGGTCACAACCTCAAGATTTTCTTAAAACCTTGCACACAAGAAGAGGGATTTGGAGTTGTCGTGACGCGTGAATCACAATTTGAAGTGTACGAGACGCGATGTTTTTTTTCTAAAATATTGCGCAAAAGTGGATCAGGAACCCCTCTTCTACCTCCCCCTTCCCTAAATTAAAAAAAATCTAAAAATTAATAAAGAACTTGTCTGGCATGCTCCAGTGTCAGTGGTTTCGTCCTTGCAGCGGCTGCTTTAATCTGTTATTATGTTTCTTCACTCGGAGAAAAGAGGAATGTGAACAATTTTCTTCGCTCTATCTACTGTAGTGAGCAAAACTACTGATTTCAAACATGACTCCATTGATACAGTGTCCAAAAAGGCCCTTTATTAACTCAGGCGAGTATGATTTTAGAAAATTGTCCCTAGTTTAAATTTTGATGTTTTAAAGCTCGAGGATAGAAAACTCTTCATACCGGCGGTTGGCGATAGGAAATCAGAAGGGGGGGGAGGGTGGCAATTACCCATCCCCTCCCCTCTATTTCGATTCCAATTCTATATCAAACAAGGCAGCATGGAAAGGAAGGAACACTGAAGATAATCAAACGTGACTGCCTGGAGGAGCATCCCTTATAGCGCTAACACACTCTCTACGATGAGATGTCTGCACTGCAGGCTGATGAATCCCAAGAATGAAATTAACACCCAATCGTACTGGTCATCTGCATCAATTGTATAGGATACAGGAAGCATGTACGATAGTTTATCAAAAGACTTCCTCTACAAAGTCGTTATAAACAGAAAACAGTTGACATCTTCGAACTCCTGTAGCCTTGTATAGAGCAATTTTTCTATTGAGTATCGAAGTATTCTGAAATTACATTGTTTTTGCTTTACTTCACACTGGTATTGGTGCAGAAAACTCGCGTTACTTCCACGACCAATCAGATGCAAAAATAAAACAAATCACGACCTGGTCGCCCGCATTTTCCCGCGCTTTAGACAATTTGGTAGTTTTTACTCTGAGTTCTCACTGGCTCTTAAAATATTATCCATCTTCTGATTGGCTGTTGTAATTACTTCGGTTTTGGTTTCGCGACACTCAATCAAGACGCACTTTATCACGCTTTAGTAAATTAGTTGTCGTGCTCAACATCACAAATCCACCACTCTTACATCCATCAGGAGAAGTGCGGCTGTCTCCTCTCTCAATAACAACTGCGCTCGTTTGGAGACTTCTTTCGTTTCCTCATGTTCTTTCATTACCTGAAAACAGTAGAAGAATTTCTGTCAGAATTCAGCCAGGAAGATTACCTTTAATCTGTTTGCGTAACATGAGTAAACTCTTGAGAATGGCGCTACTCAAAAGCAAAACAAAAAAGCTTTATTCTTTGTTAGAGAATTCGTATGCTGACCGGCTAAAAGAGTTTTACGTTGATACCAGGAATGTGCGGTAAATGTTGATAAAACATCATTTTCTCCCGACATTCTCCATTTAGGAGCTACAGCCATTAGAGCCCGCGATGTTTACCTGTGCGTGACGAGCTACGAGAAGAGCGATGTTTACCGAAAGTAGCGTATCTGTCTTCACTGTTAGCGATACAGAGAGTCTATACAGTTCTCACCAACAATCTGTGGCAAACTTGTTAACCTCAGTCCTCAACAAGGATTTTGAAACTATAACTTTATATTCGTCAAAGCGATTGTACGCCAACGCTCGAAACGTCAGCCTTTAAAGTCTTTACGGTGGCAAATTTACGTTTTCAACTTAGCTGTTAACACTAAATTACCTGTTATTCTGGCGATGACGAGGACTGGTCACGTGTCACCTTACGAAACTCGCCCCTTTGTAATTGGCTGACGAGCGCTTAGGCTTAGGCTCAGGCGCGAAACTCAGAGTAACAGAGAATCGATGCGTCCTCTTTGATTCTTTCACTTATATACTCAGCTCTGCTACCACAGTATTGAGCACTTTATGCCAAGGTAGACTCTACCCCCACATTTATATATACATATATATATGTGATAGAATAGGATCTTTATCATTATTCTTTATACTTTATCTATCCATTAGAATATTTTGATTTCACAAAATTTAATTAGAATTCACATATAGTAGATCTATATACATCATTTTATAACTTTTAAAACATTTTAAATTTATTTTTTATAATTATTATGATTATTATTATTATTTTTAGCAATAGATGTGGACCTCGAACGAGATTCATATGTTTTTAACAGTGCCTAATATGATATTCTTAACTCATGTATTTATATATTTGTTTATCATAAGTAGGTTAGATTTAGTTTTCTATTTCTTTTATAGTTGTTATCATTATAATTATTATTGTTATTCATGAAACTACTTACTTGCTAATACTGCATGTAAACGAAGGTAACGAATGGCCGAAATGTTCTGTTTTTGGACCCTCTGGTCCTTCTCCCAAAGCTTTTACGGATCCGCAGAAAACAGGGAGCAAAACCAGTGAGAGTACTCCAACTTGAGCGGCCATTTGTCCCATCTAAATCGGTCGCAAACTAGACGAATTATATACCAAAATAAAGCGAATTTCTTACTCCATTCGTATGTGGCGGTATAATTGAGACTTGAACATGCGCGAAAGAACTAGGACCCATTCTTACGCGCTAACCGTGATACGACACTTTGAACGCCTTCGAAAATTGCGTTATCGTAATTTTAAAAAATGAATTTTGACCCATTAAATCCTAAAGCTTTGGTACTTCAAAATAACTTCTAAAGTAGCTTTAATATATTTTTTTAAATTTTGTTGGTAAAATTAATCACTATCAAAACTTCTCTTAGTAATCGAGCTAAAGGTTCCAAATTTTGTGTGTTCTTGCGTCAAACAGTGGTGGAGATGTGGTCGCCGAGACTTAATATGGGCTTTTGTTAACGGTGAGTTTAACATGTTTTCTTTAATGTCGTCAGCGTGCTTAAGATTTGTTTCAGATTTGTTTCAGATTTGTTTCAGATTTGTTTCAGATTTGTTTCAGATTTGTTTCAGATTTGTTTCAGATTTGTTTCAGATTTGTTTCAGATTTGTTTCAGATTTGTTTCAGATTTGTTTCAGATTTGTTTCAGATTTGTTTCAGATTTGTTTCAGATTTGTTTCAGATTTGTTTCATTTTTCAAGCCGTTACAAGTTAACCTCACTCCTTTCAAGGAGAGACCTAAAGGTCATTTCTGGCTAATTGATAATCTTAAATATGTGGAAGTGTTGTTTTCTAAACTAAAAACCGCTGCAAAGATGATGTGTCCGAAAGGAACTTTGATGCTGATTTTAAATGTATTTGTCTTTTTCTTTGTTATATCAAGCCAATCGACAGCAGGTAAGAGAGACTTTATGTGTTATCCTTTGCACAAATTTTTCATGTTGACAAGGCATCCTCTTAATTGCATCAAAAATATGCTAGGAAGGAAGACAAACTAAAGAATCCAATGTAGTCAGCGCCGTTTGGCTTTTGAGTTTTAAGTTCAAGGCCGAGTTTGAATAAAAGCCGGACCTAATTTACAAGTCCTTCTGGAACCCCGTTCTTTCAAGTGCGCTTTTCTGGCGAAATTTTCCGCTTACATTTGTATTGAAGCTCTGATGCATGGCGCCTTTCGTTCCATCATTCGTGCGTCGTATACAGCTATGGAAAATAGGACAACAAGCTGGTGATGACCACGGCCAAATTTTGCATAAACTTGCTATAACCTATTTTTAAATTGTTGGCTTTTCTAGATCTAGTCAAATACTACCTTAGCTTTGCCTTTTTGATGCGCTCGATTCCAAACAGGAACATAATTTCATTAATTGTTGTACTAGTGAGGCCTTCGAAGGGGTTTTGATGTCGCCTAATTTTTACAAACACCCCCCTGTGGCCTATTTGGTTAGGGACAAATGTCGCTGTCGCTTTTGTTAGAATAAAAATATCGCTGTCGCACTGAATTTGGCAATATATTATTGACGTCACTTGTTGACAAGCCGATCACACATAAGTTAGAAACTTGTGGAATTCTTGTTGACTAAGTAATCCAGAATCTAACAGGCAGCCGTTTTGCAATGTGTCGCAATTTACATTTTTATTAGACAATCAACGCATTGACTGGTCAAAAAATATTCTCTCTTCCTAATCGAATTACTTGTAGTCGTCAATAGGTTGTAAAGGTAACCGTGCATTGCAGGAAATGAGGAACTGATGAACGCGTTAGAGATCTAAGAATTTAGGCGAAGAACTTTTTTCAACAGCAAGGTTTCAAAAAGCAAAATCCTCCGTATGGAACATTCATTCATTTGAAAGAGCGTTTGCTGAATTCGAGTGTTATTGACCTAATACGAGGACACAGTACGCTTCCGAAAAAATCGCTTGAAAGAGAGTTTTGTTTAGTTAGAAGGACAGGTCTGTAATAAAATTTCTACTTGGAGTGATTGATTATGGTCCGACATTGACGTCTTCGTCTCCTTCGTTATACCAAGTAAATCGACCGCAGGTAAGAGAGACTTTGGATCTCATCCTTTGCACAGGGTCAATTAAGAATCCGCGATCATCTGAGACGGGCGAGACAACGGGTGGTTATAATGTTATCTTAAAGTAATAGAGTTTCGTTAAAGCTATCAATGAGCTGTTTTTACATTTCGACACTTGCATAGATAACATGACTCCTTGGACCTTAGCATCACAGACATTTTGAGAGACAAATTTACATGTTGAGAAGGCACCTTCTTAATTGCATCAAAAATATGCTAGGCAGGAAGACAAACTAAAGAATTCAATGTAGTCAGCATTTGGCTTTTGAGTTTTAAGTTCAACGCCAGGCTTAAATAAAAGCCGGACCTAATTTACAAGTCCCTATAAAACTTTTTGTTTTCAAGTGCGTCTTCCTGGCGAAATTTTCCGCCTACATATGTATGTATCCAAGCGCTGATGGCGCCTTTCGTTCCATCATTCGTGCGTCATACATGTACAGCCATGGAAAATAGGACAACAAGCCGGTGATGCCTTTAGCCAAATTTTGCGGAAACTCACCATAACCTCTTTTCAAATCGTTAGCTTTTCTAGATCTAGTCGAATACTACCCTAGCATTACCTCTTTGATGCGCTCAATTCTAAACAGGGACATAAATTCATTAATTGTTGCACTAATTAGGCCTTTGAAGGAGGTTTTTGATGTCGCCTAATTGTTTACAAACACTCCTGTGGCCCCTATTGGTTAAAGACAAATGTCGCTGTCGCTGTCGCGTTTTGTTAGAATAAAAATGTCGCTGTCGTACTAAATTTTGCAATAGAGTAATTTCTGACGTTATTAATTGACAAGCCGATCGCAAGACAACGCACAATTGTAAAGGTAACCATGTATTGCATGAAATGAGGAAGTGATGGACGCGATAGAGATCAAAGAATTTAGGCGAAGAAATTTTTTCAGCAGCAAAGTTTCAAAAAGCAAAATCCACCGTATGGAACATTTATTCATCTGAAAGAGCATTTGCTAAATTCGAGTGTTATTGACCTAATACAAGGACACAGTACACTTTCGAAAATCAGTTAAAATAGAGCTTTGCTTAGTAAGAACTGAGGACAGGTCTGAAACCATGTATTGCATGAAATGAGGAAGTGATGGACGCGATAGAGATCAAAGAATTTAGGCGAAGAAATTTTTTCAGCAGCAAAGTTTCAAAAAGCAAAATCCACCGTATGGAACATTTATTCATCTGAAAGAGCATTTGCTAAATTCGAGTGTTATTGACCTAATACGGGGACACAGTACACTTTCGAAAATCAGTTAAAATAGAGCTTTGCTTAGTAAGAACTGAGGACAGGTCTGAAATAAGATTTCTTCTTTGAGCGATTCTTTGAGGTCCGCCATTAATTTCAGTTTTATCAACTGGGTTGATAATGGAAATTTGCCACCGTAAAGAGATTAGGAGAGATAGAGGGATTCAAAGCTAACGTTCATCAGAGCGAGTGGCGAAAGGCTAACGCCCGAAACGTCAGCTTTGAAACTCTTTACGGTGGCCAATTTCCATTATCAGCTCAGTTGATAAAACCAAAGTTCATCTGTAAAAGGCCTTCATGTTATTTCATGTAAAACAATAGTCAATTGAGTATCAAAAGTAATCCGGGATCCCTTTGGTTTTACTGCATTTTAATCTGTGATTGGTCCAGAAATCTAACACCATCCTGTCGACCAATCAGATGCAAAACTACAAACAATCGCGACTAGGTCATACGCGTTTTCCCGCGCCTCAAGCAACTGATGATGTAAACCTTTTTTTCTGATTGGTTGCAGCGATTACTTTGGTTTTGGGTTTTTTGAAACTCAATTGAAAACTGCCCTATAAGGTGTGAATCGCCACCCAGCCTATATGTGTATGATCGAATTTTAAAAGCGTTTTTACCCAGTCCCTTACTCGTTTAGACCATGAACATAAATGAACCATTTCGAAGTAATACTTTTCTCTGATTTCAGAAGCTTCGCTGATCGGTAACTACGACATCATGAGATGTTACGAAGTTGACATTACATTTCACTATCAGATTGACGGAGGACTCACAAATAGCACCATAACAAATACCAAAGTACAGTTTTCTTCTCTTTTTCAACAAGTGCCCAGCCTTCTCTCAATTCATCCAAAGTGTTATGATGTCGCAATCACCAGGAAAGATATACTCAACTCTCTGCCGGGAGTGAAAAGTATATTTTTTACAATACCAATGATATTCACTGGATCAAAAAATGTAGAAGATAGTCAAATTTCAGCAATGATTGCAGGTTGTATAAATACACTGACGACAAGATATCAGGGATTTATCGACAGCAACACTCCGAATATATCCCAAAATGGCACTCATAATACACACAATGCATCCACCATATCAAAAAAGCGATCCTGCTGTGGTGGGAATATACCGCCGCCCTGTTGTGCCGTGGGCTCAGTTAACGTGTCAGGAAGTAAATGTGGTGAGTTAAAACAACGAATGGATTATATTTGCAGTTGACCCAGGATCAGGGACGAGCAGACCATTTGTTATGCTCTTGAGCGAAACCGCCTGGGGGGGGGGGCGACTTTGAGATAGAAAACATGGCTTCCAGGGGGGCATCAGTGTATAAAGGGGGGACTATAGAGTTTGTTTGCCGATTAACGGCTAATGAGGAAGGGGGACCATAAGAACATTACAGAGCCTTCCCCCCCCCCCTTCGACCTATAAATATTGATCAGTTTTTAAGCTAAGTTCTTTCTCCTACATTTAGGTTGTTTGCCAGGGTTCCAATTTGATCCAGGCAGTTTATGTCAGCGTTGTCCTTCAGACACCTATCAGGACGAACAAGGTCAATATTCATGCAAGAGGTGTCCTGGAAGAAAACAAACATTTGGAAAAACAGGAATGACTAGCAATTCCAGCTGCCTAGGTGAGCTTAAATATCAGGGAACGTGTCGGTAAAATAAGGTTTTTAGGAAAAAGGAGGGCCACTTGAGCTCGGATATACCTTCAGTAGCCGTTCCGTTTTCTTAATTTCTCTGGGGATATACCGCCGCCCTGCTGTGCCGTTGGCTCAATCAAGGTTTCAAATATTAGTTGCGGTAAGGATTTTCATTTCTATTTTGAAAGAAATAAACATTCCATCAATAAAATGATACACACGGTTTGTGCAGCGGTATTTGCACTAAAGGCAAGCGCGGAAAATTCCCAACAGTGTCCTCGTCCCTTCATATCTCTCCTTGACACTGGACAGAATCTTGTTTTTTTTTTTTTTCCAACAACATTTTACACAAATTGTGTTACTTTTTTTTTAGTTGTTTGCCTGGATTTCACTTCGTCACCGGCCGTTCGTGTGTTCCTTGTCCTTCTGACACTTATCAGGATGAACAAGGACAAAAGTCTTGTAAGACTTGTCCAGCTAATACAGTAACATTTGGTAAGACAAGAATGACAAGCAAGGCCAACTGCACAGGTATGGGCAGCAACAAAACTGAGCTAAGGTTCGTTTGACTTTTCATACGCCTTTCCTTTCCTATCAAACATTCGAGATTGCTTCGTTTTCTTTTTAGATACAATGCTCTGAAAGTTAACGACCAGGTAGTTTTCCTGCCTGAAAACATCAACAACGAAAAGATAGTCGCGAATGTTACTTTTACTACAGTTCTGACTTCCCTTCCTAACAGTGTCCGCTTCCCTTAATCCCTCTCCTTGAAAAATCCTTTGACACTGGACAGAATCTTTGTGTTTTTTTCTCAAACGTTTCAGACAAATTGTACTCCTTTCTAGGTTGTTTGCCTGGATCTCACTTCGTCACCGGCCGTTCGTGTGTCTCTTGTCCTTCTGACACTTATCAGGATGAACATGGACAAAAATTTGGAAGACTTGTCCAGCTAATACAGGAACATTTGGTAAGACAAGAATGACAAACCAAGCCAACTGCACAGGTATGGCAGCAACAAAACTGCGCTAAGGTTCATTTGACTTTTCCTACACCTTTCCTTTCCTATCAAACATTTGAGATTTGCTTCGTTTTCTTTTTAGATACAACTCCTCTGCAAGTTAACGACCAAGTAGTTTTCCTGCCTGAAAACATCAACAACGAAACGATAGTCGTGAATGTTACTGTCACTGCTGTTCTGGCTTCCCTTGTTCGACCATTTAAGTTTTACGTAGATAATGTCACACAGCCACGACTACTGTCACGCGAGGTGTCAAGGCGAAAGCGGCGTCGTGTTGAAGTTAATTCTCGGTGTACACACCCTGAGCTCTGTCCTAAAATATTAGTCGATCTCTGTTTTAAGGCAGGTGCTGTCAAACCAGAAAATTATTTCTGCATTCATCGATTCACTGGACGAATAAGGGTAACGCAAGACTTTGTATTCAAAGAAGGTGAAGTATTTGATTTACAAATACGCGTGACGGACAGCGACCCAAGTGGAATAACGGAAAACACAGCCAGAATCAAACTCATTTCTGGTGACCCGTGTAAGAACGTCCTAGCAATATATGATGAAGCCGTGAAATATTGCATCAAGAATTCAGAATCTGTCGATGGAGGAAAGAAGTGCTTGAGTACTCAGTGCACAGAGACTGCCCATGATTGGAAAGAGGCACTTAACAGTGCAAGTAAAGTACCAGAGAAAGACTGCTCAGCTGATCCCCATAATCTTACAGTGCTCATCCGCGAAAACCCACTTTGTGGTAAGTAGTCACGTGTTGTAGAGTCTACTCTATCTCCTGGTCTTATCACGCAACACGTGTTCTTTCTCAGAGAGCGCGTTGCGTGACCAACAAGCAAAGACTTCGAAGGAGACTGGAGTCGACTCCCAAAAACAGTACCTTTGAAAAGTATCGATGGATACAGTTTGTTACTCTCCCCTCCGGCCCCTTCCCTTTTCCGTCCTCACTAAATGTCCGAAAACACTGATGAAAGCGACAGAGTGAGGTGTTTTTCACGTCACCATTTTGAGAAGCATCCGTTTTCACCTGTCCACAAAAAAATTGGGCGTTTTCAAGACTCCACTTTTGAAATCGTCTTCGACAGCGTTCATTTTATTCCCTTTCATCAGGTGTTTCGGTGTAGACGAAAGAGAATGGGGCTCACCAAAAGCCCCAGTCTTACTGCCGTCAGAACAGTTGAAAACTGCTGACCCGTATTGCAGATTGTTAACTCTCCGAGATGTGTTTTTCACCAAAGATGTACATTTCGGATTTAATGCTGCAGTCAGAAATCCTAAATGTGCACTACTTATATCCACAATTCAGAGCTTTGATAAGAGATCTGAATCGTCTGTTGCAAAATTTAAACAAGATAGATTTTCAGATCGGAAATCTAAATTGTTAACTACAGGTACTCACTTTAAATCAACTCAGTCGTTGACTTCTTTGGATTGACTCGAATTCTGCAACGTGCTTTGCAATTGTAAATTTAAAGTTGCTCATTGCTAAAATTTTTGCCAGGCAAACTTTAAATGCTACGTTCTCTCAGATTCCCTTATAGCATCTTTTAATCTTGAAAATATGGTATGGCAAAATTTGAACTATTTCCTTCTCATTTCAGCCGTTTATCAGCTTGTGAACGCAGAAGTGTTTCCAGTTGTTACTTCTCTTAACAGGCTAGCCCTTTACAAGTACAATTTGTGCAGTTCAACATGCGTTGTCGGATGCTGGCCTCCTCTAACTACGGTTCTGTTTTGAAAGCAGCTTCAAACTCTTTATAAACAACAGTTGGTGCTATACTCACCCTTTTAGTCTTTATCTTAATTATCTTGGTAGGTATGTCAACATCGAATATGGCGTACGCATGTGAGTTAGAGATTATTCACCTCTTAAATATTTGAGGCTGCTAAGGGTCACCGCTTGGGATTTGAAGCAGCGTGCATTTTAGAGATCAGAAGCAAACTCTTTGCAAACAACATTTAGCGCTTTGCTCACTCTTTTAGTCTTTATCTTAACAGGTTTCCGGAGTTGTTGCTGTTGGTAAGTATGTCAACATTGAATACGGCGTACGCAACTGAGTTAGAGATTACCGTTTTCTCAGATTCCCTTATAGCATCTTTTAACCTTAATAGCATGGTGATAATGGCAAATGGCAAAATCTGAACTATTTTCCGTCTCCTTGCAGCCGTTTATCAGCTTGTGAACGCAGAGGTGTTTCCAGTTGTCGCTTCTCTTAACAGACAAGCCCTTTAAAAGTACAATTTGTGCAGTTCATCGTCCGTTGTCGGATGCTGGCTTCCTCTAACTACGGTTCTGTTTTGAAAGCAGCTTCAAACTCTTTATAAACAACATTTAGTGCTTTACTCACCCTTCTAGTCTTTATTCCAATAGGTCTCTGGAGTTGTTGCTGTTGGTAAGTATGTCAACATCGAATATGGCGTACGCATGTGAGTTAGAGATTATCCACCTCTTAGATATTTGAGGCTGCTAAGGGTCGCCGCTTGGGATTTGAAGCAGCGTGCATTTTAGAGATCAGAAGCAAACTCTTTGCAAACAACATTTAGTGCTTTACTCACCCTTTTTGTCTTTATCTTAATAGGTCTCCGGAGTTGTTGCTGTTGGTAAGTATGTCAACATTGTATATGGCGTACACAACTGAGTTAGAGATTACTGTTTTCACATTCCCACATAGTATCTTTTAACCTTGGTAGCATGGTGATAATGGCAAATGGCAAAATTTGAACTATTTTCCGTCTCCTTGCAGCCGTTTATCAGCTTGTGAACGCAGAGGTGTTTCCAGTTGTCATTTCTCTTAACAGGCAAGCCCTTTACAAGTACAATTTGTGCAGTTCATCGTCCGTTGTAGGATGCTGGCTTCCTCTAACTACGGTTCTGTTTTGAAAGCAGCTTCAAACTCTTTACAAACAACATTTAGTACTTTACTCACCCTTTAGTCTTTATCTTAACAGGTTTCCGGATTTGTTACTTTTGGTAAGTATGTCAACATTGGATATGGCGAACGCAAGCGAGTCAGAGATTATCCACTCCTAAGACATTGGAGGCTGCTGGGGTCACTGCTTGGGATTTGAGGCAGCGTGCATTTGAGAGGCGATGGAGACGTCAGTGGCTGATAAAACTCCGTTTTCTTCCCAACAAATAAAATAGGGACCTTTAGCAGTTAGGACGGCAACACCAAAGAGGACGTAGATTTAAAAAAATTAATATTTATTTTTAGTTGGAATTTCGCGAATGACTGGATGTGTTTACCATCTCTTACGGCGCACATCTAGCCCTTGTTTTTCGAAGCTCGGATAACGCTATTCACTGGATAAATCTCTATCTGGTGGATAACGCTATACGTTTTTCTATCACTTATCCGTTGGAGAGCGATTTATCCATTGCATATTATTATCCGCCCTTTACACAACTGGGCCCTGGATTTAAAACATTTGCATCAGTTATAGTTTAGGAATACAATAAACTTGAACCTTCTTGAGTTTATTTAGAATGCTGACTCACGAGTATCTGTGTTCAAAATGGAGAAACTGAAAAGGAGGTTGCTTCGGATCTCTTCGGAACGCCTTCAAAAATGGAAGCAAGTTTTCGGTATCATATGGTACTATGCGACATATTCTGAAGGTAAAATGTCACGTCCTAGACTTCACGAAAGTTGACAGGTATATTGTTACAAAGGTGATCGCATGAAAGAAGTTATCGCTTATGAAAGGCCCCTAACATAGTAAAAAAATTGCCACCACTGAGAAGTGGTTGCTAGGAAAGGTTCGACTGTGATGCGAAGGTATTTTGTGACAGCGCTAACTCGTGTCACGTCATCTTAACGCCGCTGATCTTCTCTCGACTAAAGCAAACATTGCGTTGAATATAAGGATGTCAGTGCAAGTTGGCAGGTTCTCATGAATTGAGTTACAAAAAGGGATTTGTGCAAATAATTGCTGTGATTCGAAGGCCATTGCCCACAATTTACTCTCTTCTAATCATCGGACAAACGAATGAAAGAAAAATCGAAACCTGGGCAAAGCAGTTTACCATCCTTATCTTGAAGGCATATTTCCTGACTCTTATTTTGTTTGTTTGTTTGTTTGTTTGTTTTGGTAGGGAACGGCTATACAGAGGCTTAAGGCTTTCTAAGCTGAATTTTTGAGTTTTAGTAGTTTGTCGGAGCGAATGAGCGAAACGCTCGAAACGTCAGCTTACAAACTCTTTACGGTGGCCAATTAACATTATCAACTCAGTTGATAAAATAACATTATCTTGTTACACTGCCCCACCGACGCAGCACCAGGGCTTCTTTAGAAACTTACCCCCGTTTGTACACAGGGTAGACTTGTGATAAGGCCAAAAATAATAATTTGATGCGTAAATTTTAAAGAAAGGCGAGAGTGATTCGTAAATTTATCAGCCGGCGTGAAGCGTGACTTACCTCCTGAAATATACGTAACTCTTGAATTTTTTTCTTTAATGTGGTCACAAACTCAAGATTTTCTTAAAACCTTGCACACAAGAAGAGGGATTTGGAGTTGTCGCGACACGTGAATCGCCGTTTGAAGCGTACGAGACGCGATGTTTTTTTTCTAAAATATTGCGTAAAAGTGGATCAGGAACCGCTCTTCCACCTCCCCTTCCCTATATAAAAAGTAAATAAAAAAATAAAAATCTAAAATTTATAAAGAACTTGTCTGGCATGCTCCAGTGTCAGTGGTTTCGTCCTTGCAGCGGCTGCTTTAATCTGTTATTATGTTTCTTCACTCGGAGAAAAGAGGAATGTGAACAATTTTCTTCGCTCTATCTACTGTAGTGAGCAAAACTACTGATTTCAAACATGACTCCATTGATACGGTGTCCAAAAAGGCCCTTTATTAACTCAGGCGAGTATGATTTTAGAAAATTGTCCCTAGTTTAAATTTTGATGTTTTAAAGCTCAAGGATAGAAAACTCTTCATACCGGCGGTTGGCGATGAGAAATCGGAGGGGGTGGGGGTGGCAATTACCCATCCCCTCCCCTCTATTTCGATTCCAATTCTATATCAAACAAGGCAGCATGGAAAGGAAGGAACAATGATGATAATCAAACGTGACTGCCCGGAGGAGCATCCCTTGTAGCGCTAACACGCTCTCTACGATAAGATGACTGCACTGCAGGCTGATGAATCCCAAGGATGAAATTAACACCCAATCGTGCTAGTTATCTGCATCAATTGTGTAGGATAAAGGAAGCGTGTACGATAGTTTATCAAAAGGCTTCCTCTACAAAGTCGTTATAAACAGAAAACAGTAGACTTCTTCGAACTCATGTAGCCTTGTATAGAGCAATTTTTCTATTGAGTATCGAAGTAGTCTGAAATTACATTGTTTTTGCTTTACTTCACACTGTTATTGGTGCAGAAAACTCGCGTCACTTCCACGGCCCATCAGATGCAAAAATAAAACAAATCACGACCTGGTCGCCCGCATTTTCCCGCGCTTTAGACAATTTGGTAGTTTTTACTCTGAGTTCTCACTGGCTCTTAAAATATTATCCATCTTCTGACTGGCTGTTGTAATTACTTCGGTTTTGGTTTCGCGACACTCAATCAAGACGCACTTTATCACGCTTTAGTTAATTAGTTGTCGTGCTCAACATCACAAATCCACCACTCTTACATCCATCAGGAGAAGTGCGGCTGTCTCCTCTCTCAATAACAACTGCACTCGTTTGGATACTTCTTTCGTTTCTCCATGTTCTTTCATTACCTGAAAACAGTAGAAGAAT